ACCACTGGATTTTCCCTCAATTTCATCCGTCATGGATGAACTTTTGACACCTAATTCAAGGGGTTGACCAAAGTGTAAGCATTCCGCTATTATCTTTCAGTCGAACGACGGACATCAACTCCTAGATTTCCCCTCAACTTCATCTTTCATTTCAACAGGGGCTTTTAGTGTCCCTCGCAAAGGGAGAGTATCTCGGAATAGAAGAGATATAAAATAGACACTAATAAAAGAGCGAATCTTGTAACAATCCCCTCTTGCAGGAAGACAGGTAAATCAGGATAGGAAATAATTGTCGTAGACAGACTCTATAGTCGAGGCCTTATAATGTTGATATGTATGCCATGTTGGTGAGGTTCCTGTAAGTTGCGGGTTTATCAATGTAGCATACAGACTTTCACACTATAGTCTCCATTTTTAAAATGGAGATTTGCCCAAGCCAAATAAGTACCACTAACATGATCTGTCTGCCAGATTAGCAACGTTTCGGTATATCGCGGATAAATGGATGTAACATACCAAGGATCGCCCTGCAAAGACACAAGGTTTGCTTCTATCATCCACCGATTTAGTGGCCTACCCTAAGTAGGTCTGACCAGTAGGTCGGTTGTCGTGTCCAGCCTGGCTATACCGGTTGTTTCATGTGATTCCGCTTTGAATGAAGTTTATCTCAAGAGATATCAACGGTTGAGAAGATGGACAGGCGTGATATTGGAAGTGTTGTGGATGCGAGACCCCTATCTACGGTACGGCGGGCCATACACTGTTTTATTTTTGTTGCGGAGTGGCCGCTATAGACCGCCGTATATACTCTCAAGTGCGCAGTCGAATCCTGCAGCTATCGTTCCCGGTTCTCTTAATTCCCTTTGGAAAAAAAGGCCACCTCACCAAAATGTAGCCCTTGGGGACTGGATCCGACCCCGCCGTTGCAGTTACTTGCCTACAGCCCTGCTGATTTTCTTCTGGTTATGAACCATATCGATTAGAAAATAACCATTCTCACTTTTTCCATTGCCCAAAGCAGTTGATCTTTGGTGCCCAGACCTCTAACCAATAAACCAATTCTACCATCGGACCCGACAGGCTAAAAAAATACATATATACATTCAACTAAGGAAATGGATGAATGGTACAGAAAAATTCAAGGAACATGTAGAACACCTCGCAAGAATTGATTTATATACCACGGAGTTTCTTTGCTTTTCTTCTGTAGGGAACCATCCGGGTGAGTTGAAGCCAATTGACCGATTAGACCGGCATCTCTGGGTATGGAATCACTACTCCGTCCGAAGTACTTGCGAAGGCGGCACAGAGAAGTGGGTTGAGTACGGCGGTGGGTACGGAGTAAGGGTCCAAGCATATTCTGCATCACGTGGACGGCTGATCATGTTGCCATTTTTAGGGGGAGGAGAGCCCAGACAATGGGCGGGGCAGCCGGGGCTGAAGAACTCCGAATGATTCATCTGCCTTCGGTGATGTAATGAATGTGGCGTTCTGTCATCTACCCTACAGCCCGACTTGGTCGAGTAAGGCAGATACTGACGTACCCCCCCCCCCCTGATAGGTGTCTTTCAGCCTAATCGGTGGTAGTAGCCTGGTGGCCAGGAAGGCAGTGCCTGGGCTGTGGGTTGGTTGCCCACCAGATACCAAACTCTCCGAGTCAAGACCCCGCTCTTCGTGTCATGTGGTTGGTACCCGTAGGTACACTACCTTCTAGTTTGTAGCTACTCTGACCAACACCACCAGGTAGTTCTTTCATCTGACCCCCCGGAAAATGCATTGATTGTTGGGATTCTTCTCCAAATATCTCGACGATAGGCCCTCCGCAATTGGTCACATTGCAGAGGACCAATTGAACATGGCAGGCGTTCCTGATGACCTGTACCTTGTCGCACACTCTGGTACTTATCACCCTTCTACTGCCACGCGCCACCCCGCAGTCTTGTGAACATCAATCTACATCATCCCTGGCCAGTCATTGGTGGCGCATTGACTCATCGTTTGATCAGCAGCCCTCATTTGTAGTTTCCCAGGGGGGCTGCGGCATTGACTATTTTAACCTCTTTAGAACAAGCATCCAACCTGTGTGCCATACTTAACTTATGACACTCTTCAACGAGCGCTTAATGCCAGCCAGCGCTGGAAAGAAATAGGGTGATCGCTTTACTCTAAGACTGACCTGCCACCCATCTGATTGTCGAGGGCCATAGTACCGCTTGTCAATTCAAACCTTGCCTATTGCCACCATAGACAAAGAGGCGGCCCTGACAAATCACTTCCAATCATCTTCACGTGTGTTTTTGTCATGTTCCCTCTTCCATTGACTTCCATAAACGTACCCAGTGTTCGTCACTTTATTGCTGGTCACTATTAATCCCCCCTCCCCCTCAATCAGAGCAGTAACGGCGGGACTTACTTGCCCTAACGTCTTCATATCACTATCCTATTCTCTCGGTGCCTTAATCACATCTCATCTCCCAGCGGTCATTTCCCCGCCGGGCATGACCTCACTTACCGCTGCTTCACTACCTGGTCACAGTAAAAGGCCCAAAATGAATCGGTTGCCCTCCGTCTCCAGTCTAATGTCCCCTCCGGAGTCCAAGCCTCTGGATAGCTTTAACCCTCCGTTCTCGCCCCATGCATTATCACAGGATCCACAATTCGGGTATGACGTGAAGCTTCCTCCTATATTCGTTGATCGCAAACGAACACAGTCAGAAATGGATCTTCCATCGCCACCTGTTACGCCTTACACTGGGAACAAAAAGAGGAAGTCAAGCACATCAGAAAAGACCGAGCAGGATGCTGCTACTGGGATCGCCCGAGACCCTGTCTTGTTCCCTCGACAAGAGTCCATTGCTGACGTTGCCTCCGATGAGCCATTGTTCGGGCCTGTATTCCCGCCCGCGGCAGAGGCGCTCGTCGAGCAACATATCAATTCTCACATGGCAAGGTTTGAGAATAAGCTGAACAAACCGACGCGCGATGAGTATCTTCTAGCTCTCTCGTGTGTTCCGATTGTCTCGGCTCAATTTAATCGCAACCCGGTAGCATGGGCCAAAGAGGAGCGGGAAACCCTAGAGCGTCAATTGATCATGATGAACCGGTGTTCCCCTCAGAGGTTGGAGGCAAGGTTAAAGAAAATCGCGCCCGCTCCTGTCAAGAAGGCAGTTACATCCCAACATCGCGTGCAGAGGACTCCTAGGGTCAAGCGCACACCAAAAACCACACCTAAACAGAAGGTTCTTGATTCATTTGATACGTCCCCCTCGAATAACAGACCACCCCGTGCGATAGGCACAAACCGGGATGACACAGATTATGGTGCAATCGATGATTATTCTCCCCCATTAGAGACCCTCGGCAGCAATGCGAAGGCTTTGAAGGCCGATTGGAAAGGACAAATGCTAGATCTCACTCATGACCCAGATCGACAATTGCTGAGTCCCGCTGAATTCAATCTTGCGGCCACCCTCAGGCTTTCCTGTGCGACGTATTTATGCAGCAAGCGGCGCATCTTTGAGGCCCGTGTCAGGGCTCTGAATGTGGGCAAAGAGTTTCGCAAGACAGATGCTCAGCAAGCCTGCAAAATTGACGTTAACAAAGCAAGCAAACTTTGGACTGCCTACGACCGCGTGGGTTGGTTTAGACCTGAACACTTTCAACAGTATATGCGTTGAAATTCTACATTGCCAACCAAACCGTCTTGATGGCGCAATTCAGACTTGCAGGATCACGCGGGAATTCAACCTAACAATCTTGTGCATCAATATTCAGTCATTGGTTAGCTTTTTTTCTCTGTTCGCACGGCGTTCCTATGCCGGTGTTCAACCTCACGATGTGATGCTTTATTGAATGTCACTGGGCATAGCTGGTCTGTGTTCACGTTATGACAGCCCCTTCCATTATTCACATGAACCCTTATCCTGTTCACTACCCAGGTGGTGCCTCCCTTGAATGATGTCGTTTCCTCAGCTATACTTTGTTTTGCTCAATGGCTGCTTGTGCATGGTTATGGATTCATTTTTTAGATTGAGATTTGGCTTGCCTCAACATTTTGCTTCAGACGTATTGAATGACAGGTCATCCGGAATTTTGCTCCACTCAGTCGTGCTACTTAATAGAAATAGATTTCATCCTGGTATTCTCAGGTCACGAAACTGGTAGGAATTATTGTGTTTCTCGTGGGAGTTGATGTTCTATTCCACCTTTTTGTCATGCGTGGGCAGCTGGTGTGTACATACGCCCGAGAAAGTACGCTGTAGGTACACACTCATAGATACCTACTACATTGACAGGCACTGAGTAATTTTTCTGTGTATATACACTGCACCAAGTACGGGTAATGTACAGTAAGTACATACATACCTACCCTATTATGGGCGAAAATCATCACGCGGGAAGTTGTTGTGCTAGTTGGAAGCTGGGCGTATCTAGGTTAGGTGGGCTTATAATGTACCATCCTAGGAATATAATTCTGTACTGTACAGTGATACATACATACATACATACATACATACATACATACATATATGAAATTTACCCCGTACAGCACAAATACATTCTATGTACCTAGCAACCTGGAAGGTGACGTCTGTACTCCGTATTTAGTACGGAGTAGTTATGCAGCTAAACGGGTCGAAGAAGGCGGTGGCACAAAGAGAACCCACTGCGCCGGGCGGCTCGTAAGCTACGGAAGTGTACGTACTTCGTTGAATTCGCCACTGTCATGCCGACTGTTGCCGGCTTCTCTGTTAGGCGCGACATCACGAGCATTTCACCTGCATACTATTGGCATCTTCTCCTGAATCTACCATACACTGCTATCCACTTTTTCTAGACCGACTGAGCTGGTATTCACCTAAGCATGTCCCATACTGAGGTGGATCAAACAGAATCTCTGGGGGAACAGGAGCGTAGGGGCGATGGCGATAGCGACAAGAAACCCAGGAATAAAAGACCAGCAAGTCAGTGTATTTTTCTCACCATATTTTGCCATACTAATGCAAAGCCCCAGATACTGCTTTCCGGCAACAACGTTTGAAAGCCTGGCAGTGAGCTTGATTCCCAATGGGTCCCTGCCTCTGCGCCTACTTACCACAAATAGGCCAATCTTAACACCAAAGAGCGTATTACCCCTCTTTTTCATTGTCGGTGTCATATTTGCCCCTATTGGCGGTCTTTTGTTATGGGCGAGTGCTCAGGTAAGTTGTTGTCTTGTCGTCGCGAACCCTTCTGTTGCGGACGCAACCTCACCATCAACAGGTACAAGAGATAACCATAGATTACTCCGAGTGCGCGGAGAAAGCACCGAGGAATCACTCCCAAGATATATCAAACAGAGTCAGCTCGTCATTCAAATCATCTGGACAGTCTGCTCCGACGTGGCAGCGCCTTGACGAAGGCAATGCCACTGTTTGCCGGCTCATTTTCGACATCCCCGATACGATGAAACCACCTGTTTTCATGTATTACCGACTCACAAACTTTTATCAGAATCATAGGCGATATGTGAAATCATTGGACGTCGACCAATTGAAGGGCAAAGCCGTTCCCAACAAGACCCTGGATGGTGGGTCATGCGATCCTCTGAAACTTGATCCATCCGGTAAAGCATATTATCCATGTGGTCTCATAGCAAACTCTCAATTCAACGACACTATAAACAGCCCAAAGCTTCTAAGTGTCGGGGTCAAGGCCGAAACATACTCTATGACAAACAAAGGAATAGCATGGGACAGCGACAAAGAACTCATTAAGAAAACGGATTACAAACCAGGACAAGTCGTTCCTCCTCCGAACTGGCATGACCGATATCCAGATAATTATGAGAATGGAATCCCTAACCTTCACGAAAACGAAGAGTTTATGGTCTGGATGAGGACTGCGGCCCTTCCAACATTCAGCAAGTTAGCCCGAAGGAATGACACTACGCCAATGACAAAGGGCACATATCAATTGGACATTACGCACCGTATGCTATCGAAAAGCAAGTGTCGTTTCTCTAGATATTGACTGACTTTCTGCAGGTTTTCCGGTCACTGAGTATGGAGGCACGAAGTCAATCCTTATCTCTACAAGGACTGTGATGGGTGGACAAAACCCTTTTATGGGGATTGCGTATGTTGTCGTCGGCGGCGTCTGCGTTTTGCTGGGTGCCCTTTTCACTGTTGCACATTTGATAAGACCTCGGTTAGTAGCCACCGGATGTCCTGGCACAATTGTTGAATTCGTATGATCTAACCTCTCTACTAGGAAACTGGGAGACCACACATATCTGACGTGGAATGGTGAGCAAGAGGGTACGGCGGCAGTCGCAACTGGAAGAGAGAATAGATTTGGGGCGCATGCTACTTGAATAAAAGACTGTCGTATCTTAGGTATTACTTTTCAGGACAATTTATGAACCAGAATGTTGTGAGTCCAAAATTTCCCCGCTTGGTCCAGTCCCAGTCGCTTGCCATACCCTTGACCACACCGAGAACCTTGGGAATGCAGATATTATCTCGCATTCATCGGCAGGCTTTAGTGTCCGATTTGAATAACGCCAATCGCGATGATAAAACACACCGGGCATGTTTGCTTGACCGCTTTTTCCTTTTCTTGTTTTGGTCCGAACACCCCCTTAAACCAGTTCCCTTGCTACATACATCCCTTGCTGCAGCAATCTTGCCGTATCCCAACATTCTTAGGTCTCGGTTTCTTGTTGCCATGCAACCAGTCATGTCTCTCTTAAAGCTTGCGCAGAAGTCGCTATGAAATCCTTATTTCTATATCTGGCCAGCCTTGGATTTAAGGCTCTATCTTTCAGGATCATTAGCATAATGCTCCGGGTTTCTAGATATCTAGCCTTCATTATAATTGGCATAACCGGTCTTCCAATCCAATGCAGTGCTCTCAGTTCTCAAGCCCGCGGTTTCTGTGCCACTGGTCCCCCTGAGGAGTCGTTGAGGGCTGAACACGAACGATTAAATACGCTGGAGTCCCAGGGTGACCTTGCGGTTAATTATGAGAGCAGAGAGGTCGTTTACCCAATCGAGATTGCTACGTGGTTTCATATCTTGCTAGGTAGTGAAGACGATGCGGGAATGGTATCGGATGAAATGGTTGCTACTCAGGTATGTCTATCGCCAATCCACCGAATGCTTCGGTTCGGGGCCGTGTTTAATCACATAAATCTACTTCTGTGGGAATTCAACTGATTGCTCTGCAGGTATCTTATTTACAAAATGCCTATCAGAATGCATCGATTTCCTATCGACTAGAGGGTATTACGCGCCAAGTGAATGAAACATGGTCGCGCAACGGCGATGAGATTGGGATGAAGAATGCACTTCGTGAAGGGACCTATAGCACCCTTAATATTTACTTTCACACCGATCTTCAGGACTCACCAATCGCAACGACTCGGCACATGCCGTGGGTAGATGACCGCCAAATGCTCAGCGGAGGCGAACTATCTTCTAATGTCCTCGGCTTTTGCACCCTACCTGACCCCAGCATCAACGGTAGTAGCCCTCGCACCAGCTATATCAAGGATGGTTGCAATATCCTTGCTCAAACCATGCCGGGTGGCCTTCTAGCCAATTACAACCGAGGCGGGACAGCAATTCATGAAATAGGTCATTGGAATGGCCTCTTGCATACATTCGAAGGAGAGTCGTGCTCCCCCGATGACGATGGAGACTATATTCAAGACACGCCTCAAGAGTCTAGGCCTACGGATGGGTGTCCCTCTTACAAAGATTCTTGTCCTGACCGGCCAGGAGTCGACCCGATACACAACTTTATGGATTATTCGTCCGACGAATGCTACGAGTCATTCACCCCAAACCAAGTGACCAGGATGAGAAACATGTGGTTTTCGCTGAGACAAGGAAAATGAGATAGGATTTCACTTTTACATCGTGGGGTTGATTCTTGTTGAGGTTTGGTTCCTGAGCTTCTTTGTTGCACTGTACGTAGGCCTCAGGGCCCCACCGCTGTCGTCAATGATGAAATGCTATCTGTTACCCTACTTAATGCGGTTTGCGTGATAGGTAGATGTACACTGTCTCCGGGGTCTGCCTTGGGAATAACAATTGAGGCTATATTCCGATCCCTTGTTTTTTTCCCCTGCGCCCCAAGACTCTGATAGCTCGAGTCCCCAACCCCAAGTAAATTGGCCTTTCATCATACCGTTTCACATGAGACCTCAAATATGCACATCTCGAATGTTAAATATCTTGCCCGCTAAGAGGTAAAAATTTGCCACTTTGCAATCACCACAAGTCAAGACTCGCAACTTGCGGGCCATGATCCGTGTTCTATTGTAGAGACCCTATGTTGGCGTTGGGTGTACGTACTCCAGAATATGACCACTTCTCGATTTCTACCTAAAAATGACTGCTAGACGTAGAGCTTCACGCCGAGCTGGAACACATTAACCGCAGTCAATAAAAAGGTTTCTCTTCTTTTCCTTCCCTCCTGTCATTTTTCAAGATCCGACTCGATGAATGAATGCCAGTTTAGGTGACTGAATTGATTACCGCTTCCGCTTTTTGCTTCGTTCCTCATCCTCCATCCCACTTTCCTTATCTTTCCTCTTTGCTTTAACTTCCAATTCATCCCAATCCTCCCCACTCTCTTCGTCTGCACTGAAGTCATCACTTGCCTCCGCACTGGCATCGTCGTCGAATTCACTCTCTTCTTCAGAGCTTTCATCCGCCGCAGCTAGTTCCGATTCAGATAGTTCAAATGCCGATTCTTCTTCTTCCTCGGAGCCGCCTTCAGAATCTGATTCGGCCGCCAGGAAAGACCACCCGCCGTCGGCAAAGAAGCCGTACGGATCGCTCACGACTGTTTTCATGATTGTCGTCCAATTGAGATTCAACGGTCCCTCCGTAAAGGCAATATCAACCGAGTCCAACCAATCTTTGACGCCTTCCAAAGATTCAACGGGAATTGTGTTGACGTGCACAGGGGGTCTGTGGAAATCTTTGAGAACGAAAACCAAGTCGAAATTTTTTAGCCCGAACTAGAGACAGGTCAGCATAGTGCAGATTTCACTTCGGCTGGAAGCAAACATTACCTGAACTCTTTCTAGATGAGCGATCTCAATTTCATTCAGTGTGATGACAAGGAATGGGGGTTCCGTTAGCTGAACGAGAGCGTCGGTAGTTGGCTGAATCAATACGTTTGATCGATTCGGAACTCCGGTGAATCCAATTTCTCTGAAAGGGATATCGACGTCAACCCCTTCGTCCTTTCCGGCATCGGCCACCTTTTCAGCGAAAGCCTTGAATTCGCGATCCAGAGCCGCTCTTCGTCGTCGCTCTTCTTGTTCGGCCTCAAACTCTTCTTCGTCCCCATAACGGTGCTTGCGCCTGCGGTTGCCAGTTTCATCAAATTGCATTTCAGTTGCCTCCCGATAGAATTGAACATCCCTAGTCTTTCTTTTGCCGATCATGATGGGCGTTTTCAGGTGAACATGGATTAGTACAATCAATTCATGGGCGCAAGGTTGAAAAAACAAATGTTTCACGTTGCTGAAAAGCACATCCACATGTTCATTGCGGAAAGGGGACATGTAACGAAGACCATTCTGGTGAATTTCAACTTCACCGGGAACTCGCTTTCCATCGAGTGGGGGTCGAAGGTAGACATCGGGCAGCTTCACAGGCCGGCGATCTAGTCAAAAGGATTAGCGTTGGTAAACTGTGCAGGGAAGCACCTAGACGTACTTCGTATCTCGATAAGCTTATCTTGCTCTACCACATCTTCCATCTCCTTCTTTTCTTGCTCACGTCTCAGAGCATTCTTTCTCAACTCAGTAATATCCTGGGCAATCTGGGCCAATCGATTATTATCCTTAGATCGAAGTGTCAAATTTCGTAGGAAATGAGCCGACAGATCCTCGAATGGCTGGTCGTCCTTTCTACCCACACCCTGACCAGGAGAAAGAAAGTTGATCCTAAGATATGCATATTCACCCTCATCACTTTTGCTGGCATTCTTTATGGTGTTGATGTGAAACGGTACTGGACGACCCATTATTGGAACGATCACTGTGGACGCTTTTTGGTCAACGTAAACAATTAAATCTTTGATCCTAGCGGGAAGTTGATTGTCCCTCTTGTAGGATTCAAATCGCTTGAACTTCTTCTGGGACACTCCGTTGTCATCTCCTGTGGTCCCAGTAAACCGATCAAGGCCCTCCTTGGTTTTTTTGGAGGCCAACTCTTTCTGATGTTCGCGACGCCGAGCTTCTGCACCCTCGTTAATTTGGGTAGGCCGTTCTGCACGAAGCTTTGTACGAGTGACGTTCCTGCTGGCAATTGCGCTGGATTTGACTTCCTTTTTCTCCTTGACTGGTTTTTGATTATCCTCTTCATCCCCAAAGTAGAATGAAACCGAGTCCATGTCGATACCAGCGTCTTTGGTGAACACATGGGGTCCGTTTTCTCCCACACGTACAGTCTCAGTGATTACCATCGAGTACAAAGAGTTGGAATCATCCTTCGCGTCAGGCTCTTTCACATCGGTTAGTCCAACCGAGATGGAAAGAGTCATGCCGCTTTTCAACACCCGGCTATTCTTCCCATTGAGTACCATGTTGGCATCTCGAAGTTCAATGCCTATACCGGCGCCAACACTCTTAACGAAGTGGGATTCAAGATCGGGTTTCTTTGAGCGTATTAGACCAAGTGCTTTGTTGAACAGATCCTTGGCCACTATACCATCACGAACATCCTTCAAGATAGTTTCGTGAATATTCAATAAGAGGGCATAATTGGCTTCCTGAGATTTGGTCGGGTCGACTAGATAGGTACGTGCAATGATTGAGCTGTATATCTTGTAACGGATGCCGAAGCCTGCAATGATGATCCCTGGGCGAAGGTTGTTGTTATCAGGCGTAGCTGTTAGCCTGAGGTCGTATTTCCCTCCACTTTGAATGACAGGCCCGTAAGCCCAATCAATCTGCTGTGGGTCGAATTCCGCTGGCAACTTCGCAAGCTTATTGAAAAATTTGCTGTCGTCAATTTTCGCATCAAGGCGCGTCGATAGAGCCTTATGTGTCATCTGCTTTTCTTCATCAAGTAGGCGAGACATTTCATCGACGAAGTAATCTGACATTATGCCACTGCATGCTCTGGATGCGTTCCTGATCGACACCTCCAAAAGCATTAGATTGGGCTGTTCAGAGGTACCATGAAAAACTCACAAGTTCATCTGTGTCTTTCACGGAGAAAGCTGCCGCTGAGAGTGCCGGCGAGATGTCAACTTCTTCAACATCTTGTGTTATATTCGCAAAAGCACGCTTCCAATCTTCGGCAAACGGGCCAGTGGTCGTGTCTTTGGGCAGCACACCAACTTTTTTCTGTTTCCATTGTCATAGTTTAGTCAACACATACATAAAAGTGAACAGCAAGACCAATGCAAATTCAAAGTACTCACACCCGAGGATTTAATAGCTTCAAGGCACTTCTCAAAAGATTTTGTTTTCTCCTCTGGATCTTTGGAAGTAAGCAAGATCTCGACCGGGATCTTACCGCCCTTCAAAGGTTCAAGATGCTTTGCTGAATTGTAGCTGTTAACATGATATATCACACGTGCATGTTCAAAAGCCTTGGGTTACCTTTCTTCGCAGTGGTCACAACGTACATGGACTCGGTTGTGAACACCAAAAGCGTTGCGGGGAATTCATAGCCGAGCAGCCAAAACTAAGCACGCGTGTTAGAAATAGATACAGATTGAGTGTCCTTGAGAAAATGATCAGGTTTCACGCACATGCATAGCATTGTTCTTTTGAAAGCTGTTGGCCTCATCCGTTTTCCCCATTAGGATGATAATTGAGCCAGCACCACCGAAGATAGTATTTCCCGAGCGCCTGTCTGCCTTCCATGCTGTGTAAAAACTCGATAGCCGGCTAAAGAAGGTGGACTTGTCAATGGCAATTTCGTCCGCCATTGTAAAATTGGCTGTGCAATAAGCCCTTGGTGATGCTTGCAAGCTCGGACTCAAGGCGGACTAGGCTTCTCGAGGTTGGTATCAAAGTAAGGATATAATAAGACAACTATGACAGTGTGACCTTCCAAAGCGGTTCTGGGCGGTTTACGGCGTTTGGCTCATGGGCACATCAGAGGCATAGATACACTCAAAGCCTAGTTATCCCTGGAATAATCTTAGGCAAACGCGCTACGCGTTCTGATCAGGGACTTCTCGGCGCATCGGCAAAGTTTGGGCTGTTTGCTTAGTCCAAGTTTTAGTTAACTAGTTAACAGATTACGTCGTGCATAATTTGTCATCTACCCACCTGGTCAGTTACACCGTATTTATGTATAATACGTACGTATATACGGGCTCGGGCTGTACGTACAGTACAGCACCTCGAGAGCCAGCGTATTAATTACATGCTAGGTGACTTACCTCCCCCCGTACTAGGTAGCTACCTACCTAGGTACCTGGTACGCGGTGTGTTCCCGTCAACTTTTATCATTATCGAGCATCCTGAAAACATTCAATTTTTGTGTTCTTCAAACCCAACCACGGCCCCCTTCCCAACTAACATACCTTAGTATCAGTGCCAATATATGTTACTTGGAAATCGTCCCCAGCTTACCCATATGGCAGCACATCGTCTTGAAATTTCCTGATGGCGGATGTGTTTTTGGCAACATGACCTCTATAAAGAATTTCCGTTCAGACGATGCGGGTACAATAGATCAGACTTCCGACCATCTTGCAAGTTCCCAAAAGAATCCTCGAAGCAACGCAGCCACTGGAGCTTCTGCTGCTGGAGTTCGTGCCCTCAGCGCACAATTTGTTGCCTTCTACTTTCGTACACCTGTGAAAGCTTTCTTTCGCACTAGAGTTGAGTATGCATCCCCCCACATGGGCCTGAAGTCAGAAAGCTGATGCACCTCGTCTCTTTAGTTACATGGTACTTGGCCCGAATTCCTCTCCTTTATAATTCTCACCCGTTTGGACAATGGGTTTGTTCTAACAATTGCTGTCATTCACTAATGCTCTCTATATCTTTTTATCTTGATTGCTATAGGCATTTGCTAAGGCTGTTAATCCTCATGCGTCCGAGAAACGATGGTCACTGCATAATACCACTCCTGGGTTACTTGTCCATGCTGTCCGGACCTATGGATGGCGTTTCATTCCAAACCAGGTCATGCCCCCTCTATTAGCAAATGCCGGGTGAGTGATCAAATCACATTTCCCTTGTTTGAAGTTGCAGGACGTGTCTGACATCTAGGGGTAGAATTGGGGCCGTGCTATATACCTCGTACCTTCAGGTTCTTGGGGCCCTATATGAACCTGTGGCCCAGGGAGTCAAGCGAGCATACCCCCCTGCCCATCCCTTTTATACATTTACGGCTGGTTTCGTAGCAGGGGCAGCCCAGTCCATAGTTGCCGCACCCTTGGACGCCCTTCAAGTTCGTCTTCAAGCACATGATATACTCGGGGGCCAGTACCGGAGTATGTGGCACTATGGCTGGCACAAACTGAAGCAAATTGGTGTCCGTGGTATCTTTGCGGGTCTAACCTTGTCGTTCCTGCGCGATGCTTTTGGATATGGCGTCTTTTTCTCATTCTTTGAGTACATCAAATCCCAGGCGTATTATTCATTTACCACCGGGTATTATGGACATCATCATACTTCTCACGCTGATGACAAGAATGCTGCAAAAACCAGCGACCGTGGTGTACCACTCATCAAACCCCACTACACCTTAGAGCCGTGCTTTCTGATGTTTGCAGGGGTTGCGGCCTCCATTGCCCAGCAAGCAATACAGCATCCACTTAGCCTCATACAGAACATACACGTCGCACGGCTGGAGTACCTTGATCGCCAGGCGAGTCTCTACCCTTCGAAAAGGCAGATGTTGCGTCTCTACTACTTCGCTTACCGGGAGACATATAAACGATGCCAAAGGAAGGCCGCGCGATCGGGAGGCTGGCGTCGTTGGCTATTCCGCGACTTCACGAAAAGTGCTCTCCGTCAAGTTCCCAGTACCAGTGCCGGTCTGGTGATATTTGAACTGGTTCGCCGTAAATATGCTAACATGGCAGAAGCTGTGTACATTCGCAAGGACGGGTATGATATTCTGTTGGCATAGGTTGTTTCGAACTAATTTCGATTGGAGACCCGGGAGACCTTGGAGTTGACAAAGTAGTTCACACCTAGGTAGTCTGATGACTCGGTAGACCTAACCAAGCAAGACAGATACATTACAATTTATGAGGGAGGCTGCCTACCGTAGGTATCAGGATAGATTACTGCTTATGTAGGGACTACATACATACAACCTGTCAAGGGCCCGGGTACCTAGGTACCTACCTAACCTTACCTGGGTAGGTATGTACTAGGTAAGTTATGTATTTATGGATATATGTATGTGCATCCATTACGTAGGTAGGCTTTCTACCTAGTTTCTACCTACCCACAACTAAAGTGGACTGTGGGGACTGCCGTCATACGGAGTAAGGTACTCCATAATTAGTGTAGCTAATAGGTAAGGTGTCTAGGTAGCTTCCAGTTGTACGGAGTATGTAGGTAGGTAGGTAGGTAGGTAGGTAGGTAGATACACAGTAAGAGTATCTCGTACCCGTCCCTATTTGGTGTACTAAGCCCACTTCCCCAAGGTTTTCCGTAGCCAGTGATTGATATAGGTATGTAGTTAGTTATGTAGGTAACTACACCGTAACTACGGATGGTTAATTACTATTTATCAGGCATCACCCATCACCCAAGAAGAAGGAGACACATCTCCCTCGGTCATCTGCCAATGCTTTGCGCAGCCGCCTAAGCCGCCTTTTGACTAGGGCACCTCCCACCTGACCGCCCTCCCTCTGGTTCTGTCATCTGGCGTAGTGGATCAACCACCTGTCTTGTGAGCGGGTTTCCCCAACGCCATTGCCATCACCGCTTTCTACTCTTGTAGCTTCTCAGATTGGTCCTTGACATCTTTGATTTTCGCTTTGACCTGCATTTGGCCTTGGTCCAAAGTCACCCTTCTGACCCATTCCTTCATATCTTTCCCCCGGAATTGAGATTAGTTGACTTTTCCCAAGGGGACCCTCGAGGATCCTCCACCGATTGGCTATAATCCGGGCTGAATCGCCTTCTGACCGCCGTAGGGTACTGGATCAAGACAACAGGAAAGGGAAGGGCTGCTTTCTGGCCCACCACAACCGCCAACATTCCTCTATCAACACCCTCACCTCGCTCTTCGTCAAGTATCCCGTTGCAGTCCTTACAGCCCCAACCCTCATCACCCTCCGATAACTCTGCCAGGGTATTGGAATCTGCCAGTGAGAAAGGCAGCCGACGCTCCTCGCTTTCTCCCTCTATAAAATCCGAGTTTTCTAACTGGACCGACACCGGGGACCTGGCTGAACAGCTTGCTGATGCCGAAGACCACCCCCTTCAGGCCCATCGCAGAAGGTCTCTGGATCGCGAGGTGCCCGAGCGAGCGAGCTCAAGTGCGCGAGTGAACCAGCAGAAACGTGTACACTACCTGCATCATATCCCTACAAACGACGCTGAATTTGCAAAAACATCAATCGAAATACCTCGCCCGCCACCCCGGCGCATCTCTAGGATCGAACGCATACTAGCTGTCATCATGTCCCCAAACAGTCGGCAGACGGCCCAAGTGCATGGCTTGGTCGGAAAGCCGTTGCTGTATGACCATCTCCGTCTTGCCCGCAATAACCGTATCTTCTGCTTACCCTTGACAGTTATTTCACGAGTGTCTTCGTATCATTGGGAGTTTTCCTCTTTGGCTATGATCAGGGAGTCATGTCCGGGATTATAACGTCGGTTTTTTCCTCGATTACTCTGGGAGTCTTGTAGACCCTATACTGATCTGTAATAGGGGTGATCATTTCAATGACTACTTCGACCAACCCTCGAGAGCTGCAATCGGCACTGTGGTCGCCATATTGGAAGTTGGGGCCTTCATTTCATCTCTACTAGTTGGACGAATTGGCGACTTGATAGGACGTCGTAGGACCATTCTCTATGGTTCCATAGTCTTTTTCATAGGTGGGGCACTGCAGACTTTTGCCACGGACTTGTCCATGATGATGGTCGGCCGTATAATTGCTGGTCTGGGAGTTGGAGCTTTGTCCACAATAGTCCCAGTCTACCAATCTGAGATCTCGGTATTTTCACCTTGGGGCTTTGGTTCTGATTCCTGCGAAATGTTCCAGGCTAATTATAGTACAACAGCCGCCCCACAATCGAGGGAAGCTGGCGTGTATTGAGTTTACCGGCAATATTTCCGGTTATGTCGCCAGTGTCTGGGTTGACTACTTTTGTAGTTTTATCGACAGCGACTACTCATGGCGTCTTCCACTACTATGTCAGTGTGTTATGGGCGCCCTACTTGGTGTAGGAAGCCTAATAATATGTGAATCACCGAGGTATGCAGCACGCGCCCCTCCAGTGCGACGTTTGAAGTTTGGGTGATCATATAGCTTACTTCTTATCTAGATGGCTACTGGACAACGACTACGACGAGGAAGGCATGGTGGTAATTGCTAACCTCTATGGAAAAGGAGACTTGCATAATGACAAGGCTAGACAAGAGTATAGAGAGATCAAAATGAACGTGCTTCTCCAGCGGCAAGAAGGGGAAAGATCCTACACTGATATGTTCAGAAGGTACCGCAAGCGAGTATTGATAGCAATGTCAGCCCAGGCCTTGGCCCAGCTGAACGGCATCAATGTCATTTCATATTATGCGCCGCTTGTGTTTGAATCGGCAGGGTGGGCAGGCCGCGACGCCATTTTGATGACAGGTATTAATGCGATCTCTTACCTTTTATCCACAGTTCCTCCATGGTATCTTGTGGACCGCTGGGGAAGACGACCGATACTACTCTCTGGAGCGGTTGCAATGATAATCTCTCTCTCTTTGATCTCATATTTCATCTATATTGATGTGGGAGCAACTCCTACCCTGACGGTCATATTTGTCATGATTTACAATGCCGCTTTTGGTGCCTCGTGGGGACCAATCCCATGGCTATATCCCCCGGAAATTCTACCACTGAGCATTCGAGCTAAGGGTGCTAGTCTCAGCACGGCCTCTAATTGGGCCTTCAACTGGCTAGTTGGAGAAGTTACGCCTGTTCTTCAAGATGCTATCAAGTGGCGTCTCTATCTTGTCCATGCCTTTTTCTGTGCCTGTAGCTTTGTCCTCGGTGAGAACGTTCGTCCGTCCACTACGTACTTTCGCTAACTCCTATAGTTTACTTTCTGTACCCTGAAACTAGTGGCGTCCGCTTGGAAGATATGAATTTACTTTTTGGGGACGCGACGACTGCAGTGCCGACACCAGCTACGCAAGGAGAAAGAGGGTCTCTAATGGGGACTGGCTCTCCTGTTCCCTCTCTTGATATCCGGAGACAGTATGGTCAACTTGGAGCAGAAAGTGCCATCCCTGGGCTAGATATTGACCCCCCAAATATGAACAGCGACGACAACAATAAGTCGACCAGGCCTGGTTCTCAGACGGGCGGTCATAGTCCATCAGAAGGTATAGCTGGTTGGATTTCCAGCATGGTTTCTCGTCACAGGCGATCAGGGCATCCTGGGCAACAAGACCGCCAGTATAGGAGGCTTGGGCAGGAGGAAGATTCCAATGAATGAGACTCGCTCTGACATGTCCTTGGAATTCTTCACCCATTGCATCTCCCCTTTCACCAATGACTATACACTGCGATTTTCTCTTTCGATCTACTTATTTTACCCTGTCTCCTTATTATCTCCCACCTGGCTTTTCATTTTCGCCCCCCGTATGGTTTTTTTTTTTTTTTTTTTTTTTTTTCTTTTTTTACCTCTTGTCTATCTATTTCTTTCTTATATCTTTCTTTATAGTACTTTTTCTTCTTGGCCCTAGCTTCCGGGCCGGATTGAATTCTGCTGCTTTCTTTCCCTTTGTTTTGGCTAGCTTGAACTTAGAAATGGGACTGGCTATGGCTACCACTTTTCTTGGGGGAAGGGGAGATGAGAAGAGGGGTCTTATCCCTAGTGTATTGTGACTGATCATGGAATGAACTTATGTATAAGGCCCGTCCGATGTCAGTGGTAATACGTAGATACTAGGTACCTCCCTACCTACATGCCAGGTAAGAGGTACTTTCGGACCCCAACCAACCAACATCAGGCCCCGGCGATAAAGTGGAACCCAGCTCCGACAAGGCGCCCGGTGTTTCCGGGTCACGATTCTTTGGTACGTACCCTGCTGGTAACAGCCTACTGTACCTACTCCGTACTAGTACTATAGTTAGTACCTATGGCAGCTAGTAGAAGCATTAGAAGGACGAGACCTTCGACTGACGGTACAGGCCAACTCTCCATTTCATTCCGCCAACCCCGTCTATCGCATTTTTCTTTCCCTCCCCTCTCTTCCTCTCTCTCCCTCTCCCTCACTCTCTCATATTCCTATTCTCATTTATCTGTTTATTCCATTTTCTTTCTGGGGAAGTTTCTTGATATCGATTTAATTCCCCATCTAACTCTCATTCCATCCCCCACCCCCCAATACCTCTGTTATTTATTTGTCAATCAGGCACTCATCCTGACTGTCGCCGCACTGACACACTCATTATCTACGGATTTCTACGTTCTACTTCCAGATATGACTACGGCCTAACTTGAAAGCCAACCCTTTTTTCTGTTTCTTTTTTTTTGCCTCTTCCCCCCCCTTAATATTTTTAAGCTTCAATTCATTTATACTTCCCATTCCCTAACTCGTGTTATTGGAGGAACTGCCCTAGCCAGCCTGTTGGCTATTCACCACGTTCTTTAAACATGACAGAACCGGAGATCGCGTCCAGTTCTGGGGCTCAAATCTCCGCTGATCTGCGGCGCCGAAATGTTCCACGCGCAGAGAGACCTAGTCCAGTGTCGGATGGCACCAGAAAAGGCGATAAGGAGACAAAATTACATGTATGACAGTCTTTCATCTGCGCCCTTGTCCCTTGACTAATAATTGATGTACTAATCGTTGCGTGTTTACACCTTAGGGCGACTCTTTCTACTCCGTGCTGGATCGCTGGGAGCCCTTGATCGTACCCCTCCTCTTGACTGCTCTGTCAATCTTCACCCGTATGTACCGAATTGGTCGGTCGAATATTGTTACCTGGGATGAAGCGCAGTAAGACCAATACAACTCTTGTTATGCATCCTGCCAGATTCTAACAACTGCTTCCCAGCTTTGGCAAGTTCGGCTCGCACTATCTTAAGCGCGAGTTCTATTTTGACGTCCACCCTCCACTGGGGAAGATGCTAGTTGGTCTGTCAGGGCTTCTCGCCGGCTACAATGGATCCTTTGAGTTCAAATCGGGCGAAACATACCCAGAAGATGTTAACTATACTTTCATGCGTGTTTTCAATGCTGCTTTCGGTGTAGTATGTGTGCCACTTGCATACTACACTGCTCGAGAGCTAGGATTTCGCCGGGCCACTGTTTGGCTGATCAGCTTGATGGTGCTATTCGAAAATTCATATGCGACAATCTCTAGATTCATATTGTTGGACTCTATGCTTCTCTGCTTCACGTTCACTACCACAATGTGCTGGGCAAGGTTTCACAAGTTACAGCATGCCAGCTTTTCGATTGAGTGGTTCATCTGGCTTGCTTTGACCGGGGTAAGCATTGGCTGTGTCTGTAGCGTGAAATGGGTTGGTCTGTTCTGCACTTCGATTGTGGGTCTCTACACGATCGAGGATTTATGGAACAAATTTGGCGATCTCAGAATGCCCGAGGTCAGTTTAGGTTGCATTCCGTATTCCGGGTCAGCTACTAATTCTCTGGCAGACTGTGCTTGCAAAGCACCTTGTGGCTCGCGTCATTGGATTGATCATCATACCGGCTCTGGTGTACGTCTTTTCCTTTTATGCGCATTTCTTGATCCTGGAAAACAGCGGACCCGGGGACGCCCAAATGAGCTCCTTGTTTCAAGCGAACCTTAAGGGCACTGAGGTTGGAAAGGACAGCCCGCTAGAGATCGCCCTTGGCTCAAGAGTCACGCTCAAGAACATGGGCTATGGCGGTGGACTCCTCCACTCACATGTTCAGACATACCCGGAGGGTTCAGGCCAACAGCAAGTTACCTGCTATCACCACAAAGATGCTAATAATGATTGGTTCATTTATCCCAACCGTCATGAAGCGGATTATGACCCCAACACTGCTCTACGATTCATTGGCGACGGCGACCATATCCGACTTATCCATGGACAGACTGGCCGAAACCTCCATTCCCACGCTATCCCTGCCCCTATAACCAAGTCCCAATATGAAGTCTCTTCCTATGGCAATATAACCATAGGTGATGACAAGGATCATTGGGCAGTCGAGGTTGTTGACGATGTAGCTTCAAAGGACAGAAGCAGGATTCGGACACTTACAACCGCGTTCCGCTTACGGCACCCCGTCCTAGGTTGCTATTTACGAGCCGGCAATGTGAATCTACCGCAATGGGGCTTCAAGCAGATAGAAACAACATGTGTCAAGGAAAACAAGCCTGGTGATGTTTACACCCACTGGAATGTTGAATCTCACTTCAACGAGCGGCGTAAGTTTGGTTTTGATCCTAGTTTCAATCTACCGTACATTAACGCAGCTTTGAACAGTGCCCCCTGGTGATCCAGGCTCCTACAAATCTCCCTTCCTGAAGGATTTCATTCATCTAAACGTTGCCATGATGACCTCAAACAATGCCCTGGTTCCTGATCCGGATAAGCAGGATGATCTTGCCTCCAAGTTTTGGCAGTGGCCCATACTCAATGTCGGCCTCCGCATGTGTTCTTGGGACGACAACACCATCAAATACTATCTTCTTGGTAATCCGTTTATCTACTGGGGCAGCACCTTCAGTCTCGGATTTTTCGGGCTCTTGATCCTTTGGTACCTGGTGCGTTGGCAACGAGGTTATAATGAACTCACCCAGGCGGACATCGACCACATCCACTACTCCGGCCTCTACCCAGTCATTGGATGGGTTCTCCACTATTTGCCTTTTGTTATCATGGCGCGGGTCACATATGTCCACCACTATTACCCAGCTCTGTACTACGCCATTCTTACTTTTGGGTTCTGTGTCGACTGGCTCACCCAAAAGATGAACAGCAAAATCTGTGGTGTGATATATGCCTGCTTGTATACCATAATCGTTGCGATGTTTGTTTATTTCAGGGTTATTGTGTTTGGCATCGAAGGGCCCAGTCAAGAGTGGGATCATCTGAACTGGCTTAGTGGCTGGCGGATCGCAAATTAAGGGCCTCTTGGTTTTTCAAGCTTTCGTGGGCCTCAGAATGTGGTTTTGTTGTCACACTAACCTTTTCATCATACCTTTTACCCTTTCCTTCTCTATATTTGTCAGAGATTATTTTGCCGACATAACAAATCGATAATCCCGAGTCCACATGCTCATATGTAGTCTCACCATGTGTGGTTTATATGCCCCAAGTGGATTGGGTGTCGCTGAAATAGAAATTACTGGCTCACTTCTGATGGATGATCTGTTAGATGACATTGCTCAAGCGTCAGATATCGTGTTGAGATTTGATACTGTAATAAGAGCCACGCCATCCTACCCTGCGCCCCCATCAATATCTTGCCCCTAAGAGCAGCAATTCCCAGTCCAGCCATTGCCACCTCTGCGCATTGCGTCATTTAGAGCTAGAGTGACGGTTTTTGGTGGTCCGTTACTTGTGCTGCCCGTGGCACCAAAGCCTTTAACACCGCTTCGACGGTCATTCAAGTCATACTTGCCCCCCTCGATGTTCTGATGTATGCGCTCAGCGACCTCGAGGAATGCATGCTCGACTCCTTCCCCGGATTTCGCGCTTGTCTCCACGTAGCGTACAACATTATTCTGACGACACCATTCTTCCGCCTCCTGGCGAGTGACACGTCGTTGGTTTTGGATCGAGTCATCTCCTGAAAGATCGCTTTTGTTCCCAACCAAGATAACAACGATCTCTTCCTCAGCGATTTGCCGTAAGTCTTGAAGCCATTGAGTACACGAAGTAAATGATGACGGTCGCGTAATATCAAAGACGAGAAGTGCACCGGATGCACCGCGGAAATAAGAGCGCGTGATCGACTTGTATGTTTCCTGTCCAGCTGTATCCCACAAGGAAAGTTTCATTCGTTTCTGATCTGCCTGGGTCTTCCGAGGAGGGCTGGGGAGACCCGAAACCCTGAGCTCTTCGTTGCCCCCTTGTGCTGCCAACTCAGGAGATGAAGTGGTGATAGAGGAAGGGTGATCGTGAACGTAGTCGTCTCGCTCCTTCCCAAAGTATCTGGAGGCAGGCGGACCAACCGGGACGATGCGTGAACCAAATTCCACTCCAATGGTCACATCATGAGATGAAGAGAACCGCCCTTCGCATAGCCGAATTGTCAACTGAGGATTTGCGAGAATCAGCGCCTGGAGTCGATGAACGTAACTGAATCGCTGGGGCTACCCACACTAGACTTGCCAGTCCCAGAATCACCGATGCAGACAAGCTTAGCGATGTAATCCCATGGCTGTGACATGGATACAGAGTCTCTGGGTTATTAAGTCTGACTTCAGGTTATTGATGCCCGTGGACTCATATTCTGGAGTTGTCCGTGTAGACAGGGTCGATAAGGAGATTGTCTATTATTAATTTGCTAGATAACAACCATGTGGACGAGGATAAGGAAGTGTTGAATCAACACGCAGGGTAGCTGCGGTGGACAACCGCCGACAGCTGAGTCATCCATCTTCGTGACCTTGCCATATGACGCACATTGCACCTCGCACCTCGCACCTTGCGTCTTCTTCCTTCTCACATCCTCACGTCTCGAGAAGGGGAGCCAAAGGGGGGAAAGATACTAACCCTTAGATACAAATTGTGGCTGATGCCCCGATATCCCACAGGCAAAGTTTCAGAGAGCTATCCTTCATGTGTACTTCCGTCTCGGGCCATTCACTAGCTATCTAATGCCGATCTGAAGCCCTCGGAGGTGCTCACCGCTTCACTTGCTGCTTCCAGTCCCAAGGAAACATCGCCGTTCGCTCATCACCAGGCTTCAGGGCCCCAGGACATTTTCGACGAACATGTTTTCAGAATGTATGTGGTCTCACGTAGGACCATGATTATATGTTTTCGTGGTTCTCCCGCCCTGGCGGACGTTGCTCACTCTCTTGCAGACGCCTCACGGTTTCTTGCTCAGTCACAGTCGCGAATAGGGCCTCGTCCTGATGAGGTGCGTAAGGGTCACCGTTCAAAACAACAGCAGGGCAACTCTCGCTTTCCAGTTTCCCGTCCGGTCCTGCAAAGAACGGCCATCAACCCGTACCAACCAACCTCTTCCCAGATCTCCAACCTCCCTTTTGCATCTCGCAATCTGGCTCGGCCTGCGCCTCTTTTCTATAGCGCTACGGATGAATTTCGTGAAGAAGATGACGAGACCGAGCGTGATCGAGAAATAGCTGACTTCTATGCTCTGCAAAGGTCTAGGCGACAGTTCGGGGGAAGTCGCTTGAAGGATTCTTCAGAGTTGGATTATGATGAAGACGAGGAAGATGACGAGGAGCATAACATAGGCCTTTCCGATGAGCACCAATACAATGTTCCCAGAAAGAGCAAAGGCATCAGGAGCTCATGGCGAGATGGTACATCGACTTATGGCGCGCGGAACGCGTTTCAAAACTCCACTGAAGACGCCTTACAGAACCAGATCGGCTCTAGCCACGAGCGCAGAGAAGACTTGTTCGATGTTCGCCTCGAGGACACTCTAAGATTCGATATTGACACCGACAAACCCAACTCTGAAATAGGTGATGACGACCCACCATCTGTCCAACGATTTAGGGCGCAGTCTGAACTTCCCGGGGGCAATTTCGGGATAGACTCGTCGTTCTTACCAGCCGGCATAGGGAAGCAGTCTAGGATGGAGACCTCACAGCCAGCAAGTCTCTCAGACCAAAACCAGATGTCAATTCCTAGAGAAGTGGCAGGAATGCCAGCTCATGATGTTTTCTGGGGTCAGCTCTTCTTGATAACGTTGGCCTGCCTTCTCGCAACTGCGTTTCTTATTTATCTCCACACTTCCGTCCCATCGGGAGACAAGTCAAAGTGGGGTGACACAGTATATTTGACTGTTCATGGCTCCTTTTCTCTCCTTGGGGCATATACCGTTATCTCGATATTCGTGTCACTGCTTTGGCTCGCCTTGCTCCGTTCCTACGTTCGTCAACTAGTTTACGCGATCATGTTCGCCGTCCCGGTGATTCTATACTCATTCTCTATTTACCCGTTTATCTCAAGCTTCAAAGGTGCCTGGCATGGCACTAGCGTACAGGACAGGTTGATGAGATTCGGGTCCTTCATTCCATTCCTCATGGGGAGTCTATGGACATACAATGTGATACGAGGTCGCCATGCTATAGGCAAGGCAATAGGGGTCCTGGAATTCGCATGTCGGATACTCGCTGCAAACGCAGAATTGCTGGCTTTTGGTCTCGGTATTCTCACCTTCATTGTTTCCTGGACCTGGGTGTGGATGCTCATGTTCACCCGTGTATTCTTGGGTGGACATGTCTCGGAGTCAAAATTTTTCATCATCAATCTCAGCAGTTGGTGGCTGGCAATTTACTTCATAATTGTCTATATATGGTCACTGGGCGTGGTTGGTGGCATACAGCGTGCGGTCACCGCTGCAACAGTGAGCCAGTGGTACTTCCACCGCCTCGCAAGCCCTGCTCCGACTTCCAGGCAGGTCGTCCAGGCGGCCATTGTGCATTCTTTTACAACACTATTTGGCACGATCTGCTTCTCTAGACTGATTGCCCTCATAGTGCGCCTACCTCTTATCGTTTTGCCAGGTCGTATCACCTCATTCTTGAGCTTGCTCGCTTATTCCCTTGTTCCTACCCCCATAGCAGCCCTCACAGACCCCCTGGCGCTTACTTATGGGGCAATTCATTCTCAGTCCCTTGACGCCTCTGCTCGTGGTCTAAGTCGAATGCAAATTCTCTCGTCACCGATGACCACACCGTCATTGCATCCGTCCTCCTGGTCGCGTGATGGGCTTGCTCCTCTTCTCCCTTACCGACTTTCAAAGCTCATCTTACACGCTGCTCGTCTCATGATGTCTTTAGCGCTTGGGTTTGGGGGCTGGGTATCCGCCGCTAGAAATTTGGGCGTACCTGCTGTCAGTAGTATAGGCAAGGGAAGTGTGTATGCTTACGTGGTTGGCCTGATCGCAGGAACGATCGGCTGGAGCGTGTTAGGCACGGTCGAAGGCATTATAGCTGACATAGTGGATGCTTCTATCATTTGCTGGGGCAGTGAGATTGGAATTCACGGCAGGGAGGCTAGATATTGCCGAGAAGCTGGCTGGCTCTTTGGCGACGAACCGATCCCTCGCACGAGACATGGACGGGACTTTGTAGAAGCCTAATTGGCTATGGCGTCATGATTTGAGTGTCCTCAATGACAAAAGAAGAGGCGACTGGGGAAATTGACTTTGTTTTCCCCGGTAGTGATTTGTTTGAACTTTCGAGCGAAATGGTGCAATGCTTCTACGTGGCGCACCGGTTTGATCATTCTTTAGCCATCATTTGAGATTTGACGACTATTTGACGAATAGACGATCTCTTTTTCTTAAAGAAAACTTTTTTTTTTTTGGCCTAATCTCTGTACAATCTATCCCAGGGTAACACATTATCTAAACGTCTTCTGGGGAAGACCTACTCCAAGAACAGTTAGTCCATCCATCTGATTGAAGGACCCAGGCAAATAAAAAATGCCCAATAATAAGCTGGGATTACAATTTAATTCAATTTAATATATCCGAAAGGTTATGCATAATCATATACGCATAACTCGTGGTATCACATGTAGCCAGTCAAAGACAGAATGAACTCAATACTCGTGTGCCTTGATGATCCACCTCAGGACACGACATATAATCGAGACATTCTAGAAACAGAAATGTACATCTAAGTGGAAAGTAGTAGAAAGGGTTGATGGCTGTATTACAAGGCAAGGCGACCATTCCATTCAACACCTTCGTTTGTACACCACTCCTTCAGAACTGCGTATCCGAATCGGACAATCTCCACAGGAGAATTCGTTCTTCCAAGGGGCAGAAAGTACTCGCCAGAATAATCACCAACCTTGAGACGTTGTCTGCCTTGTTCCGAGAAGTTTTTTGACCGCTGAGACCAGGTGTTTGGAAATTCACGAGTCAATACCTCTTCAGAAAGACCGCGCGAGCCCTCTAGCCAAAGCCGTTGGGATTCCTTATAGCATTCAGGCAATCTGTTTTTCAGCTCTTGGATTTCCCTTCGATTCCTCTTATTCTCGCTCTTGATGGCATTGCCCTCATCAGTACCCGAAGTCGGCGCAATCGCATATTCTCCTGGCAGTGGAGTGACGGCAAGACGTTCCAAATCAAGGGAATGAATGGCATCGTAAGAAACAGCGCCAAGAATTGAACAAAGGCTGTAAAGACGTCTGTAAGAATTACTGTTCTTCCTGACGACACGCCAGTATGCGAGGATCGATAGCCAGGACGACGAATCTCCGATCTGACCAGGTAGAATTTTGGATTGATCATCTGCAACGAACGCCAGGATGAAGCAGAAAATTGCTTCGATTGCGGTTGCTACCGCCAGCTTCTCATCTACTGCGGTTGCATTGTCTTTCGCTGTGTGTCGTTCTGCAGCGTGCTTAAGCTCCCGTCCTAGATTACCGTATTTCTGGTACTCATCTCTCCAGGCCCGACGGTCACCATTTCGAGGTGAGAGTTTCACTGCCGCAGCGGAATCAACTGCGGTTATATCCTCAACGCCGATCATCTCTGACCGAACACTTGCGTCTTTGGCTTCTTTCCCGGGGGTTCGTGAGGCCTTCTTTGCCCTTTCCTGCTGGGGTGGATTTGAGATGGGGAGAGTAGCGGCTTGGGGTTTTCCTGGAACGTGCAGTTTTGTTTCACCTGATGGGTCTGCTGAGAAAATATTCCCTTGCATACTCGCGGCAGGTTTTGTTATACCTTCTCCGCGATGTATTTGATCGGGTCGTTCCGATGCGGGTGTTTTTGCGGCAGTTTGTTCGTTTTTCGTGGATTGGGGAAGATCGGAGTCGATAGTTCCTTTTGTGGGGGAATTTGTTGGAGCATGTTTTCTTTTACCAGAGAACCTGAGAAGAGCTTCGACGCGCTTTCTATTCGATCTGCCGTATCTTAGTTTCACAACTAAATGTGGGTTCACGGACACATCGAGAGAATTTGATTTGCCATTTGCTTGGGAGCTTGGGCTCGCCTTTGGGATATCGCTATTCTCAGAGATCAAGATCGACAATGAGCTTCTACTGTTCGTTCCCCGTCGACCAAGGGCGAGAATTGAATCTAGATGCTTGTCGCGGTCATCAAAGCCCTTGTCTTTGTTGAGATGGGCCTTCATTAGCTCCGGGTTTGCGGTGTGTTTTATCTGAGAGGGATTTAGGGAACATGGATCCTCTTCTAGCTTGGCGAGTTCTTTCTCGATATCTGGCGGGAGCGTCGGTGACAAAAGTCGAGGTAGCCTAGGAGTATCCGTGGTTGGTGGTAGAGTTGGTGACAGAAGAACTGGGAGTTCGCTTGCCTTAGACCGCTCCCATTTATTTGGCTCCAATCCGCCATCGGGTGACAGTTTCGGTCTCTTCGGATGTGTCACGATTACTTCCCTGCTTTCCCGTGACACTGAACGCCCATTCCCGGAATCGGGGTGTCTTTTGCGCTCAGCAGTCTCGATATCTGACCGGCCAGGAGGTTGTGAGGGCGCGACATGGCTAACTTTTCTGTGAAAGTTGTCCTCAAGGGGAGCAACCCTTGGGGCGCGTTGGCTGTCATCGATGCTAACGGTTGTTCCAGCGCTGTTGTTGCTAATATCGCGGTTGACTGGGGAAGCTGACCCCCCGGGCTTTCTCTTATTCTTATAATCACTTAGGCTAATCTTCTTTTTGATAGATCCGCTTGACGGCGTGCTTGCCGCACTTCGTGGTTCGGGACGATCAGACATGACGGCGCCCTTACCGTCAGACCAGTCCCCAACGGCCACCAATAAAGAGTCTCCCTCGTGGTGTGTTAAGAATGTCATGTACTGGAGTTGTTGTTCCTCTGGAGTGAACGGCCCCTCATTACTCACTGCCCAATTGTTGACAAAACGACCTCCAAGACGAAACGGCACATCGGTAGGCACAGTGAGTTGAAAGGGATAGAAAGGAAGGACGTCTTCTCTAAGGCGTTTCAATCGACGCTCGATCGAATCCTGCCCTGATGCAGGCCTTTCGTTTGATGAATTCGATCTGGGGAATTTTGTCTGATCGTGCGCGGGACGAGGACGGTTCACCGACATTGCAATGTGTTCGTTAGTTCTGAGGAGCTGCTACACCGGGAGTGAACTACCAGGCGCAAATTCCCGATCTATGGAAACGGTTGCTACTGAGTTCCTTGTTTGTTTCGAAAGTCGCTTTATCAACAGGACATTGGTGTTTGTTTGATCCGGACGATGGGGATAGAGCGCGTCGCAGCATCACAAAGAAATGCGTCGGATGAACCAGATTGGCTCTTATGACCCGTGGCGCTTGTGATGGTAGTTTGGGAGGGCGCAGGGTCGCTAGTAAGCCTTGTGTTACGGTTGAGGTTTCGGGCACGATTTTCGCGACTAGACAATACAAGCAATTGCACATGAACTGTCAGGCATATCCTGCATGAAAGCCGGAGCCAGAGGCAGCCGGAGTCGGAGCCGGAGCCGTCCCCACACTTCTTATGCAACAGCAACAGGTTGTCAAGTCGAGAAAGAGTCAACAATCAGGGGCGATGGATCAACAACAGTTTTCGGATGATCTTCTGGCTCGACCGGGGGAATATACAACGGATTGCACTGCGAGGACGCGGCCCACGGATACAAGACCTAAAGATAGGCGCCGTGGGCCATGTGGAGGGAGTGGCCCTTGGTCGTGATTGGGCGACAGTGCGCGCGAGAACGTAATTGGAGGAGGAGAGTACAAAGAAGCAACAGGGGGATGAAAGGGAAGAAAGGAGGAAAGGAAGGAAGAAAGATAGAGAGAGAGAGAGAGAGAGAGAGAGAGAGAGAGAGAGAGAGAGAGAGAGAAAGGAACCGGTGCAAGGTCCAGGTGGAGAGGCTTGGCAGAACTGCCCTTTCTAGGTCTAAGGAGTGACTGACTATTGGCGTTGGCACTCTGACATAGAAAGGAACCTGAACATACACTAGTAACTTCTGCTCGTCCCCGCCGCGACACATCCGAGGGGAAAAGGAGAAGAATGCTTGGGGGACGGGTGAATAAAAGAAGAAGAAACAATCAAACCCTCGATCTCTACGAGCTACCTATCCCTACCTACTCCATACTCCGTACTCCGTACAATTTCCATGGATAACATAGTTACCATGAGTCGTTGGATTTGGATGCACCCGGGTCCGATGATGTCATGTGCCCTGGTCCCCTCTGAAAAGTACGGAGAACTCGAGTCGATGCTCGTCTTCTCTCTTCACTCTTTCCTTCCCTCACCTCCCCTGGTCACCCACACTCTGTCGATCGTTGCAGCTTTGCAATATATGTATGTATTTTCGAAACCATTTGCATCGGTCGCGGACTCTCCTCCGCCTTGGTCAGTTGGCTTCGCAACAATTTTCTAGCTCAACCATGGGGTCTTCGCTGGCCGAACTCCAAAAGTCCGGTGTTTTCACCGCGAAACTACCGCCAGACCCTGCCTTTGAAACCCCAGAATCATCCCACCAGGCGCCGAGGGAGACACTTGGTCCCCGTTTGGTGAAGGGCGCGCTCTACACTTTTGTTCGTCCCGAACCGACCAATGCGACGGAGCTCTTGGGCGTCAGCCCAAGAGCGATGAGGGACCTCGGATTGAAGTCTGGCGAAGAGCACACCCCCGAATTCGAAGCGCTGGTCTCAGGAAATAGGTTCAATTGGACTGAGGAGAGCGGCGGGATCTATCCTTGGGCGCAGTGTTATGGAGGTGAGATTTATAGCTTCTGACACGCCCCTTCAAAATTTATTCGTCTTTGTTAACAGATATAAGGCTGGCAGTTGTATGTTGTCCCAGGCCCTCTTTCTCTTCATCTCACTGGACTGACAATTTCGCAGTGGTTCATGGGCAGGCCAGCTGGGCGATGGAGTAAGATTCACCTGTAGCTACCGTGACCGCCATGAACTAACCTGTAGCAGCGCGCAATCAGCTTGTTCGAGTGCACCAACCCAGACACGCACATTCGATACGAATTGCAGCTGAAAGGAGCTGGGCGAACCCCTTATTCTCGTTTCGCTGACGGAAAAGCCGTTCTTCGATCCAGCATCCGGGAATATGTCGTGTCAGAAGGTATTCGCCTGAAACAGCTCAAGACCCCATGAAACTTACTTTCGTCTGCATAGCACTCTCGGCACTTGGCGTGCCAACTACTAGGGCTTTGTCCATTACCCTACTGCCTCAATCTAAGGTTCTGCGGGAGCGCATGGAGCCTGGAGCCATCGTTGCCCGGTTCGCCGAGTCTTGGTTGAGAATTGGAACATTCGATCTTCCGCACGCGCGTGGTGATAGGGATACAGTTCGAAAACTGGCTACTTTTGCCGCCGAAGAAGTGTTTCATGGCTGGGAGGCTTTGCCGGCGATGGTGTCGTTGGGTAAAGATCACCCCCCAGATGCTGTGGACAACCCAGCAAGAAACGTTCCCTGGGATCAACTACAAAACCACCAGGGCGTAGAAGAAAATAGGTTTGCAAGACTATATCGAGAGATTGCCCGGCGAAATGCGAAGACCGTGGCGGCTTGGCAAGCCTATGGTTTCATGAATGGTGTTTTGAATACTGACAACACATCAATATACGGTCTGTCTCTTGATTATGGACCATTTGCTTTCATGGATAATTTTGATCCCCAATACACCCCAAACCATGATGATCATCTGCTGAGATATTCCTACAAGAACCAACCCACCATAATCTGGTGGAATCTGGTTAGGCTCGGAGAATCTTTAGGTGAACTAATGGGGGCGGGAGACAGCGTTGACGACCTATCGTTTGTGAAAGAAGGTTTGGCCGAGGAATCTATGCCGGCTGTTGTTGAGCGTGCAGAGGCCATCATCGAGCGAACGAGCGACGAGTTCAGGACTGTGTTTTTGAACGAGTACAAACAACTGATGAGCAAACGGCTGGGACTGAAAAATCGAAAGGAATCCGATTTCCAGCACTTGTTCTCGGAGCTTTTGGATACGCTGGAAGCCTTGGAACTGGACTTCAATCATTTCTTCCGACGACTGTCGCATATACCACTCACTGCCATCGAAACCGAGGACCAAAGGAAAGACGTGGCGCCCGTGTTCTTCCATGAGGAAGGATTCGGTGGGATTGGCTACACCAACGAGACCGCCAAGGAGCGCATTGGCAACTGGCTCGATAGCTGGAGGACTCGGATTCTGGAGGACTGGGGGTCGGACGAAGACCAGCAGAGACAGGAAGCAATGAAAGCGGTGAACCCGAAAGTAAGTAGAGGCCCTGTCGACTGACTGCGCATTCCTCGCTAACTGCCGCTTTTGGCAGTTCTTGCCTCGCGGATGGATTCTAGACGAGGTCATTGAGCGAGTTGAGCGCCGTGGAGACCGTGAGATACTGGGACATGTGATGCGCATGGCTCTTAACCCGTTTGAAGACACTTGGGGCTTGGACAAGAAGTTTGAAGAGCGATTCTGTGGAGATGTACCCCGATTTCAAAGAGCTATGATGTGCAGTTGCAGCTCTTAATCGTGGACATTTTCTTTTTAAATAGAAACCAGGCCGGTCAATATTGCTTTGAGACATAAATTTTATTGACAAAAAACTTTTTTTTTGGTACTTAGTCTTCCGCATTACACAAAAGGGAAAGTTTTATCAACCCAAGACCCTCCCCAACAGCCCAGACCACCTATCAACCAAGTTCGAGACCTCCGTCCTTCCCCCTTTTCTTATACTTCCTGGTCCAATATTGGACTAGAAGTTGGGTGGTGAACGGAATTTAAGGTTTAGCAGATCTTTTCATGATACCGTAATCGGGGAAGTCGTTCGAGGCTAGGATCGTAAAGCCAGAAGTGACTTGGCTGCAATGAAATAAGACATATTTTGAAACTTTCAAACCCGGTACAGAGCGTACGGCTTCGATCGAAGACGTCTCTGGGAGCTGGTCCCGGAGACGTCAGTGCGAGGGAGGAGACGAAGGATTTCTCAGTGGTTCGACTTAGTTGGGGCAGGCAGCCTGGACGTGTCCGGGCTGTTTGCAGTTGTAGCAAACTCTCTCGCCTTTAGCCTCAGTGGGGCAGTCGCGAGAAACGTGTCCAACCTCTCCACCTAATCAGCAATAGTTAGCAAAGCAAGCCTAGTACGGTGACATGTAGTAGAGGACGCTTACAGTTGTAGCACTTCTGTCCGTGGGTACAGTCGCGAGCCATGTGACCGAATCCGCCGCAAGAGTAGCAAGTCTGCTGGCGCCCGCCGAATCCACCGCCATAACCGCCTGCATAACCACCTTGAGGGCAGTTACGAGCAATGTGACCAACCCGTCCACACTTGTAGCACTCCTGGCCGCCAGTGGCGCCACCACTGAAGCCCTCGGTCGGGGCCGCCTGGGGGCATTCGCGAGAGATGTGTCCGGTAGTACCGCAGCGATAACACGACTTCTCCTTGGGAGCTACTGTGCATTCACGGCCTGCAAGTCATTATATATCAGCTGAGTACAGAGTGAAAGTAGAGTCTAGTGCAACATAAACTTACTGACATGGCCCTGTCCTGTTTGAGGGGGGTTCTTTCGTCAGTTCCAAAACCAATATATCGACGCCACCAATAGTGGCATTCAATTCAGAAGCAAAAGTTATGACATACCACCGCAGTTGTAGCTGCAGATGTTTATTAGCACCAGGCAATCAAAATGGGCATAAAGACGGATGACACCTACCAAGTCGGGGTACCCTTCTTGGGACAGTCACGGGCCTAATAGTCATAAAGTGTAAGAATCTGCCATTGGCCCGCATTTCCGAATGAATTCATTGCGAAGTAAAAGATAGAGAACACAAGACCTGTCCTCACGCCTGCGTGTAGAAGAGGTAATTTACCTGATGCGAAGCTTCACCACCTGTGAGAGATTTGAATTAGTATCAATGCTGTGTAGCTGGTTTTTGCCCTTGTCCGAGAAGATAGGGTAGGGAGAGTAGATCATTGCCCCTCTAATTCAAGGGATGTTGGAAGTATCATGACAACAAAGCGTAGCTTCAGTGGTATAATTTGTGATGCACAATGTGAGGGCACCAGGAATAGACGGCGAAAGGCAAAACCACCATGGGTCATAGAGCGAAGGACTCACAGTTAAAGCATCCACGACCTCCAGTTTGGAAACTCATATTAGCGGAATGAATGGAATAGATGATCTTAAAAAAGAAAAGTAGATGGGCACAAGAACCAAAGGAGGAAGGGAATTAAAAAAAAAATTAATGCGGTTTGATCAAAGTTGGGAGGAATCAGAGATTTCAATGGTGGTTAATATTCTTGCTGAGAATAAAAACCGATTTTCCAATCGGTGCGGGGGGGAGGACGCTTCCCGCGGTTCCTGCAGGGCTTTGTCAAAAAAAAAAAAAAAATCAAAAAAATCAAAATCAAAATAGCTAGACTAAATGAGAGGGAAGGGAGAAAAAAAAAAAAAAAAATAAAAGAGAGAAAGTCTGAAAGACCGACAAGGTCTATCTATTACTGGTAAATCTCCTTGCTTCCTTCCTTACTTATTCTTCTATCTCTTCTCTTCGATCCATCCTCTGTTCTTTCTTTGTACATACCTTTTCTTCCATTCCTTCCTTTTTTTGGAATTTTCTTCTCCGTCTTCATTTGGCCATCCGCTGGTCTAGTGCAACGTTCCAGCACAAACTACATCTATGACCGCCGCAGCATAGGCTTTTCAGCAAAGGACTGCAAAATCACCATTACGGGGAAGAGCATTTTCATGTAGTTACTGTTACAAGGAGCGTGGCTTTATGGCGGTTTCCAGAGGAAAAATATGTTCTAGGTGACATACTCGGGAGGAAGACATCGAGCTGAGTTCCTAATATAGAAAGTAGTTGCCCTCTAAATCAAGCCTTCCTTCCCTCTCCCCTTCACTTTCCTGCTTTGATATCAAATCTCAAAAGAGCAGGTTACGTGAAGTCGTAAGCCTCGAGTAATTGCCCCCCTATGCCCATCTCGCGAAGTAAAAGTACCCGCTCTTCGTCGAAGCCAATACAGCTGCTAGTTCGAATAAACTCAGACGGTGGGCGCTCGGCAGGTGAGGCCATAGATGCACTAGCCTGGAAAATGTGGCTATGAGACCGTGACTCGCCACCACCATTTTCCCGGATCCTTTTGTTTTCGGGACTAGCTGGGATGCTGATCTCTTGCCGCATGCTCCTATGCGTGTCGGGAGACGATATGAGGGCCTCAAGTTCCCATATTCTCACCTCGCCTCCACGTGAGCTAATGGAGACTGCCTTGCCGCGATTGCTGACTTGTACTGCCGAAACTGATGAAGTATGACCCCACAGTCTCCGACCACTTTTGACAGACAGACCTGCCGCGGTGGATACAACAAGATACATCGTCAGGGTATTGTCTGCGTGAGATGTTAAAAGATAAGGATGGGAGTAGGACACCGAAGTCGGCGGCTCTCGATGCAGTATCGATGGTTCGGAGGGTCGGCCATATTGCTGACCACGCGTGGTTTCGCGACCTGAAGAAGACAAGCCTTCCCCGTGAAGAGAATAAAGGGGCATCGTTTCATGTTGCGATTCCACTGTCGTTGCAAGCCGAGAAGTCTTTTGCTGACCGGTTTTATTGAAGTGCAATTCTTGTATGCCCAATGACCACCCACAGCTTATATGGGAAAAGCTGTACACGATGGATGCTATGACCTGCGAACCCACTATGCGAACTGATAATGATATGGGCGATAAAATGCTATCCGCCTTGAGCGACGCAAGCAAACAATTTTCCTTCGTGGGAACTTGCCCTGGCTTGTCTCTTTCGAGCGGGACCTTATACAGTGATAAGACCTTATGCTGAGATATCATTAGGATATAAGGCAATGATAAGGCGACACCTGTTATAGCCCCATCGGCAGTTCCAGAGTGTGTAAACCGCAGGCTTAGTCGCATTGTCTTGAGATCCATTGTCCACAAGCTGAAGCGGCCACTTTCGAAACCAACGGTGACTTCAATAACATTCTGTTGCTGGAGGCGACCAACCGCCAACGCCGTTGAAGCGTCCAGGGAATCTGTGGCAGGGATCGACGCTAGGCAGGATTGTGGATTCCCAACCTCCCAGATCCTGAGCGTATAGTCCAAGTCCGCCACGAAGACAAAGCCGGCACAGAATTTCACCAACAATGGCGGCCGCAACGGTTCGGGGAACTCGATTTCAACGACTCGGCAGATCCCTCTTGACCAGTTGTGCTGGAGGCGATACTGCCTTTTCCAGTTCGTAACCGTACCACCTTTCGCTAGGCGTCCATGATCGAGCCACATTGACACTTTCGGGGTGTAGTTGAATTTAGATGAAAATAAACCCGCACGCCTTCTGTTTGCTGTGCGACGCGATCGAGGCCATACCCATCGCGAGTAATATTGTCTTTTCCACAACTCCGAGTCTCCGGCCAAGGAGTGAAACCGATGGGACAGTCTAAAGAAAGAAGATGCATCAGGCGGCTTGCAGGGTTTGCAAAAGAGAATATTGTTTGGACATACCGTTGGCATAGGAGTAAAGTTGGCGTGGGTAAGAAGGACAGTATTTGAAGCAAGAGTTCGTCGCTCAAAGCCGAGATACGGTCTGCTTTTTCAACCCGTGCCACACGTATGCGCTTTCGCGCAGGATGGTGGCTATCGTCGTCATGGTTACATCTTTTCAACATTCTGCGACAATGTCCATCTTGAACAATCAAAGGGAAGGAAGATAGTCTCGCATACTCCGTAGCTACTGCCGTAGTTGCCAAGGTGGTTAAGGTGGTTACGTACTGGGTAATTAAGCAAGGTTAACAGGCGGAGTGGGTCAACCGGACAGCCTTTATTTCGCTATCCGGACAACCCGTAATAATAGGTAGATAGGTTTTACCAGGTACTTTCTCGGATTGATCATACTAAATCGAAGCAACCCCCCCAAATCTATAAGTTCTAGAAAATTGCAACTAAACTTAGAGGCCCTAAATCCCTAGTTAACTTCGGATTGATTCCAAAGTTCTGCCTGTCTTTCTCTGATAGACCGCCTTCGTAACCAAACAAAGTGAAGACTGGGAGTATTGTACATACATTCCTATTTAACTACACTGGTAAATCCATACATCTGTATCTACCTCCAATAGGTACTCTGTACTTGATTATTTACATATTACTGGGCAGGTACCTAGGTAGTAGGTGGCTACCTACATACCTACCTGGTACAGTAGATTTGTACTGTACTATACAATACGCACTTTACATACACAGGTACTGTATGTATGTACTGTACCTACCTTATCTATGTATGTATGTATGTACAACAGTACATACATATCACTTAATATCAGTCGCGTCCTTGGGATTAGAACTTTCGCGATATTGCAACCACCATATCACCCATGGATGTTCTAAAAACCCTTCATACTTCTGTTGCTCAAACATTTGAGAAAACATTCGATGATGCATATAGAGATCTATATGCTGAAATCAAATCTCGTGACTGCAAAGTGGAAGAGGCCGAAAAGAAAGCTAAATGCGCGGAGGAAGCCCGGGTTGAGTCCGCCGCAGAAGCACGGGAACTAAAACATGAAATTGCCATCCTACAAGAAGATATGGCGCGGAAAGATGTTAATGCAGAGGACACGCAGGTCTCTGCTGACCAGATTTCTAAGCTGAAAGAGACATTCTCGCCTCAACAGGCTCTGATCTTTGGCGACAGCCATGCTGGTTTTGACACCGGCTCCGATTCGAAGCCGAACGAAATCGTCAAGGAGAAATATGCCGCACTATACAATGAATTCATGACTCTGATCAAAGCTATCGATGGTCTTAGACTTCAAATTAAGCGTCAAAAGAGAAAATTGACGTATTTGCGAGAGTGTCTCGATCGAGAAACGTTTACTCTTGTGCTTGATGGAATTCCCGTCAAGTTTGAACGGAAGCAAACGACTGCGGTTGAAAGCCAGGCCCAGAAGTCAAAGAGACGCTATGAAGCTAAATTGCCACCCTGTGTTGCTGAGGATTCCAAGAAGGCTGGCTCGAAAACTCGTTCAAACCCATCCAGCCCCCAGCCAGGTGCTCATCATGACATGGCATCTTTGAATCCTCAGGATGAACAGCCAAACCAAAATCCTTTGCTGTGTGAGCCCGTCGAGGTCTGCACATCGATTTCGATACTGCCTACGGCTGGAAACGAGACAAACAGCCAAAACGCTTGTTCCAGAGCAGACAACCTACGAGAGCCGAGCATGTCCAAGTTAAGGTATCTGGAATCGTGCAAACCGTCTGCTGGAGTTCCATCATCCGATGGTAGCGTGATGAACAGTAAAATAAAAGATTCTACTCTCAGAAGTGAACAGACTTCGCCTCATTCTACAAGGGGACCGTCGCATCAAGCTAAATCTCATCAAATCGAGGAGCTCGGTAAAAAAAGCAACAATGTCAATTTTCTACAGGAGAGGCAACATAACGCGGGTCTACGTCACGAAGATACCTCGCCAACCGTCCTGCTGTCATCGCTGGGCAAAGCAGACGATAGTACCCGTGCTTCCGTCGCAAATCCGGGATCTTCCAGACACCCAACAGGTGATCCGCTGCATTTTAACCCGAGAAGCGATCATGACGGTAGCTCAGGGTTGGAGAGGAGACATGATAAATTACCGGGCAGATCTTTGAAACATGCATTATCTTCGATTGCGGAGGACGGTGATGAAGTCGGCCGTAAGCGACGCATGGGAAATTTACCACAAAATGCCTTATCTGGGGCTAAGTCTACCCAATTTCATTCCAACGAGGAAACCGCTCTCACTGAGAGGCGGTTGCATCAACTACTCGAATCACCTATACCTCCTAGACCCTCATTACAACAGCGCAAAGTCACTCAGGCTGAAGCTAACGGAGAAAATCGTCATCAACATAAGGAGCTAGGTCTTACACAGGCGGTTGATATTGACGTATCTTCTAGCCTACGACCCACAGCAGCAAAAAGCGAGGAAACCCAACTGCCAGGAGCGCGACACGAGCTTCCAAGTGACCCCTCGTGTCGGGCAAATGACTGTGAAGTCAGTGAGATGCACCCGGGGGATGAGCCTTATCGAGCTCGACCGTTGCGCCGGCTCGATCTAAGCCACTTTAAGATCAATCCCAATTACAACCAAGGACTGGACTTTGCATATGATGATGTTGTTCGCAAGAGACATGAGCGCGATTCTATTCAAGGCTGCACACGTCCGAACTGCTGCGGACAAAAGTTTCTTGCTATGGCACGTCATGGTGGACTGCCAACTCACCTAGAAAAGTTCCCAAGCGAAGACAGAGAAATTATAGAAGATTTTCTCGGGGAAGAGAAGGGCATAATTGACCGGATGACCACTACGGAATATCAGGACATCCTTCACGAAGCGAAAGCAAGGCTCATGGCCAATCAATACGGGCGACATAGGCATCATCACCAGCGGCCCTCCACACCCCCTGGTTTCTGGCGTGCAGACATGCCTGACACGCAGGAAGTGGAATATGACCGGGAAGAAGCCCTCAAAATGGAAAGAGAGAAAGTTAAGGAGCGGTATAGGCAAGCGATGCGACCTGGTGGCTTGTGGAAATTTGCGGATGAATGAACTTGTTTTGGGCATGTCACATATATACTACTAGAACGCCCAGTATGTGGTTCCGATGGACATAAATGCCGATAACTAGACAATCCTAATAACTGCATGGCTATGTCGATAAGTACTATGTAGTTACTCCGTAAATAGCCTCGGCTTGTATTTCTTGGCACATGTAGTAGTGCACGTGCTCAAGGGGTATCTATCCGCTCCCTCCGCTGTCTGTCGCACTCAGAGCTACTTCTGGTTGACTAGCTTGAGCCAGCACCAGTATCGCAAGTCATTCAGTCGTTTAGACGTGTCTGATATGGAATCCACCTGGAAAAATGGTAGCGCAATACAAACGGCGCTTTTCCAGCCGTCCAAATGGCTCCCTCTTTATGAGGACTTCGTGACCAAGAACGCTAGCTCTGTTGGCCAGGTAGAGTCGGCGCTGAGGTCTTTGACCTATATTATACCAGGTTGGTCTCAAGGCTTGCCCTTGGAATATTCACATAGGGAAATGAAGGCTCACTCATTGCCATCCGATGCAGGACGATACCGAGATTCGGAAATACCGTCAGAATGTGGTACGTCGAAGGGTCGGTCCTGAGTACACGGTGACTCGCTCTAACTATATGCTTATGCAGTGCACTCTGGCGTACAGATTCTATCGTTGTATCATGACTCTCTCGTTGCTCGAGTTATCTCTAGGCTACCGTCCACAATACCCCGGCCCACACCAACACCCCATTCCCGGTATACGAAATATTGGACCTCCAATTCAGTCCTCTATCACAGAGTCGCCTTGACTCTTCAAATGATACAATATACAGAATTACTCTGGGAAATGGTTGCGCGACGCCGCGGTGAAAAGATCCGCTGGAGAGTGGTCGCGATAATTGAAGTCATAAAAGCGATTTGTCGTCTATTCTTACTTCGTCTCACGAACTCCCGGCCTCTAGTCAGCCCTCCTTTACCCGAACGTGAGGTCGACCCAAGGTCGTTGGAGGGGGAGGAAGAAAATGACTGGAACGGAATGCAGACGCCAGACAACGAGCGGATTTCCGACCTGGGCTGGACTATGCCGCGAACAGGCTTATCACTCCCTTCTCTCCCAGACGTGAATGATGTGTCCAATTACCTCATTTCCAAGGTTCTCACGGCCGATGACATCAAACCGCCCAAAGCACTCTTGCATCGAGTTACTGGTCATGGTCATTTAGCGGAAGTGCTCTATATACTCCGACCCGTCTTGTATGCTCTAGCGATGCAACGGTGGAGGGGAGACAAGAAAAGTTGGAGACCCTGGCTGATTGGCTTCGGAATGGAGTACGGCTGCCGACAGCTTGCCAAATCTGATTTCAAAGAAAGGGTTGCTGGTGGTCTTCGAGGACTAACAGGTCTCGAGCGTGAGGAACTAAGGAAAAGAGGATGGGCTATGGGCTGGTGGCTTTTCCGCGGAGCATTTTACGAGAACATAACCAAGTATGACAACTCGATTTGCCCCACTGAGAGAATAAGACATGATACTGACGCTGAACAGATCTTGGTTGAGGGGATTAACAGGGAAAATGAAGGGAAAACCTGTACTTGACTTGGTGGGGAGCGTTGTTGAAGACTACGAATATCTGTGGGATAATTACTATTTCTCGACTGCGACGCTGTAGCGAGCTTGCGATTTTCTCGTTTTCGATCCACAGGGTTTATGCTCGATGGATTTGTTCGCTTACCGTTGTAAACCTACACCACAAGCTACTTTAGATACCCAATTTTGAACCACTGCCTCCCTTCGCTTTCCGCCACCAGCTATCAACTGTCATCGTAGGAGACAAGGGAAGAAACAGAACGCAAAAAGGATGGAAAAAGGGAGGTCAGAGAGAAAGGGAGAGAACTAAATGTATATATGCCAAAGGTTATCAAAGAGGGGTATCGTGATCATTAATTCTAGTTATTAGATCGGTTGTGTGCTCTCAGAGAACTTCTGTTGGTTTGCTTCCAAACCATTGTTCAAGTTCATGGGAAGTTGTTCCCCCGTTACCACCAGAGGACGATGACAACATGAATTCCTTCAAATGCGAATTATTCCCATCCACTGGCCAATCAACCTTAGACCCTCCCTTGAGCTCTAACATTTCCTTCGCAGTACCCCAACTGAAGCGGCATTCATTCCCCCATCCAAATATAGGTTCCATGTTTCCTCGAAGCCAGCGAACACACTTTGAGTCGGATGGGTAGCCACTACCCCAGCTATTCGTAGCATTTTCGTGTGGAGATTTCTCAGGTTCTTGGGCCATCAGTACGTTATGATGACATAACTCTAGTGCCACGTCTCTAGTTACTTTCGCGGCGACACTCGCGGCGCTAACGCATGGGTATAAGGAATCAGCCTTTTTAGCAACAGTAATCCTTAGAGAAGGGAAAATGCGCTCCAGCTTCTGCTGGTAGGCTGCTGGGTTTCCGATTGTGTCAATGTAGACCTCTCTGATTTCCACCTTTTTGACTTCAACAATGTCCCGAATGAGCTCAATAGTAGCATCCATTGCTTGCGCGTTTAGGTTGTAAGCTCCTGCCCCGAGGCGCATCATGCCAGAGGAGATGTCGCGTGCGGAAAGCAATTTGGTCGCCCACCCGCATGATTCGAATAATGGCGTACCCGGGGTGCAGAGTGTCTGCATTAAATTGGCACGCACAGCAGGTGTAAGGACTTTGCTGTCATCGAAACTATACTGTTGAGCCAGAAGGGGGTGGTGGAGATCATGTGGCACATAAAATGCACTGTATACCATTGGCCCCAGAACGGGGCCTCGTCCAGCTTCATCAACCCCTAAGACATAATGTTTGCGAGAAGGTGGTTTCGTCGGATCAGAACTTTCGACTTGAAGATCCGTTTCTGGAGGGCACGGTGAGTAATGGGCGTAGGATTCTCCGGCGAACACTCGGGCGCGATCTATACTGGGAGGGATGAAAAGACCGGTGGGAGCGAAGCCCTCCGGGGAGTGCCGTTCAGTCGGTTCTTCCATGATTCTCCGGGATGGAATTGAGAAGTCAGGGATCTTTTCTGGTTTCTTGAGTCCAGGATAAGAGCAGGGTGCAGGGTGCAAGGTGAAGAGGGAGAGGAAGAGGGAGAGGGAGGAATAATCTCTCTCTCTCTCTCTCTCTCTCTCTCTCTCCCATGCGGGACGCGTCGCAAACCGTTCCAGACTAGCGGCGCTTCGGCGCGTTGTTGGTCGGTCGCCCCGTCATGAATTCCCCTTCCCATTCCCCTCCATAGCGGCCGCGGTTACCAACTTTCCGCCTTGTCGCCTGCCTTCCTACCGTACATTTTTGCCCGTGCCAATTCATACCAGCTTGGTTTCCCCATCTCGCTCTTCGATCCCGAGATCCCAGGATCCCATACACCACGCTCATTTTCTGGGCTTCCCTTGACCCAAACTCCGATCAATTCATCATCCCGCATTTAGTTGTCTGGATCTCGCGCAACGATGGCTCCCCGTGGGCCCGCGAAAACCCGCGACTATGACTACTCAAACGTTGGCAAAGCCGGAAGGTCAGTCTGTCCCGTTGTTTCTTTTATTACGCTCTTGTCATCCAGTGCCTCGGAGGCTGATGTTAGATGGCCATGGTTGCAGGCGTACCGGGATCACTTTGAAAGAAGGCAAGCGCGACGAACATGGAATGGAAGACATAGAAGGGATGTGGTCATCCCCGGAAAATTCACCTTTGCGAGATGATGGCGCCAACGAAAAGAGCGATGCCTCGATTGGTTCGGATGGTATGTCAATGGACGAGGGTACGTGCCATCCTCCCCACTATCGCAATGATACTCATGCTCGGTCATTCAAACACACAGAGAATGCCCCCGACCCAGCAGATTTCCTAAACAGTATCAAAAGTGCCCGCGGGCCGTACCATCTTCCTCCCGTTGCACGCTCTCCCCTCAAGTCCGGTCTTACCGGGTCGCCGCGGAGAACCCCCGGCTTGCGATCCTCTCAAAGCCCGCAGCGTGACATTCTTTCCTCTAGCCCCTCCGATGGTAAAGGGTTGGGAAGCGCCGCGGGGGGTCCACGACAAGACGTATCTCCTCTCACTAATCGGTCCGTCAATACACCCTCTTTCCACCATGCAGCTAGCATGCGAAGCAAAGCGAACAAAGCATCCGAACCGGCTATGGCGGTGGCCTTTTCGGACAGCGATGCAAACAGCCAGTTCAATGGAGACGAAAATGCCGATGTCTTTGAGCAGATTCAAAATGACTTTGCGGATGGCTTCGAAACCAGTGACAATCTTCTAGGAGATCAAAGGGAGGATGTGAGGCAGGATGCTTTGGACCTGGACCCACAGTCGGCCACACCTGAACCACTCCCTCAGAAACAGACGAAGACTTCTACCAGGACTAGAAGGAATGGGAGGAACGCGGAGACCCGAGCCGAGGAAATTGCGCAGTCCAATTCAGCTGAGAATCAAGACTTTTCGAAGAAGAGGAAGCGCCCTGGAAGACCCGCAAAGAGCCAAGTTCAATCCAACCCTAAGGGTGGTAACGAAGAGGAAAGACCATCAAAAAAGACCAAAGCATCAAAAACTACGGTTGACGAGCCCAAATCATCTGGACACCCCCAGTTGGACAAGGTCGTTGAGAACTACGCCAATCGTACAGGACCTTTGAAGGGACGAAGCTTGTACATCCTCAAACGGGAGGCGCCAACAGATAACAGCACTACTCACACACGATCAGGGCGTGTATCGGTCAGGCCTCTTGCCTACTGGAGAAATGAGCGATGTGTATACGGCGACGGCGAAGCTGCGGAGGGCCAGCGATACCCTCTTTCAACTATCAAAGAAGTCATTCGGACAGAGGAACCTGAACCGGAAACGCGGAAAGCGAACAACCGGCGGCCATCCGGAAAGTCGAAATCGAAGAAGAAAATCCATCAGGAGGACGATTCGGACAGTGAAGAGTACATCGATACTTGGGAAAAAAACGAAGGTGTTTTGCACGGGTATGTGAGGAAATGGGACCCCGAGGTCCAAACTGGCACGGAAGACGAGGAAGTTGTCGGTATGGTTCCCCCCCTTTCCGTCATAGCTATACCGACCATACGTACTGATTGGGTACTAATAGATATCGCCTATGCCCCTTCTGGAATCGAGACTCGAGATGTGAAAGGCTCGAAGTTTCGATTTGCCAAACTTCTGAGTTCTCCTTTCTTAGGATCTGGAATCGTCGAACTACCTCCCGGAGGAGTGAAAAAGCCCAAGAATTCAAAGAAAATGCACATGGTGTTTTACGTCTGCAATGGCCGAGTGCAGATAGATATCTCTGGTGTACAGTTCAGTGCGGGAAAAGGCTGTGTCTTCCAAGTCCCACGAGGTAACTTTCCTCCTGTCCCTTGTATATTAGTCTTGGAAACAGAAGTCACTGATCCCTGTTCTCACTTGCAACATAGGAAACTACTACAGCTTCGCAAACACACACGGCAAGGATGCTCGATTATTCTTCACGCAGGGCTGCGTTCCGATGGATAAGGACGACTCCGCCCTTGAATCGGCGTCCAAGTTAGAGACCATGGAAGGAGATGCTGCTACTCCGATCACTCGACCCAGTGGTCCTGGAAAAGGCAGGTCAAGGGGCAAGCAGAAGACCAAAAAATAGTTCAAAGAATGCTTGAATGAGCTCATCTCAACAAGCTTCTCTCAATTTGCAATAGCAGCGGTTAGTTGGTATCGTGATTATCACCTGTAATCATTCTGTCGAATTTTTATGCGAAACCACCTTGATGTCCATTATGGGGTTTTCTCACTTCTAGCGATTATGTTACGTGGTCATTGGGGTCATTGGTGTTTTTGAGTTATCATAGGTCTTTCCTTCATCCTCATCTATTCTGAAATGTATTTTAAACGTCCCCCTAAGGGCATGGGACCTACTCACACCGATGCACTTTAAAAGACAATTTCTTCTTTACCGACATTTTAATGACACGGCTTTTTGCCCTTTCGCCTTGTGCCAATCCTTATCCTAGCGGGAAACTTGCTATAGTTCCTCCATGTCGCCAAGGTCGTCGTCCAGATCTAAAGGGGGAAAGTCCCCTACCTGAATTTTGTCGGGTTTAACAAACAGACCAGACTTGCTAGGACAGGTGAAGAAGCGTTGCCCTCCAACGCTACCATCATTCTTTCCTGTGGGCTCATCAAGTTCAACCCCTATCCAAAGGGGCAGAGAATCATCAGACTCTCCCCCGGAGGTCCCAGGCATAGTATTCACTCCAGGATAGGGAATAGTGGGCACAGGCCCAACAAAGCGGACAGTTCCCCTACGAATATGTGGCGGCGATGAAGGCAGAATGATCGCACGCCTAGAAACAACGATTCCTAATAGTAGAAGCCGGGGTAGTCAGCATCACGGACACCTACTTTGGAAACTGCCTAGATCCATACCTCTTTGTGCAACTTCCTCGGCGTCCTGTTCTGCCTGCCTCCGCATTGATTCCTCGGGCGTTAAAGCATTTGGGTCAAAGCGGCCTAGTTTCTGGTTTCTTTTCCAGGCCAAGACCGAATTTGGCAAAGACTCGTAAGTTTCTGAAGGAAGGACGTATTTTTCCACAGATGATAGATCGTTAAAATTGGGTCTTGCGGACTGGGGTCTCGAATCATGGACCTAATAGGATCCTGCTGATTAGTTTGTGTTCCAACCATTCTGACAAAATATACACGTTTGTTGTTCTCTTTCTCTCTTCTTTCTTATGCAAGGCTTAAACGCATGCAGAGTTTGTTGGGTAGGAAGTAAGAAACTGTCTACCGCGGCATGATTTCTCTTCTCCAAGCTCTATATAATGAATAGGTGGAAGACTAGACACGGCCGGGCCTCTAAATTCCCAAAGAGAATGCACGGCGGGGTTCACTCTGAGTGGAGTGGTAGGGTGCTGCCGCAGACCTATATATACCTTTCGTGTATCTTTTGTGCGGCGAGGTAACTAGATATACCGGGTTGGGAATAAGGAGGCGGGGGAAGGAAACCAAAGAACACAAGCCTAGATAACATAGGAAATCGATTTCATACCTCAATTTCGCATCCCTTTACTAAGCCCCAATCGCCGATTACGGTTTCATCACCATCAATCCATCGACTGGGAAGACCGGGCGGTTTAAGATGCAAACGTTGACTACCGGGTGGGATGCCAGTCATGGTTTCCAATTTAGACTTCAGCTGCATGACAGTCCATGTTGGAGTGATGCGGCGTTCATTCTGGAATTGAGAACCTGCATTAGGACCAGCAGATGGCGTAGTGATGATAACAGCGACGTCTGCCGGAGTAGGCTGAAATGCCATTTCTGCTTCTGTTCTTGAAGCTATACGGAATATTAGTTTGAGGAGGTTGTTCCTGTCCAATAGTTAGACAAGCCAGGAAAGGGCCAGCGCGAGGTCACCGAAAGGGGCCCCGCTGTTCTCAGATGCAATTTTGTAGGCCTTTTCATTCCCAGAGAGTCACGGAAAAGGGGCGATGTGATTGCGGGAACCTGATGAACCTATTTTCCTAGCCAGGTGGAAAGATGCGCTTACTTACTGATGAAAGCTAGCTACACTTCAAGTCAAGGATATGATGGCGACTTGATATGCCAGCAGAGAAGAGGAGTAGAGAGTAACTCGTGAACTACTGAACAGGTTGTAGTTACACAGTAGTGTCATTAGTCAGCACCGATTTCCAACCAGAACTAAGTTACTCCGTACAGAGTATGTCGTATCAAGACCTTGTACAACTCTGGGTACGGAAAGGGTAGGTATGTGCAATCATAGATCTACTGTCAGGAAGGCAGGAGCGGCTTTCACATCGCTGGATAATCGATTGACTCGATTCCTCTCGATCCATACCACCGAGACCGGCCACTCGGAATGGGCCAGAGAAATCCCCGATAGTTGAACCTGTGGCAGGTGCACAAGCAATTGATTGAACCTGATTTCCCTCGGTCTCTGCGATCTGAGATGGATACCGATAAATCCACGATGCTACTTAGGTAGGTAGGTAGAATAATGTAATGTATGTAACCACCCTCGGAAGAGGTCCCACGTGGGGTGCTCTTGACACATCCGATCCCTCCTCATCTTCTCTTCCCTTCATTCTTCCCTTCATTCTTCCCTTCATTCTTCCCATAGCCCGAACACCAACCGAGATCACCCCTCTAGAATGCTTGTGTGGAAAGGGATATCCAAATAAACGGCAACAATGGCGTCCTCAGAAGCTGCCACCAACCAACCCAATGGTGAATACGAAGAAAAGAATGTCCACGAGGTGTATCAACTGATTGCGAATCATTTTTCCGCGACTCGTTATAAGGTGAGTACACGTTCCCTGCCTGGTCCTTCTTCACCGTCTCTACATAAACGGTCGAGGTGCTCTTTGCTTGGTTCTTACCGAATATTGGCAGCCATGGCCAATTGTGGAACGGTTCCTCAAGGAATTGGCTCCAGGTGCGATTGGGTTGGACGTGGGATGCGGCAATGGCAAATACCTGTCCGTGAATCAGGATGTTTTTATCGTGGCTTCCGATCGGTACGTGTGATCTCTCCATTGCCCCAGAATTCCCAAGCATTGCCCTGTCGGCGCATGTGCCTGCCTCTTGACCTCTTTTCTTGCTGTGGCCTGGGCAAGGAAAAAAAGTGACGAGCCCCTCTCTCCACCCCGCTATTCCTCTCATCAATCATCTCTCTCCCCTCCGAAAAATTTAGTCGTCATAAATGTGTGTTTATTTTATTTCTACCAATATATTCTCGTTTTAGTGTTATCGACATGACTCTTGAAAAGAAATCGTTTCATCAATGAATCGCCGTTGACCGTTGTGGCCAGGTCGGAAAATCTCGCCCGAATCGCTGTAAAACACCAACCACATTCAACAATCGTCGCGGACATTCTAAATCTGCCACATCCAGATTCGTTTTTCGACTTTGCCCTATCAATCGCCGTGATCCACCATTTGTCCACTCCTGATCGGAGGATTCAGGCTATACGCGAGATTCTGCGCACGTTAAGGCCTTCCAAGCCTAATGCACCTGGCGGAAAGGCGCTTCTATATGTCTGGGCACTAGAGCAGAAGTCTAGTCGAAGGGGATGGGATAAAGGTGACCAACAGGATGTGATGGTCCCTTGGGTTTTGAAGCAAAAACCCTCCCAAGATGATTCAGGTGCAGAACCGCAAGTATACCATCGATACTACCATCTCTTCGAGGAAACGGAGCTAGAGCGTGATATCAAAGCGGCAGGTGGTTTTGTCCTCGATTCAGGTTATGACAGGGATAATTGGTGGGCAATCGCGGCTCGATAAGACCCGGAAGTGTCATGACGTGGGGGCCCGGGATCCTGCCCTCTGGGGCCTCATGCTGACATCCACATCCGTCCATGGAAAAAGGAGAGTCGTGGAAAGGGTGCCCATATGTCTTTGGGGTTCCCACGGAAGAACTAAGAAAAGGAAATTCCAACAAAAGCAATAAGGAGAAATCCTCTCCCATGATGAAGGCATACCTTCAATCAACGCTATGCAAGATCGTAACAATGCAAAAAGGTAAAAGCAGGGAAAGCAAGAGGCATAGACATCATCTTATGGCCCGCTAAGGAAGAGTTCGAGGGGGGAGACCAAGGTGTGGTCCCAAATGACTGCTATGACTGCTGCTCAAGTCTAAAGGATGTCCTAACCGATAAGCTTCTCGCGGAGGAGGAAAAGGCGGCGGCGGCGCATATGCCGGGACGCCGGCGGTTAACTCCTCGACGGATGGGAGCTGTGGAGGAGCAATTGGACGCGATGCCGATCCCTTTCGTGGCCGAGATAGAGACGTGCTAGCTCTGCGAGCCCTCGGGGCAGGGGGATCAATTGCTGTACTCGACAACGAAAAGGGGACTACTCCGGCTCGGCGCGCCATTTCTTGTTCCCCCAGTTGCCAATGCATAGCTTCTGCAGCTCGCCATGGAATCGCCATTTCTTCTGCCACTTTGGACCACATTTCCGCCTTGAAACTACAAATGCCCGGATGGATTAGCAAATCATTCTGGAAAATCTGCATCTAGACTCTCTACCTCAGTGGATAGAAAGCAACATTTCCTGGGAGACATACCGCTCATAAAGTCGCGCAAGCTTATTCTTCTTATCCTCGTCCCACTCACTCCTGCGCTCTAGATAGTTCTGATAGTGAAGACGGCAACTGATCGCACTTCGACCGGGAAGTCGTTTGCTGATGTCCTCCCATTTCATACCACTTCCCCGCAATTCGATAATCAGTGCGTCCTCCTCCGGCGACCATTTTGACTGCTTCTTGGCTGGAGATTCTGCCGTATGAGCTGGCTGTAGGCGCTTCGCCGGGATGGATACTGGGGCTTTGGCTGTAAGAGGCGTGACGGAAGGAACGGACGTCGGGGTCGTGATGGGGATTGCCGGAATCATTGGAGCTTGCGGGATCGGATTCGGAGGGAAGTTGGATGCAGAGGTCACGGGGGTGGCGGCCTCCTCATCTTGGGGCTTCAGCAGCAGTGAGATATCCACTTTGGCGGAAGGCAGAATAGCTTGGTTTTGTAACGCAATCATATGCGCGATTCGCAGTCAAGACCTCTTCTTTTTTGTCGTGGTTGTGTCTGGATCGAACCCCCCAAAAATTGATATAACTGCCAGGCTCTGGCTAAAAATCCGAAATGGCAGCGTTCAGGATGGACGAACTCGCGTGAACAATGCTGGATTCAACGATCGTTTTTGAATAGGAATGATGATAATGATGATAATAAAACGACAATGATAGCAATGGTAAGAGTAAACTTAGATAAATCTTTTGTATCGATCTCCAAATCCGTGAGTTAAAGATAGTATTGACCAACAGTGAGAGTCAATGACGAAACTTGCAATCCCATCGAGATGTATAGAGGGGAGGGAGTGGGGGTGGGCGTGAGTAATATCAATGGGTAGATATTAAGCAAAGGCTCACTCGTCGAAGTCGACGAGGGGCGGGAGACAAGGATAAGAGTTAGAAGAACAAATAAAAGACTGGCGGCCAGAGAAGGTCGAAAAGCACCGACTAATGGATGTTCTCCAGTGAGAGAGAAAAGAATAGAGAACTGCAGATATCGCTCGTGATAAGGATAGAGGTATATCAAGTTGGATAAAAAAATATCGAGGCAAAATCTAGACGAAATTCTAGTAACCCAGTAATAGGAACAGACGAGGTATCAGAACTAATCAATGAAAATCGTGAAGAGATTGGGAGGATAGAGATCGAAAGAGGGAGGGAGAAAGAGAGAGAGAGAGAGAGAGAGAAGGAGAAGAAAATAAAGTAGGAATAGAGAGGAAGGAGGAAAGCCGAAACAGATGAAACAACCTGAGATGCATGAGAAGAGATCATCGGCAATGACAGCTGATCTAGCAGTGTTGGACAGCAAATTAGAAGCTCAGCAGTAATAATGCTCGCACTTAGTAGGTATGGGGAGGGCGAAGAGGAGGCTAACCAGGAGGCGAGCTCGGGACCCAGTGGGTTCGAGAAGCCGTTGATATTGGGATGGGTTATTTTATTATTTTTATTATTATTAGTTTAATATTTTTTTTAATTCCGGCTTTTCTTTTTCTTTTACTTTTTTTCCCTTTTTATTATTTCCTTCCTGCTGCCCCGTACACCTAAGTATGATCATGAGAAAGACCTCACATCTCTGCTCCATTAGTACTTTTTTTTTTTTTAAAAAAAAAAAAAATTTCATTCTCTCTTCAACTGCCATATAGACCAATTTCCGTCCCCACTAGATACCCTCGAAGGGGGATCTGGATGGCAATCCTTATATAAACCCAGTCTTCGAGACTCCTCTAGAGAGGAGCTTTGTCTATTACGACTGAGAAGAGACCAAGGACCTTACGGACCAACGGGGAGTTAGAACCAACGGTTGACTCTTATCCACCAGAAGCTAACCTACAGAAGGAAGTACTTCCTACCAGTTTAATGGGCAACAAAACAATAATACTACGGAAATATTATTATTAATATTATTATTCCATTAATATTAATAACAACAATACCGCGATGATTATCATGAAGGGTTCCACTTCCCGGGTGCTCTACTTTAATGCTAGAAGGATAACGGAGTACTGGCGGTCAAACCTCTTCGAACATTCGAGCCCAACTCCAATTTGGACGATGACTCGGGCGAGGGGTTCGTTGGCAAACCAGGAATTCTCTCCTCGCCAAAAAGTCAACGCTCTACCCGTTGGGCCTTTTCTATCTACGATAGGGATCGACTCGGCCGCCCCAGGGCCGGAGAACGGAGTAGTTGTGGGCGTGCGTGGGCGTGTGTACGGCGTAGTCCGTACGGTGTATGTAGGCAAGCAGCCAAGTCCTCTGCCCTCCGTAGCTTACTCCGTACTGTACATCCAGCAGAGCTGGTTTGGCTAGACAGGTAATCACAATCTCAGCCGCATGGTGACGCTGGGCATGACAGGGAGATTAAAATGATGCCTTGTAGAATTTAGCTGAGTAGACTAGACTCCCTCGATTCGTTCGTCCATCTTACATGGTGCTGACTGCTGACGATAAAGCGAGGGGAAGCTGCATATAACAGGAGGGGCAGCTGCTTAGCCAAAGACGACCGATGAGTGCCGGCCACCCCGGTATAGGACCCGAAAGTTAGGGTGTTTAATATCTTATTTTCCTCCTGTTTTTGTCCCTTCTCTCCTATATTTTTAATTTATTTATTTATCTCTTTCTCTCAGAAAAATCAGAAAGAAAAGAAAAGAAAAAGAAGCCAGTGAACTAACATGGTTCTCCCCTGTGGAGAACCGCATCATCCTGAACCGGGATATGAAATGGTCGTGAAAACTCCATGTTCCAACCAGAGCGTTAAAACGGGGAATGATGGGGAGGATGCGTAACGACGACGGCGTCAAGTCTTAGCGATGTCTAGAAAGGGCCTTAAATTTCATTCCCCTCCATCAGTCAACGCTAAATTATATTAAAATTGCCAACGGGAATGATCTTCTCATTGGCCAAGACCCCCCTCCCCCCCATGTGCCAGATTTCAGGTTCTTCTATCCTGGCTCCCTTAGCAGGGGGTGCCTTGTCTTTATTTTGATTATCCCTATGATTAGCACGATCCGTCTCGTTGCGACTTCCCGCTCCCTCCAAAATCCCCTCTGCGCTTCAGAGTCCAATTGCAGAATTCGGAACCCCAACGGCCGGGGGCTCGTCCGTCCAATTAGTCCCAAACTACCGCAATGGATCGGTCAACGGTGGACGAACCCCAATCCACGGACGGCAAGTATCGTCCTAGCCAAGATTGATATGCCACCCAATAGTAGTCCCTATTGCCTACTCCGTGAAGTGCAACTCAGACACCACCTGGGTCCCAAGGGTGGGAGGGGGGTTCATTTTGCATTTTGGATCGTATTTGTATTTTCTTAGGGACCGTTCATTCGTGTCGTCCAACCTTCTACCGTAGTTAGTTTCTACGGATTACAGAATACCACTGGCCTGGCTTGGCCGACTTGATCGACTTGATCAGGACAAAACAAAGCACGCAGTATGTAGGTATATGCTAGGGAGTATGTACTGTACCTACTACGTAAATAAAGTCCCTCCTAGACCTATCCAGTAGATCTGTGCAGAAACCACCAGGAGAGGACGAACCTAATGCATTGAACACTTCACAAGAGTATACCGCTGTATAGCACAGATTTAATCCTTCTCTCGCCTCTTTTCTCTCTCTTTCTTCTTTCGCTTCAGTAGTCGGACAAACCAAAAATGAAAAATGAAAAATAAAAGAATAAAAAATAAATTGACAGTTCCAGTTTTCCATGCTCCATGCAATGCGCCGTACTTTGGGTGCTGTCAATCAGGTCTCGGTAAGGCGCCGGGCGGTGCTCTACCGTGGATTGCGATGGGATGTGGATCAACTTACCGACCTCCCGAGGCCGAGACCTTTGAAATAATTGCGTGGGCTTCAATTCTCCTGGAATGCGAAGAACGATATTCCGTACGTGATATCGAGATAATAATGCTCATCATAATGGTATGCGAGACCAGAGATTTTTTCTGGATCCGGTGTCAAGTCAGCAAGAGCTCGTCGTCCTCTTTGCATGCGTCATTATTCAGTATCCACCGAGTTTTTCATCCGACTTCATACTGACGATGTTGTCACACCCTACTCAGCCCGAGATAGACCTTGATATCAAGTCTGGAGTGATATCAACATCGATCTTCCTTACACAAACCTTGTTTATTTCAGCTCGGTTTGGTGCAATTTTGCTTTTTATTCCTTTTTTTTTTTGACTTTCGAACTTCGACGTACACCTGAGTACTACCACTCCCGACTACTACGCGTGTACGGGGTAGGGCACAAGTCCAACAGACTTACCAGTTCCCGGTTTCCACGCAGCAAAGAGTTTGGTTCCTTCCTTCTTCGTTCCCACTTCCCAGCAGTTCGCCCTCATCTCCTTCCCAATTTAATTTGACGACGGCAGTTATTAATTATGGGGAAAGCCCTCCAGTACATTAATGATGAAGAGCGATTAATCAATCCATGATTAGTGCACTACCGCGTACCCTACTCCCGCACCCAAACTCGTTCAACGGGTCGCGATCTCCGGGACTCCATCTCTCAACAAATTAACTTCCGTTGATCTGTCGGTCTGGAACGCGAAGAGGAAATTTGCTGGAATTATCATTAAATGAATAGCCCGTGAACCAAGGACTAGAACCACGGAGGAAGGTAGAGAGGGAGAGTTGGAGCTTAGGAAACCCGTTCGCCAGCCTTGGGCCCTGAGAACCTGAATCCGGCCTTAGGCTACTGCCGACGGCGATTTGCCGCTCAAGACGCGTCTTTCGCGTGCTGTGCGCTTGTTGACCCGAGTTGGGATGTTTTTCTGTCCCTTCATTTTAATTTTGATTTTTTTTTTTTTTTAAAAAAAATTCCATGGGGATGAGGGCGAACGGAATAGTACATCGTTTCAGGGACGAATGACCAAGGAAGAGGGGCTGCTTGTGAATACTCCGTAGGATATTATTATTTATTGACGTCCTCCTCTCCCGTGGCAATGGGGTGTCGGTTTAGTCTCGATATCATCATCATCGTCATCGTCATCGTAATTGTTCTTCCGTAGAAGGGAAGAGGGCGGGGAGGCGGAAGTGTGGAATAATACTACGTGTACTCTGTCAGTGACTCAGTGTACTGTACTCAGTATTTACTCCTTACGGCGTCAGAGGAGGACCAGGAGTGTACGGAGTACTCCTAAAGAAATGAAAAAAAAAAAAAAAAAAAAACATGACCCGTACTTCGGCCGACACTATGGAAACAAGGCACCGATTCCTTTCTGTTCTGGGAATAGAGATCGGAAGATAAAAGACCGCTAGGCCCCGTCGGCACTAGCCTGTCTAGGCTTGCGGAGTATGCTAGGCCTTGTCGAATAATGTCGAACGCTAAGCCGAAGGACCTTCGAACGACGGGGCCGCGGCAACAAGGGGTTTCCCGCGAGCTGCACCACTAAGCCAGCCCGACAACCACGGACATGCAAGATTACCTAGGGACTGGTGGGGCTAAAACGGTGGTTTGCCAGAATTGTTCCGACCGAAAGGCGGTGGAGACGGTCGGCCTTTTTCCCTGCCAACGCCCCAATGACCGCCCGACTGCTGGTGGGCCCAATTTCCCGCCATTATTGGAAGTGACCTGGCAAACGCGCAGCCCGTCCGAGGGAGGCGGAGAGAGGCGCAGGTGAGAAACTGAGCGCAAACGAGGCTTGAATTAAGGTGCCAAGTCGTCGCCCGCCTTTTTTGGGGTGGTTTGTTTCTCTTCCCTTTCTCAGTCTCGGGGCCAATCCTCTCGACGCTATCTTCGTCCAGTATCCGTCACTAGTTAGTTTATATTAATCCTCTTTCTTTTCCGGTCTACCATCGTCAACGGCGTTGGGAGTGACGCAGACGATCAATATGTATGTCTCTATGTAGTAGTTTCTACGGAGTGGGATACACTATCCACCGTCTACAGACTACAGACTACAGTACCTACGCAATAAGTCACCGCTCAATGACCGGACTGGCCTGAGTTCGGTAATGGGTCAATAATTTATCTTTAATCTATGGATCAAGTTATCAAATCGTACTCCGTACGGAGTAGTATGCGCTCATACCTAGCTCCGTTGCCTTCCCAGGCTCTGACTTTTCCTTGATTTTGGGCTAATCTATCTCCTTCCCCCTCTTCATTACCGATCTATCCTGGAAGATGATTCTTTAATTGCGCGGGTTGACGGGGGATGGCAACAATTGGGACAAACGAAGCCCCGGCTCATACAAGTCAGATGTAAATGGCGGTGGACATCGCCCTGCCGCGGGCCTAGAACATCCGCTCCCGCGGTGGGTTTGACCTTGATCTCTGTCAAGCCAAGTCAAGTGTCAAGTTGTCAACCCTCACCAGTGTCAGGTCAGGACTCGGGACTCGGGACTCAGGAAATCAAATCCCAGTTGCTGAGTTGCTTGCTGGCTTACAGTAGTCTAAGGCCCGATTCACAACAATCCCATTATCATAGTCATCCTACATAACTCTCCGGGCCAAGGAAACTGGTGTTTTATTTTAATCTTAGTTTTAATCTATTTATTTTTCTCTTTTTCTTTATTGATTTATGTTATTTTATTTTTTTGGGGGGGGGGGGGGGGGTTATTTCTTCCACTCCCCAGGACTCGGTGCAAAACATGCAGTTGACTTGCAGATGTGGAGGAAGGCAGAAGAGCAACAAAATGACCTGTCACATGGAGCAGGCCTTCCAATTTCAATGCTACCGTCCGTCGTGCCTCCTTACTTCCCCTCGTGTTCAATGCGCAACGAACCTTCTATGTATTAAGGGTCAGCATTACTCCAAAGAGTGGACTTCCAGTCGATAGTGTCCATGGACCGTAAGAGTTGATGCGGAAATCCAAAGTTTGGCACTTTGGCTTCGGGTGTACCGACATTGGAGTCGCAAACCTGTGGTGGCCCATATCCACAATTAGTAGTCACCATTCGCATCGTGCTACGTACTCCGTAGATGGAGTGGGCGGAGAGGGGTGAGTCCTGGGATGATTGATTCGAGGCGGGAAATCAATATTGTGTGGAATCTAACAATGCACATGTACAAGTCACTCAGACTGTAAGTACTCAGTACACAGTAAGAAGCTGGTAGGTGATGCGTTGTTAGGCATCTTGGGCTGGAGAAGACCAGAGCAAGCCCCCCCACCCAATGCGTTGCCCAAGTTGCCCGTAGGATATTCACATTTCACAGGTTGTGTCGCTGTCACTTCTCGCTAAGATTATTATTTGTTTCTTATTGACTCGTCGGAGTTTCAAACGGTCTTGGACAGACGCCATTGGACTGGAGCCGGCGGGTCCAGACAGGGATTCCGGCGCTCTTTCTATTCCTGGCGCGCAATGATCGTCGCAGAAAATGTCCGACAACCTCAGAGGCTCAGAGCCTGAGTCCTCTTCCCCCCCCCCTCCTTTTTTGATTTGATCGCTCCATCTGACCGTCTGGCGATATTCCGGATAGATTATGGACTGATTTGATTCCTCCCTTCCCCTCTCGGTTGTGCAGGCGAGTGTTCAGTATGTACAACCAAAGTCGACGGGTGCGATAGCTTCGTCTACGACTTTGTACAATGACATCCACCGTGCCTATGCCGATGCTCTATTGGAGCAGAAAACATTACGGTGTAGGGTCTACGGAGGGTTCCCAATCAAACATGATACTAACAACGGTAATTTGGATCCTCCGTAGCAATAATATCTTCTCTTCCCAGAGAAGAGGAAAAGAAACCCGCCGATGGTGTCCCTGGGAAATTTGAAACATCTGGGATTGTCTTTGCGTGGCAAAGCTGAAAAGTGGCCCTGTGGCTATTGCGAAAACGGTCAACAATTAACAGTCGAGGCTGCCCAACTCGGGTGGGTCATCGGGTTAATTAGGGTCTAGAAGCCCTCGGCGGACTGTGTCGAAGAGTCGCCGGACAATATTCTATCTATCCCTGCATTTCCTGGGTTTGCTTGTCATCTACCGAGTACTGTGTACGGTGTGCGGATGGAACAGATAGATCGCCATGCTTTGGCCCTTTCCTGCAGGACGCTCTACTGAGTCAATGAACTCGTCCATCATCCTCTGCTTAGGAGAGATTGTGACAGCGCTGCTCGAGAACTTGATGATCATTTGCCCCGGCCTGTCCTTTCGAGCGTGAAACCGGCCTTTTAGTGCTCTTTAGTCTGTACTCCGTACCGCCTAGACTTTTTAGTCCACTCTTCTTTGTTCGGCAGAAGTTTCCCAGGATGAGAGGCTGGATCGCTCGCGATCGCCCTAAAATCGACCCGATTAGTTGTAAGGACATGAAGAAAAGGTAATCTCATGCCCTTAAAATTTAATTTTGATTATCCGCGTCGGTCACGAGAGACACGACACCGATCGTTCGTCGTTCTCGAGTCATGGTACCGAGATCGGCCATCAACCTGCAATCATCGTTCCTCTCGATGAACAACCCATTTCCATCTCGACTGCATATGGGCTGAGGTGATTGGAATGCATTGCATGAGAGGAGGGTGTACGGACACGACTAGAAGGCCTTCCTTCCTGGCCTCCTACACCGCCACCAACTCGCGGTGATCACTGATCATGACGACCGCCGGTCAATGCAGACCGGACCGGACCCTCATCCGCAGTGTTCTCGACGGGGCGAGATCAGACCATCCGAACTGGCGATGGCTGGAACGTTCAACAGTCCACCTAACTGCCCTAGTAAGATTACTGAGGGGGCGGACGGGGAGCGAAAGGTCCCCACAATCTGACAAGATGAAACAAGAAGACGAGCTGTGGGGAAACGTCCGAGATGATTGGGCTATCGTCATCTATTAGAAGACAGGATTATTGGGATAATCGCCGCGACGCCCATGCGAACCATTGCCGGATGTCCCCCCCCCCCCCCCTTGGCGTCCCATCCAAGGCAAATTCAAAGCAAATCACAACACATCAAATCTCCGAGAGAAATTAGGGAAGCGATTCATACGAGTCAAATGGTGTGCGCGCGGGGAGGTGCCTTGCGGGTCTAGACTCTAGACTCTAGAGCCCCCAATCCGCCCCTCCATGCCGGATAGATCGATGGCAATCAAAGAACCCGGCACGCATAATAAGTTGATAACTTAGTCCCTGACACGCTAAATGGCCCTCCAATCATTAGCTCGAAACTTCCCGTGTTCAGGATAACCTACGGGGTAAGGCGTGCCTCCTCAACAATTACCTGATCTAGTAGCTCGGTCATTCATTTGGGAGAGGGCAGATGGCCTTGGGGCCAATCTATCTCAGGAAGCCCTCACGGAAGAAGAAGGTGAACAATCAGAAAGACCAAAATGAAAGAGATGAAAGAAAATAGGCCCAGGTGGCTTTGTAGTGTCATCTGTTCTCCCACCTTCCCTTGCCGTAGACAGCGCCCGTTGAAGGCACAAGCCGAACGCATATATGTGTATCTGAAGCGATATGGCCATTCTAGTTATCTACCAACATGCTAGTGGAAGCGATATTATTTGCCTTTCTCTCCCAGGGTGGTGCCCTAAAAGCTGTGCGAGTACTACCCTTAGAAAGTCTTCGCTATGGCTCCAACCTTTTTCACATATCAAATCTGGACTTCTAATGGAAATACATACGTATGATCCAATGAGGAACATTGTTCATCAGTCCTATCACAAACTTGAACAACCATGTTTTGAGCTGGTGCTTTGAACATTTACTCTGAACAGTGTTCTATTCCATTGTGCTCGAACACAAGATCACGCACAGGAGTCTCTATCAAAGGTCACCACAAAGCTCCCTGCCACGGCGATAAAGCGCACCTATCTACATGCTCTCTGCATAACAATGCAAGGTGTACACTTGTCTTTGCTCATTGAATTGGTCTTTGTTCACGAAAGCTTCATGTTTTCGATTTACAATCAATGAATTGTTTATTAGCCAGAATAACGGACCCAGGAACAAAGGTGCCGAGTGGAAAGAAAGAGATCAAACGAAAAAGGAACCCGCAAAGACGTCAAAGGATATCCAGGTCTGTACAAACATCACAATGGCCTCAAACATAAATAGCTGGCTGTTTCCGATGAGCAAGATGAATTTTGAAGTCATCAACAAGCTGAATGCTTCAGCCAATCGTCAATATCATTCGATCTCTGTTTTGCAGATCTATCCAGGTTCTTAGGGCTACTTGAGCACTAACCAGCAAGATAACACTTATGGACTCTTCGAATAACCAAGAGGACCAGCGGACAATAACCAGCAGGGTAAGTGCCCCCCCCCCTCCCTTTTTTTTTCTGTTTCTTTCTTTCTTTCTTTTTTTTTTTTTTTTTTTTTTTTTTGAATATCCAACTCGGTCTTGCACCTGCTGACATTCTTTTGTTCTTCTCTCTAGAACGTGCTTCCCTCTTGGAGTGCGGACTATCATGGACTTACTCCGTTGAGAGGGTTCGCAAACTCCTCAGTCCTATGCTACCGGAACTCTGCCCTGTGTGTTATCCTACACTCACCTCTTTTGATCAATTGGATGGCATCACACTATGAAGAACATCTCACAGACCGATGTGTTATATGTCTGTTGCACCGTCTTGTGGTGTCGTTCTGGAAAGGAGACAGCAGCGGCGAGGATAAGGATGCCGTCCTGGAGCAATTCTGGACTCGGATCCGGGAATATGGATGTACATGGTCTAAACAGAGTCCAGAAGAGCAGCAGGATGTACGGGAGTTTATTGAAAGCATATTCAATCAGATGATCCTGGATAGTGACGGAATGGAGTGAGTGACCTGACGTTCCTTTTTTTTCCACCACCCATTAAGCAATAGCGGCGGCTAACTTTCTTTCTCTTCTTGGAAATGAAAAGACCATTTGACCTGGCCGAGCTTCTCAAGATAAAGTCCAGTCTGAGTCTCAAGTGCAAGGCATGCAGCAAGGTAATGACGCCATCGGATCAAGTATGGTTTTGCTCGCCCCGAGATGGTCCAAATTTGAGAGAGGAAGAAGCGCCCATTGAAATCGGGCATTTAATCAAGCGTCGCTACTCAGATTCAACCGAAAATTTTGGTTGTGAACAGTGCAAGACCGAGACTGGCCATGCTCGGTCTGAAGATGTCACCGAAATTCCCGAGATTCTGCTCATTTGTTTAAACAGAATGGATGATGACAAGATGAAATCATTTTGGAATGTAAGCCTCAGTGACCAGATGGTTCTCCCTGATTCCCTACGCGGATGCCTGGCAGATAAGGATGATATTAAGTACGAACTGTACGTAATTATATTCCACGACGGTGACTCCATCAAAAGCGGTCATTATACGGCTGCAGTTCGAGCGCCCACCGGGAAGTGGATGTTGATGAACGACGACGCCGAAGCACGGCCTATGCAGTCCCTGGAGACACTGATGAACATGGGCGAAGGAAACACGAAGCACAGCGCTACTGCCTACGTGTTAGTGTATCGACGCCTGCCCCTTGGGGGCGAGTCTGCGCCCGCCGAGGGCCAGACTGCACCTACACTTGCTAAGGGCGAGTCTGCGGCTGTCGGGGACAACTCGAAGCAAGAGCAGGCACAAGGCGACGCATCCGGGCCTTCCGAGGACGTCTTAGATCAAACGCAAGCCATGCCGCTCGAGGAGCCGTCGCCCACCGATCCGGCCGTCGATCCGGCCGTGCTGGTTCCTGATTTAGAGATCGCTCCCAGTTCTCCCAGCCCCGTCGGCTCCCGGGCGTCGCGTCCGGGGTCACCAGTGCGACCTGGGGTGACGATGGATGGAACCATCAGTCTCGACGGCCGGGAAGTTGAATGGAAGATTCAGCAGCAACTGACCATGCCTTCAGACGCCGGTCCCCTGATTAAGGTGAAACCTCGAGCCAAAGTCCAGCGTGCTAACATCCGGCTCACCCTCACCTCCGGGGAGGAGGTTCTGGAAGGAGAAGTCACCATCTCGCTGAAGCCCGCGGTGTCGAAATCCCGGCCACAGAAACCGGCCAAGACTCCCAAAACTATGAACACCAAGGCAAAGAAAGCAACCGACAAGGCAGGCCAGAAGAAGGCGAAAGCGACGACATCCAGCAAGCAAGCCAAGCCTGAGGGGGTCAAGAAGGGGACCAAAGCAGGAAAAACCGCAAAGTCGAACACCAAGACTAAGGCTACTACTAAGATTACTACTACTAAGGCTACCACCACGGCTACCAGGGCAGGACAGACCAAGAAGCCAAGCAAGAAGGCTAAGGGAACTCGCTAGGCGAGATTTTGGACAGTTTAGGATTTACTTGTGTCGAGTTGGTTTTATATTTCTTCTTTTATTCTTAATCAATAATCAATAGAATGAAATAGAGCACGATGTGTACAGATTATTAACATTCATTCTCTACTGTTGCCCATTGACGGTTCCGTCCCCGCCAACCTCCAGCTACCACCTCGGCTGCCTTTTACATCCCCTCAGGTCTCCTTTCACATTGACCATACCGTCTATCTCACTAGGGGCAAGAGGAATCCCATGCAGGATTCAAGCAACCATGGACCAGCTGTACTTCCCGTTCAATTCGTTGAGCGGCTGATCTCCCGGCTGGGCCAGCAGCTTCCCCCAAGTCAACGCGCAACGGACTCGGCTAGTCCCCTCCCACCTGTTCTTCCGTCAGATGCAAAGCCATTGATGTTGACCCTTCATTGTCTGTTTCCCAACGAGCTGCTGCTGGCTCTGGACATTCTGGACCGCGGCCTGGTGAGACGGCTTGCCCAGCAGGATGCGAGCCAGGAGTCATCAAATCCGACGACAGATCCGTCCAGGGTCGTGTTTTTCGTCATCTCCGCGTCCGCGGCGCCGTCGACCTCGGCCAAAAAGCCGGTGCCCACACGCACAGGGCAAATGGGCTATGAGGTTAGGTTGCAGGCCTGGAATTGCACTTGTCCGGTATTCATGCTGGCCGCATTTCGCGATCTCAGCTTCGGCTCCGCCCCAGAGATGGAGCCTGCCAGACATGCGGAAGGACCCCGGGACGGCGACGACGTGCCCAGAGTCAAAAGCCAGACCTGCTGCTACGCATATGGTGGGTGGTTGGCTGGCGAGCCGACCCGGACGTCGCCTCCGATCTGTAAACATCTTCTCGCTTGTCTGTTGATGGCGCGTTGCCCTGGCGCATTTGAGACCACGGCCCAAGAGGCCGACCCAGCCCTTGTTCCTGCGGAGGAGTTGGCAGGCTGGTGTGCCGGCTGGAGCGGATGATTCGGTATCGGTTTCCTGTTCCAGACACAGAAAAGACAAGTCTGGGGCAAGAATACCCGGAAGGGTTCGGTAAACATTGGACAGCAAACGGAAGACTGGCGCTTTGTTACGCCCGAAAGAAACCAGCGCTCAATCGGCTTCATGTGCAGATTGAGCTTGAGGAATTCGCCCACTATAGATGTGACGCATCTACATCTACGAGGCTATAGGGTAAACGAATGTTTGGGCGCCCTCTTCTCTTGGGGGGATCCTAATTACGCGTGGTTCATACTCCTCGCGACGTCAGAACATATAGACCACCAACGGCAAGGCCAAAATCAACCCAACGGGACCGAGGACAGCTACTGCTGCTGCTGATGCTGCTTGCTGCCTTGAAGGATCATGGAAAGATATCAAATTGCAGACTCGCAACTTAATCGAGAAACAAGATTACTATAGTGTACATCTCAATGCGGAGACTGAATTGGCCTAGAAGATCATATCACATTGCTACCTCCAAAAGGTCCATTTAGTCGGCCCTCGGGCTCTTCTTCTTCGACTTGTCCTTGGACCCATCCTGGTCCTCCTTCTGCTCCCCGTTCACAGCGCCACTGGCCTTCTTGGCGGCCTCCTTCTCAGTTTTGGCCGAGTTGGCCTCTTGCTCCCTCTTCAGTTCGTTTTCCTCCTGCTGTTGTCGGTTCTGGATCTTATTGTCGATCAAATCGTGGAAAGCGGTGATGGCGCGGATTAAGCTGCTCAGATAGATGGCCATCAATTGATCGTTGGTCTTGATGCTCATCGCGCGGGCCAGTTCACTGTTGTCCGTCGGCTGCTCCGACCCGCTAAGGCGCTGGGTTGCTGGCGGGGTGGACAGGTTGGGCAGTAGGTTGAAAACGTCCTGGAGATTGCCCAGAATGGCGTGGTTGACCGGTAGCTCGTGGTCCAACACCTTCTGCAGATACTGGCCAATATCCCGGAGGCGTAGATGCAGACCCTGCAGCGATTGAAGTTGTGACGTAATGCGTGTCGACAGAGTGCCGACGGCAACATCTCTGATATCCCGGAGCAGATGCTCAACACCAATCTCCTCCGCTTCTTCAGCTTCGATTATGGACGGAGTGTGGACAAAGGTCTTGGAGGTGGTAGTGCCGTCCTACGTAGACAATCGCATCAGTTCAATGGTCCACATATTTGCACCGGTCAGGAAGGGGCGAACTATCGCCAAAGAAGGGAAGGGGAAGAACGTACATCCTTGATCTCATCCACGGCGAAATAGGCATCGGTGGGTACTCCGACTTCCTTGGGTTGGACATCAACGATCACCAGTAACGGGTTCGGGGTGTAGCGCTTGAAAAGCTCGTTGATTTCGAGATCGGAGGCGCGCAGCTTGGGACCCGAATGATACCACCCGATGAGCTTCTCGCGGGCGTTGATTTTCTTGAACATGTCTCTCATCGACTCGACAAAGTTGTGGTCTAAGAACCACACCGAGGGGTCTTTCTCATCTTCCTCGAAGGGAACTAAGTCACGGATGCGTCAGCACTTCGATCACAGTAGACCAGGGCCGTAGAGAAGACAAACCAGCGAAGCTGTTTGATACCCGAACAGTTTGGCCTGTGTTCTCTCCAAGCAGCACACCCACCACACGCTTTCGGGTTCCCTTGGCCGAGCGTCCGTAATGATCTGCGACCGAAAGAAGAACCAGGGGGGCAACGGTGACGGTCCGCTGGACGAGGGAGAGTGTGTCCGCCGTGGTAGCAGGCATGGCGGGAACGGTAAGATGGAGAACGGGCGAGAAGATGTTAAATGGATGGCAGATAGGAAGAGGATGAAAGAAAAGACGAAGGACAAAGCCAATAGGTGGAAGGGACAAGGCCAACCAACGGGCAACGATGATGGATGATTAGGATAGTGATGATGACGATGGAGGTCGCGAGACGCTTCGCTGCCGGTGCTTGGGGGGAGCTCTCGATGCTTGCGCCACAGTACCCATATGTGGCTGGAGGGCCACCAGCCACGACTTATGTTTCTGCCTGAGGCATGAATACAGAACACGTGTCCTCGATCTTTACAACGTTAATACCAGGGCTACAGGTACATCACACTGCCTTACAGTCGGTACAATACCGTACAGTATGGATCTCTGTTCGGAAATCATGCCGGCACTCAGTCGGCTCTCTTTGTTTGATCAACCTATACTTCTATAAGAGCAAAAAGGATGCTCTGCTCTTTACTCGCGAATGTGCCTCTGCGCGATGAGTAACTACCGGCATCTTGATCCAGCAATAGATTTCATCCCCTCTCTCTCCACCCTCTACCGCAAAACGAGTAAAGACCTCGAATCCAGATGCAGATATCCCGGCTTTGGGAACGGATCGTCGCGGGCTGCGAACCTCGGAGACGCGGGTGCAATACTCCGCTCCGGTCGACCTTCTTTTCACCCCAACACGCAGATTCCGTCCCTTCTTCCATTTCCCCGTCGTTGCGCCCATCCTGATATCTTCCTCCCTCCCTCCCTCTCCTCCCCATCCCGCTCCTGATCTGCTTCGGACTGCTGTCCTTCTTTTCTCCTTCCTCATCAATCTATCGCAATGGCTCCCATTACGGAAGAGGTCGTCACCGGCCTGAAGGACACTATCGGCAAGCTTGAGGCCCGGATCGAAGACTTGGAAGGCCGTCTCACCAATGGCGACAAGCCCAAGTCTATCGCAGAGCACATGCGCATCATCTTGATGGGACCTCCTGGTGCAGGTACGAAATTCGCGAAATAAGAATGAATGAATGATGAAAAGCCGATCGTCGTGATCCTCCATCCCGACGGCTAGCTTTCTGGTCACCCGAGTATGGTTTTCTGACCGACTCTTGAATTTAGGCAAGGGTACCCAGGCTCCTCGTCTCAAGGAGAAGTACTGCGTGTGTCACTTGGTACGTGAAAACCTTTCTGTTCTCTTGCCTTGAATTTCTTTTACGCATTGAAGCCCGTTCCCCTTCTGAGATTTCATTCCATGGTATGTATTAACGACTGACGATTGTGTGCTCAATGCGAACAGGCTACCGGAGATATGCTGCGATCCCAGGTCGCCAAGAAGACTGATCTGGGCAAGGAGGCCAAGAAGATCATGGATCAGGGTGGTCTGGTCAGCGACGAGATCATGGTCAACATGATCAAGAGCGAGCTGGACAACAACACCGAGTGCAAGAACGGGTTCGTCTTACTTCCCTCGTTATCTGTTCTCTTTTTATCGCCGATTGTTTCCCTTGTGTTGGCAGGACTGGTCTAGAAAGCTCACACAACAATGTCTCTACAGTTTCATTCTCGACGGTTTCCCTCGTACCGTTGCTCAGGCCGAGCGCCTGGATGATATGCTGGCTGTCCGCCAGCAGAAGCTCCAGCACGCCGTGGAGCTCCAGATTGACGATGCTCTACTGGTTGCCCGTATCACCGGTCGTCTGGTCCACCCTGCGTCCGGCCGATCATACCACAAGATCTTCAACCCCCCTAAGGATGAAATGAAGGATGATGTCACCGGCGAACCTCTGATCCAGCGGTCCGATGACAACGCCGATACGCTGAAGAAGCGTCTCGGCACGTACCACTCCCAAACGACCCCCGTTGTCGACTACTACAAGAAGACCGGAATCTGGCGGGGTATCGACGCCAGCCAAGAGCCCGGTCAGGTCTGGAAGAGCCTCTTGGGTGTTTTCCGCCAGTAGATTCTAACCGGATCCTTGTGGAACGAGTGCAACAGTGAGTGTGGTGTATTATAGCTGTACGTCCTTATTTTCTGGGCCCTTGGCAAGATAATACAAGCAGAACCAGCACTTATCTTTTGGGAGGTGAAGTTGACAGCATGGACTGTCAGCTCTCTGGGTTACAGAACAAGAGATCTTTTCTTTTCGTTTCTTTTTGATGAACTAAATTTGTTTTGCGGATGTCCAACCATAGGCATCATATGGCGGCAACCTCGGCGCTATGTATAGTAGGTAATTGTTCCAAAATTTCAAAAATGCCTTGGCAGTAGACGATTTGGCTGTGCTATTTACCCGTTTCTACAACTGCGTAGGGTAGACCGTAGACTCAATCTTCTCCGGATAAACCAATCCGCCCTGGCGTCGGATTTCATCCATGGTTTCCATAATGACAATGCTTTCCTCCAAGGGCAGAGTCTCACTCTCCAGCTTACCATCCCGCAGACAACGCGCCACCTCGTCGGCTTCCCAGAACATACCATGGCCATCCCCGGGGAACGAGAACTCGACCTCCTGGATCTCGCCTTCACCCTTCTTGGGGATGAGGCGGTACCGCGAGGGCCGGAACGCGGGTCCGTCGACCTGAATCTCGCCTTTGGTTCCCTGGATGCGGATGGCGGGACGGGCGGAATTCTGCTCGTCGGGGTCGGTAGAGAGTCGGAGGTGCGTCATGGCCACGGCCTGCGATTGGCCTGGGTGCGGAAGGTTGGACGGCGTGGTGGTCGGGAAGCTAAGGAGCATGGTGGTGGCTTCGTCGGCCCCGGTGAGGTGGTATGGGGTCATGTGTGCCGAGATAGCAGAGGGGGGTTTCCGCTGGTCACGGGGAAGTGTGTGATAGAGCGTCTGGAAGACCCAGGTCAAGGAGTAGATGCCAACTGCAGGTGTCTTGAATTAGTATATCCCCGCACAACCAATGTACTCATAGCGAGTAAGATGAAGAGGGAGAAAGGAACGAACGGTCCAGCAAACACCCTCCGGCCAGATCCTTGTTAACCATGCGATGTTGCGTCCCCCACTTCTCCTCGACATTGTCACCGAAGCTGTTGTCGGCCATGACGCGGAGCACCTCTCCAATGGCGCCCTTCTGGATCAACTCGCGCACCTGGATGCTCAGCGGGAAGTACCGAGTCCAGACGGCTTCCATCAGGAACAGCTTCTTCTTCTGGGCCGTCTCGACTAGGATCTTGGCCTGAGCCGCGTTGACGGTAAAGGCCTTCTCGCACAAAACATGCTTGCCGGCCTCCAGCACTTGCATGACATTCTGGAAGTGGTGAGAATGCGGCGTTGCGACGTACACCACGTCCACATTGCTGTCGGCTACGAGTTCCGCGTAGGATCCATAGGCCGCACAGGAAGCCGGGATGCCTGTATCGGAGAGAAACTTCTCGGCGCGAGACCGGGAGGAGGAGGAAGCAACGGCGACCACGGTGTGCGAAACATCGGAGGCGCCGCGGACGTTGGGGTCCCTCAAGAGGTCTTTCACAAAGGCTGAATTTGCGGGATCAATTAGCGGGACTGGCTGGAACGAGTAGGTGAGAGGATGTATATTATATTGACGTACTAGTGGCGATTCCGCCCGTGGCTATGCAATGTCAATAAAGAAGAAACGATTAGCTTGACAGGTCCAATTTTATCAAGTTTTTGGGAGTGTCGTCTCACCCATGATGCCCCATCGAACATTGTGCGGACCCATGGTAGAGGTGCGTGTTTAAATAGAGAAGTGGATGTCAACGAGGTATATACGATGTGATAACCGGATAATGAGGAGTCCTCGATGGGTAGAAACTAGAAAGCAAAGAAGAAGAAGAATTGGAGATGGGAGGCGGGGAAGAAAATTTAGTATCTGTCAAGTCGGAGGCGAAGCGATGCTACAGTCGCACTGGATTGTTTGTACCCCGGAGACTCGCCGAGGCGGGGTTTCCGCGCCCACTTCCGCCGACGTCATATTCGACTCTTCGTTATATACATCCATCCATCCGCCCAAATACAAATGCTCTGAACGCCTCCGGGACAGGAAATGCATTCCCTATGCAGAACAATCACCGGCTATTTAAAATGCGAGAGTATTATCCTCCTTCCCATCCCTCCCTAACACACATATCTTGGCTTGCAAAATACGAGAGATATAATAACAATCGGAAATATACTGGAGACCTCCCGGTCTTTCTCTGTTCAAGATTGTGTCTTGTCCTTCCCAGTGAGGCCTCATGACATCGGCTCCGTCTTGACACGAACATTGTGACCCGGAGAGTCCGATTCCTGAAGCGAGCGAGGTCAGCAGATTACGTCTATATTAGCTGCGAATGGGGCGTACTCACCTCAACCTTGCGCTTGCCCAGGACGGAGTCCGGCGTTCCCGTACGTCCTGACGGCGTGCCTCGGCGCATGGGCGCCGGTCCGTCTTTGGTGACTTCGGCATAGCAGCTGGCATGATAGACGCGGTTACCGACCTTGACCGCATCCTGCCATATCCAGTCTTGGACGTCTTCGGACCAAGTCGACTCGAATTTCTCTTGACATATGGGACAAGGGGTGTTTCGCAAAGTGGCATCGTTGGGGGCTCGAATCCACGGCTTTGGAGGGCCCTTTTTAGCAGCACCGCTGTCCCCTGCAGTTGCGCCTTCACCGGCGGCCTCTGGGTCGACAAGGTCTTGATCATCTCCCGCCTCCCGGGATTTTATCCAATCCTGTTTAGCGTTAGTTCTACAATTTTATGTACTCCAAGGAAAGGGAATTGCGCGTGTCTAACTTACCCTTTCGTCGACGTACCAACTGCGGTTCTGAGCCCGCTTGGCGGCATCTGCCATGCGTTGGTTGGTTCGAAAATGCCAGTCTAAATGACGCGCCTTCTTTTCTTTTCCTTCTTCCGTGGTGAGAAATCGGCGACCACAAGTTCCGCATCGATTTAATCTTGATTCGTAAAGGCTAGCGATTAAAGCGGTGCGGGGTCTGCTGACCAAGGTTAGACTGAACTCTTTCATTCTGCTAAAAAATGACAGTGCGGGGTCACCTACATCTTAATGGACGCAGTGTTCATTTGAACATTTACCTGAATCTCTGAAACGTTCATCGACGAGGGGTTGGTGACCGGGGGAGTGTATCGCATCTGACCGGGCACAATAAGCGGAAAGGCTGGGGCACCGCCCGAAGGAGGAGCCGTAGGAGCCGGTGAACCAGCAGCAGGGGGCAGCAGGCCCCGGGCCCTAAGAGCGGCGATGAGTGGATTATCGGGGCCTGGGTTGACAGCGGGTTGAGGCGTGCTGCTATTTGTGGGCATCTGTGGCAAGATACTGGCAGCTGGAGGTGGCGGCGTTGGTTGCTGGCGCGCAGCGGTAGACTTGATCAACTCGGCAAGGGTTCCCGGGTTAAGAAGTTGTTGCAAAGACTGGGACAGCGTTTGGGTCGGTGGAGTAGCCATGGTAGGGGTTGAGACGGCTGGGATACTCGGGAGGAGGTTCTGAGGCGTTGGTATAGCAGGCTTGGGTGCAAGCGTTGAGACCTGATGGCGGACAAGCCTTAGCTGATCTTGGGTCAGCTCTTGGCGCTGCAATATCCCCTGGAGGTCCAGCAGGGCCTTTAGCCGTTGCTGCACGGACGTATCTAGAGGATTGTTGGCAAAGTCGCTCCGGGCTGCCGTGATCAACGTTTCGATATCCTGGTTTAAGGCCGAGAGGTCGACGGTTTGGTGCTGTTGAGACTGAGGAGTCGGAGTCGAGCGCGGGTCCGCCTGTTGGTGGTGTTAGATATCGACCTGCTCCCAGCAGCATGAGAGTCTTATGCACCTACTGATTGAAGTCCGTGGCCAGTGCCATTTCTCTGGTATGGTAAGGGCGGGGTGGAATTGGCAGAAGACGGATGTCGCGCCATATTTTGAGAGGGCGTCGGGCTGTTGGTCCAGCCTGGAGGAGTCGCGACTCGACCGCGGCCTAGTATTTCTTGCTGGCTCCGGGCCTGCTGTTGCTGAAGGGCAGCAGTTCTAGCCTTGATCAGGGCACTTTCGATGCCTCGAGTGGTTTCCGGAGGAAACACAGGTCTTGTGTCCAAGGAACCCGGCACCGGCTCTTTCCAGGTCTTGAGCATCTCGTCCAGTTTCCGGCGAGTTTGGGAGTCGACCAAGGTGTAGGCATTCATGAAGGTCTGATACAAATTGCGACCTAGGAAAAGAGTGTAGGGTGTCCCTACATTCTTCGCTATTGAGTCGACTACATACAAGGCAGACAACTTTTGGGCCGGCGGTGTCTACAGAGCGCAGATTAGAAGTTGATCGTCCAAAGGGGCTACAGACGGCCATGCGTCTCGCAAGAATACAACAACAAAGCAGACATTGGTGGACCTACTGTTCGAATATGGTTCTCCAACACGCGCGAGATGGCCATGGCGTGTTCCGTGTTCTCTTTGGCGATGACGGTCAGATTGCCGATCTGGTACTTGTCGTTGGTGATTAGATCTTCCAAGGAGTTCTTGTAATCCTCGGCAACCTCATCGGAGGCCAATCCAGACATGTTGGTCGGGTATACCGAGTGAATAGGGGGAAAGGAGTAGGGGAGGCAAGAGGTAAGAGCAACAACGCAAGAGGGTGCTAAGGATGGGGTTGTCGGCCCTTATTGAGGATATTTTTAAAGCCGTTTCTCTTTTCTTCTTCCTTATTTCTCGTTGTTTTTGCTTTGGCTTTTGCTTTTTGTTCTTCCCCTCTTGTTTCTTTTTCTTTTTTTTTTCCCTCTCTCTGTTCTTTCTTTTCCCAATTTCTTTGTTTAGTCTTGTTTTCTTCTGGTCTGCCCGTCTGTTTTTCTTTCTCCCTGTTCCTGATTCTGTAAAATGTATCGGAGTTATCTTATTCTCCCCTCCTGGTAGATTCCAAGAACACTGGTCTCCTGAAAAAGCAAGAGATGGAAAGAAGAGTCGGAACTTGTAAAATGCTTGCTAGCTATCTTTCGTCGGACTTTCTGAGACAACAACACCTAGTCAGACGCCAGTCCTCCTAAGACCCAACAATTGCCACCGCGACAGTTTTCACCAACGGCCCTGTATATGATAAGATCTACTTCCTCCTAAGAAATATCCCGCGCCGATTGACCCTTCCAGTAGATAACAACCAGCCAAAAAAACAAAAGGTACCTCCTACCGGTAGGCCGTAAGAAAACTCTCGGGGGAAACGCTTGTGGGGGAGGCGGAGGGGGGTCACGAGAATGGTGACGAGAAGAAGAGGTGAGGTTGGCAACGAAGAGTCGGGAAGTAGTCGGTCGGTCGCAGGTGGTGAAGAGTAGCAGTCAAAGAAAGAAGGCGCCAGAGAAAAGAAACGGGGAAGGCGTGACCGGTGCTGACTCAGCACCCGGTCGGCGTGACGTTACATTCCTCAAAGGGAAGGCAGGTGATCTCCGGAAGGGAGAAGGCGAGACGGAGAGTCTCTCAACTCCCCGGTTGTCTTGTTATCATATCGATTCATCTCACTAGCATCTACATTCCATCACCATGAAGCTGCTGTCTACCATCATGTTGGGCTGTCTTCCCGTCGCCCTGGCCAAATCTATTGTCGTCACCTTCCCCAAGGATACCCCGGACTCGGTGGTGAAAGATGCGAGGCAGGCCATCATTGATGCGGTACGTTGTATCATCTCCTTGGCCCCAGCGGAATCATTTATCTGACAGCTCATTTCAGAATGGTGAAATTACCCATGATTACCGTAAGTACTCTTCCCTCTCAAGTCAGTGGATATACGGATGTATAGCTAACTTCGTCCTAGAATTGATCAAGTGTGTATATACCCACCCCTTCCTTGTGTCCTTCTCGCATCCTCGGTATAGAATTGATCCCTTGGCAATTCATTCTAACCTTCTTTTCTCGATAGGGGGTTCGCCGCCACAGCCCCAGACGAGGCGATCCAGCAGCTCTCAACTGAATCCTCAGGGTATCACCCGACCATCGAGGATGACACGATCGTGTCGACTCAGTGAGCGAAGGAACCCACCGGAGCCCATTACCTGCCTTGTCATGACTTGTTTCTCGGGCTGGCCTCGGGGTTTATCATCATGCGTCAGAATGGATGGAAGTTATTTGCAGAATGACTACCGGGAACGCGTTGGGAATGATGGGGCATCGCCCGCATGCATGAAATAATGACTGTTATATTAATGAGTATTGTCTTGTCAATGAATTTGGTTCTGTTTGTCCCCTCTAGTTTCCCTCCCTTTGGCGGGTGTGTTGGCTAGTGACCGAGCGCCTAGGATGCCTTCCCTCGGACATTTAAAGGGCAATGGCCCTCTTGTAGCTCATAGAACACGATAACAAAGCGGTAGACATTTGAATATGAATAATATTGGTTGGCAAGCTCGGCGGATGGTGGTCGGACCAAAAAAAAGGCGAAGAGTGGATTGGAATTAGCTTGGAGCCGGGCCTTCTCCGTACTTTTAAAACTAGCTCTATTTATATGCGCGCGGTAAACGTGGATCTCGCTTGGGAACCCCCCTCCCCGAAGGTCGCCAACAAGCCAACAACCATTGCTAACGAGATCTAGTCGGTTTGATCCTCGATAGACTACGCGTCCAGGGAAATGCAATTCTGTTCGCCTTTCCGACATTAACTTCGCACTCCTCCCCTCCTTTCATCGTCAGCATTCCTGAGACCGACCGTTTCCCCCCGTACCTCCGACTCCTCCCACTATGGCCTCTGAGCATACGGTCACGCAGGCCCTACTGGAATGGATCAATAGTTTCGCTTTGGGAAAAACCATTAGGACTACGGATGAATTGACCGACGGTTCCATCATCTGGGAGGTCTTGCAGGATATCGACCCTCAGTACTTTCTCGATGAACTCCCTGAGCGCAACCCGCCCGATCATTGGCTGTCCAAATTACAGAACCTGAAGCATGTCCACAAGCTCGTGGTGAACTACATTCGCCAGCAGCCTGACGGCTGTCCCTCCGGTCTCGATCTCGCGCCCAACCTGGAAGTGGTCGCCGAAAAAAGCTCCCTGAAGGACACCAACAAGCTCCTGAAACTCATCCTCATCGCGGCCATCCGATCGCCCAACGCGACGACCTACGTGGAGACTCTTCAGAGCTTGAGTACCCCTGCCCAAGAAACCCTGAAGAACATCTTTGAAGAGGCGGAGAACGGACAACATGAACCCGATGACACCGCGGACGACACAAAGGAGGAATCCACCAAGCGCGAGCATCCCGTTGATTTGGAACTACAGTTCGAAGAACGAGTGGGAAAGGTGCTGGCAGAGAATGATCGTCTGACCCATGAGAAGAAGGAACTGGAGAAAGCGTTGGAAGACCTGCACAACCGTCTAGCTCGGCTCCAGGAAAACAATGACACGCTTCAAACTCGCCTCGCATCCACCGAGGATCGGCTTGGGAATCTGAAATCGGGCAAGGGCGATCTAGGATTCAACGCGAAAGCTCTCGAAAGCAGAGCTCGCCAGCAGGAGGACATTATCGCTTCGCAAGAAACCAGGCTGTCGGCCGCCCAGGATGAGAACGACAGTCTTCGGATGACCGTGGAGTCTTTGCGCGTCAAGAATGAAAGGTACCAGCGGCTCCAAGACGACTACGACGTGCTCAAAACGGAGCGAGACCAGCTGGCTCGGAAAGCCAACGCGGCTGAGAAATATCGTTCCAAACTGCAGGCCAGCCAGGATTTTGAGAAGGAAAACCAGGCCCTGAAAGCTCAGATTAAGGACATACAGCAGCAATTGAAGGACTCCGATGCGCAGCAAAGGTGGAACTCGGAGCGCGAAGTTGAACTTGAGGAGTATCGCAGGGTTCTGCCGCGCATCGAACAGGAGTGCGGCGACGTGCAGAGCATGAAAAAACAACTCGAGTTCAACAACCATGCCCTCAAGGAACGTCTTGACAGTGCCGAAGAACAGCGCGAGAGAGACGATTCGCTGATTAGCGAGTTGCGAGAACGAATCCGAGAGCTCGAAGGTCCTCCTGGGAGCCCGTCTATTACACCAGGCAGTGAGACGCCAAAACTGCAAGGAACCTTACAGAAGGATTTCGATGATATCGGAGTCAAGGAGTCTCAATTGTAGGTTTACCACATATCAACGTTGGCCGGGATGAACTAATATGTTACGTCAGGAAATCCGAGAACGAGGAACTGAAGAAGGAGGTCGAGACGCTGCGGGGATCGTCAGCTCCTGTATGAACTTCCGAGAAGGCAAGAATGTTAGCTGTAAGACTGACGATGAGACACAGATCGATTCCCAGACTGAGGGCTTCTCCGAGGCTTTCAACGAGACGCTTCAACGTGCTCGTGACAACTCCACTCAAGGGTATAACAGTCACAAACTTCGTGTCTTCAAGCTAATACGGATCCCAGGGATGAGTATTGGAAACTCTACGATCAGTTCACCACCACCCTCAAAAAGCTGGCGGCGGCCCAGGATGCTCTCGATGGCACCAGGCGGGCACTTAATGATGCCCAAGCTACGGGTGAGTATATATCTTACGAAGTTAACACCCGGGAGCGCTCGCTTATTGTCTTTCAGCTGAATTTACCGGCCAAGAGAAAGAGGATATGATAAACAGCCTACGAGAGAAGGATTCAGCGGAGCTGGCCCAGATGCGAAATGACTGGGATGAAAAAAGCCAGAAGGTTCACTCCCTTCAGGCAGAGATCGATTCAAGTCTAACATTGGTGAACCAAACTTGCACCGAACGCGATGAATTACGAGCAGTGCTCGACGACCGGCAAGCCATGATCGCCGAGAGTCGCGTGGAAGACCATGAGACCATGGAAGAAATGAAAGCGCTGCTAGCAGAAATCGCAGGGCAAGATAGCGGCGATGCCTCAGAGGCTTCTCAAAAGTCGGGCGTGGAGCTCACGAAGCAAGTAGTTGAATTGATTGAGAAGAACCTGGAAAGGCTAGCCAAACGCGCAGAGGTTAGTGCCAATTCCCTTTTCAACCCCAAGTCCCGCTTGTGTCTTCAAGCCTTACCACCTGGTGGTACCTCATCGGTGGTTGCAGGCGATTCCAGTCATTTTCTGTGACCCCCAAAACTAACTTCAAGATCCAATTGCAGTACATCCACAATCAAAATGAGCACATCAAATTCCTTCAAGAACGACTCAAACATTTTGAGGAGGGTAGCGATAATGGAATAAGCAGAGAGCGCGAGGTAAGCCACTTGTGTCTGTTATCATAACAAATCTTTTGATAATAATACCCACTCCCATTCTATGTTTATCGATTCTAATGGACTTTATTTCATGCAGCTCGAACTCCAGAAGATCATTGATGCACAAGCTCGGGAGCTCACTCTGATGAGCTCTTCCTGGTACGAGATCCAAAGCCGACTGCAGAGCAATGGTACTATCTCGAGATATCGACATGGAAATAGTTTGGCCGACGCACAGAAAGGCTGGCTAGCAAGGCAACGAAGTGTGGTGGCGGGTCGATAAGGTGAAGATTCAGTCGGTTGAAGTTGGGAAGCTCTCATCTTCTTTTTATCTTTTTTCTGAGGGATCACGCCTTATCTCTATGGTCTCTCTTCACTCTGTTTATACCTTCCTGGTCTGGTCCTTGTCTGTTTATCCCCACCCTAGATTGTATTGTCACGCTATGTCGAGTTTTGTACATATATATCTTTTCCCCCACATATTTTTTGCATTCAAAGCATATAATTGCTTAGAGATTAGTTTATTATTTTTGATTATTATTCCAAAAACCTTGACTTGTAAATAACGGATTTAGCCCGTTATCAGAGGGCGTGTCTATTCAAATATAATTTATCACATGAAAGACTATAACAGGGGAATCAAAACTAGTCCAATTATACAGATTATCCAATTTTAAAACATATGATACACGGTGGTAGATACAGTCACCTTAGCAATGAAATCCCGCGACCGCAGAATCCCATCATACCCACTGTCTGGGGTGTCTCAAAACATCTATGATCTCCTTCTCTTTGTGCTTTTCCTCACCCAGTTGTTCCTCGTCATCACCAGATGCCTCCGTTCGGGTTCCCGATACCGGATCCATGTAGGCCCAGGATGCCGTGCGCGGAAGGCTCATGAGGATGCTCTCAACACGAGCATTTGGCGTACGCAAACCAAAGCTAGTACCACGGTCATAAACCAGGTTGAACTCCACGTAGCGACCCCGTCGGAGTTGCTGCCATTCCTTTTGCTCGGGGGTGAAGGGCATGTCCTTTCGGCGTTCAATGATGGGGACATAGGAGGGGAGGAAAGAGGCGAGTCCATCTGAAACGAAGGAAAAGAGGGTCTCCTGGGGGTTCTGAGAGGAGCTTGAGGAGGATTCTAAGAAGTTGGCGTCAAGATCGTCGAAGAAGATTCCTCCAACGCCACGCGCCTCCCGGCGATGGGGCAAGTAAAAGTACTTGTCGCACCAGGCCTTGAACTTCGGATAATAAGTTGCATCATGCCTATCGCAGGCGTCCTTGATGATCTGGTGGAAATGTTTGGCATCTTCAGGGAATAGGTAGGATGGAGTCAGATCTGTGCCGCCGCCAAACCACCAATTCTTGTCGCCGTTGATGGGATCCTTGGGATCCGATGTCTCAAAGTAGCGATAGTTAAGATGCACGGTAGGGGCCATAGGGTTGTGAGGGTGCAGAACGAGAGAGAGGCCGGCAGCGAAGAAACTCAACGAATCCACGTCAGCCCCCACAAAGGACTTGTGGTCGGCACGCATCTTTTCAATGGCTGGTCGAGGCAATTCTCCGTAGACGATGGACACGTTGACGCCGGCTTTCTCGAAAACATTGCCATCCTGGAGGACGCATGAAATACCGCCTCCTCCATTGGGTCGAGTCCAGGTATCCGCCTTGAATTCCTTGCCATCAATCTTGCTGAGCTCCTCGACAATCTTTTGTTGATGCTCCTTGATCAATTTTTCCATGCGCAAACGCATCGGAGAAGTTTCGCTGATTGTCGACTGCTTCTTCAAAGCCTCGTCAAGCTCCACTATCGAGGGGGAGTCGAGTTCGGTCACGTCACCCGTCATCTGTTTTTACCAGCGTTAGACTACCTCATTCAGACTGGGGAGGGGTTGTCAGGATCACCATGGAATATATCAGAGCTCCGATGAATGGTACTCCGATGGCAAGACGCAGGTATGGCCTCCACACGGTGAATTGCTTCGGGTTCCTGGAATTCTGTTCGGAGGAATATTTGCGGAATGACCCTTGGGGATTGCGAGGTGTTCGGCATATTCGCGACGATAGATGGCCTAGAGACCTCCGCAGAGGTATATATGGTCGAGGCAAAGACATCGTGCCAGAAGATTTTGGGGTTGGCTGATCGGACGGTGGGAATCAGGTGGTGCCAGCAGGCGGTTGGTGGGCTACGATCCAGCGCCCACAAATTTCGAGTTTCGGCGGCCAGACTCTTCCAAATGAAGGTAAGGGAAGAAGAAGGCGACTCTGGTGATTCCGAAACGTATGGGACCACCTGCAAGTCAGGACATCCGGCCTGTCCAATGCTGTTTGCAGTGTTTGTCGCTGTTGACAGGTTTGCTTGGTCCCGAGTTGTCCTGCTGAGATAAGCAACATGTTTGCCTTGTTTGCAGACAGAGGTCAACCCAGAAGACCAGCTACATTATCATAATAGGGATCATAGGGGGGGCGGGGGGCAGAACGGCGCAGTTGAGTCAGACCAAGTTTAGGGGGAAAGAATCAGAAAGAGTCAGAAAAGAAAAAGAAAAAAAAAAAGGATCCGTCGCATCTCTGCTATCTGAGCCACGACGTTATGGCTGATGACAAGAGTCCAAGGGTCCGCGGTTCCAGGCACGGCACCTATCAAGTGCTTCACGGTTTAGCCGCTGATCAAGTGGAGGCAGCTTCCGGATTGCAGATTTGTTGTTTCAACATGTCACCAGGACATTTTCCGGCCAAATGACTAGAGGGGAACTCACGTGAAGAGCCAGGTCTCACGGAAGTGTTGAGAAGAACTGGATCTACTCGGAGGCATCAGGGAATAGGGAATAAAGCAGCGGGATGTTCCAGTATGGATGACCCAACTGACTCACGTGTGGGGCCGTTCACCGCCTCTACCCCGTGATCCGTCCGTCCCAGCTGGTCCTTATCAAGAGCAGGCATGACGCGGGGCTGTCGCCTTCCGTCTCCCTTTTGTCATCATCTTCTCTCCTCTCTCCATCAGTATCACATCACTTCCTTCTCGACTCTTCATCCCACTTCACCTGCTGGTCCTCCATCTCATCAACTTTCGCTGATTTCTTATTCTTTTGATTTGCCTATCGGCCTAATCTCTATCTACTACCCGTCCAACTCCACCTTTACTATCCATCAGTATGCGTTCCAAGTTTAAGGACGAGCACCCCTTCGAGAAGCGCAAGGCAGAGGCCGAGCGCATCCGCCAGAAATACGCAGATCGTATCCCGGTATGTATATCCCCTTTCCCTTGCACGTTTCAGCTGCGTGGACGGGGAAAGACCGCTGTCTTTCCTCATGTCTGTCATTCACCGCCTGTTCGAACTGCTAACCTCGACTCGGGTGAACAGGTGATTTGCGAGAAAGTCGAGAAATCGGATATCGCGACCATCGACAAGAAGAAATATCTTGTACCGGCCGACCTCACCGTCGGGCAGTTCGTTTACGTCATCCGCAAGCGCATCAAGCTTTCTCCTGAGAAAGCCATCTTCATCTTCGTGGACGAGGTCCTGCCACCCACAGCTGCGCTCATGAGCAGCATCTACGAAGAGCACAAGGATGAAGATGGGTTCCTTTACATCACGTATGTCCATCCCGGTTCCCGGTTCACCCTTCCACACTGATGACATGTCTGCTGACGCTGAGACATCTAGCTATTCGGGGGAGAACACTTTCGGTGAATGTTGAGCCTTACAGGATCGCCTCTGGAACCGATTTAACAGTCCACATTGTCAAGATTTCATTTTTGCGGCGGCGCCGGATGAGCGGGTGAGGGATATGGTCGACCAATCCGCAATGCGACAAACGGCGGAGCCAGGCTTTGCGGCAAGATTAATTCCTCTTTTGTGCTGGCGTTTATCCGGAGTTCTCAATCGATTTATGAACGTGCTTAGCAGACGTTTCGCAGTCCTTCTGATTTGAAATCAAGTTTTATCCTGCTAGAGCTTTGGCCTGAAAGATGCGTAGATAGGGTGGTGGTGGTTCTGTCTTCCGATGAATTGCTTGCAACTGCGGACTCAACCTCGGAGACCCCAGGCTTCAACTCCTGCGAGCGACGCAGGAACCAGTCAAGTACCGTTTTGCATAGAGAAAGCATCATTAGGAGAGGAAAGGGGAGACTGTCCCCGGAGAACTTGCTTGTAGTTCACCCGGTCGGAAGAGAGAGAAAAAGCATAGGTCTGGAACATATACATACCTTGCGTTAGTGGATCATCTCCCTTGCTCACTAGTTGACGCTTATTTATATGATACGTAGATACAATTATATGTGTCGCTGCACCAACGGAGGATAAGATGGGAAGCGATAAGTTAGTTAACTAAGAGACGCGCGGGGATTAGGTAATCGGCTCCGAATCGGAAGGCAGGAGAAAAGCTCCGAGCCGGCGCAGAGTCAGTCTGTCGGTGATGGACTGCTCTTCTTCTTCCTCTTCTTCTTCTTTTCCCTGGATTGCTCTGTGTCGGTTGTACCATTCCTAGGTTACCTCTGTTTCGGATCAGCCCCCAGGTCATTTCTTTCCTTTTTTCCCTTTTTCTTTATTCTTTCCTCTCTCTTATATACAGCCATCCCAAAAAAAATATAGAAAAGAGAAAACTCCGTCTACCCAGGAACAATATTCAAAATGTCTCCCGCCATTGCTCAAGCCGGTGCTGGCTCCGCTTCCAAGGATGTCAAGAAGGAGTCCGCAACTGCTCGTCTTTTGGGTTCTGGTGTGTATTTCCCAATTCAAATGTCGTGGGACGATTTATCAAGTACTAACGGGCACATTCTAGGATCCGCTGGTATTGCGGAGCTTTTGGTCTTCCATCCGGTACAATCTTGTCTTCCCTGTCGATTCCCGCGAACGATGACACCTTTCTCCGCTTCGCTCTATGATCTCTACTGACACCATTCGAAGGTCGACACCACCGCCAAGCGCTTGATGAGCAACCAGAGCCGGGTAAGGCATCGATAACTACCCCCGAGTGTGCTTTTCCCGAAACTGACTCGATGATATGCGCTAGATCACGGACGCCAGCGGCTTCAACAAGGTTGTTTTTAAGGAATATGCCACGGCTTCCGTCGGTCGCAAATTCACCTCCCTCTTCCCCGGTCTGGGCTACGCTGCCGGTTACAAGGTGTGTGTCCAATGCTCGGAAACCCCCGACACCGAATGTGATTGGCTGACAAAAACCTCAAGGTTCTCCAACGTATTTACAAGTATGGGGGGCAGCCTTTCGCCCGTGACTACTTGGCTAAGCACTACGGCTCCGACTTTGACAATGCTTTTGGAAAGGGAACTGGCAAGGCCATCATGCACGCCACTGCCGGAAGGTTCGTCTCACGTTGCCCGGGCCTGACTCGGTCACATCTAGACAGTCACTGACTATTTTCCGTAGTTTGATCGGTATTGGAGAAATCGTTCTTCTTCCTCTTGATGTGCTGAAGATCAAGCGTCAGACAAACCCCGAGGCTTTCCGCGGCCGTGGTTTGTTCAAGATCATCTCCGATGAGGGCATGGGTCTTTACCGTGGTGCCGGCTGGACTGCGGCCCGTAACGCCCCCGGTTCTTTTGCGGTATGCTTTCCTCGCACCGACTGACGCCACGATAGGCGACCGGTAACTTTGATGGCTAATACGTGAACTTGCAGCTCTTCGGTGGCTCGGCTTTCGCCAAGGAGTACATCTACAGCCTGAAGGACTACAACTCGGCCACCTGGGGACAGAACTTTGTCGCCTCGATCTGCGGTGCCAGTGCTTCCTTGGTTGTCTCGGCTCCTCTGGATGTGATCAAGACCCGTATCCAGAACCGCAACTTCGAGAACCCCGAATCCGGCTTCCGTATTGTGTCCAAGATGCTCAAGGAGGAGGGCCCGACTAGCTTCTTCAAGGGACTGACGCCCAAGCTGCTGATGACTGGACCCAAGCTTGTTTTCAGCTTCTGGCTGGCTCAGACGTTGATTCCTGCCTTCGGCCAGGTGGTTTAGAGACAACGCCAACAAAAGAGTACTAACAACCCGCGACCTAAGTCAAGGAAGGATAAGGCTATTGACTCCGGAAGAAAATTCGGTTACCTTTTTCCTTTGTTCCCTTTCCTCACCCTTTCACATTTTGTTTAATGCCTCCCCCCTTTTTTCTTAATTTTCCAGCTTTCCGGTGCCGTGATAGAGCATTGTGTTGAGCCATTGTATTTTGATAGACAGCTTTTTTTTTCTTATGGGTTAGGATATTAGGAAATCATGAAACTCCTCTTAATAAATCTTAAATGATTGCCCCATTGTAATAGCCGCACGTACTTCTGCAGTGACTCTGCGCACGGAGAGAAGCATGCGGAGGAACTCACGTGACACTCCGCTTTATCGAGCTCTCCAGAATCTAAGCTCCGCCATCTTGTTCGTAATCCTGACCACCCCGTTCATACAGCGCAATCCGTCGCTTTTCGGTGCTGGCTAACTCTCCCCTACAATGCCCGTATATCTGATATCAAAGTGCGTCTCCATCGTCCCTGACCTTCCTTGATATCTAGCACCCTTCCGACCTAGGAGAGAAAGAAAGACCGAGAAACAGAGGGAACCAGAGAACATCAACTAACGAAGCCCACGATAAACCAGGGCCGCCGACCCGGTGTTTGCCGTCTCGATTGGCATCGCCGCCGCCCTGTCGCGGGTGCGTCGTGATCAGCGCGAAAAACATCCCGAGCAAGCAGCCGACATCGGTTACGGGCAAATCCTACAGACGGGCGGCAGAAGACTCCAACGATGGTGGGCGGGTGATTTCCAGGGATTATAACAAAGCAATGGGATGGATTGGATGGATGGTGCTGCCAAGGAGGTTTTGCATTTGTTGCTGAGGGATTAAATACACCGTTTCTCGGCATGGAGTACGAGGGCGTCCCGGTTTTTGTAAATATGTGTGTTTGTGTGTGATGTAGGAGATATCTCTTGCTGCTATCCAAGAGGAACATCGTTGCATTAAACTAGGTTCTTCAGACAGGCTATGTATTCACAGCCCTACCGAGGTAGGCGCGAGGGTCCATGGTTCCGCTATCGGATTAGACTAATCATCCATATTTTAGGCGAAAAGCGTCGATACTTTTGAAAACTATCACTAAATGTACCTTGCATCTATTATATACACGAGAGTAGAGACCATCCACCGCAAGCTCCAGCAATCAAAGGCCATTGTTACTTACTACATCCAAACATTCCTATTTGGACTCAACCCCCTCTCACATCCTCTCACCCAATCCCGCTTAAAGTCATGGCTTCTAATTCAAGCTCAGAAAGAGTCGCGGTAGTTATCTGTACCGGCTCTTACCACACGCCTGCTCCATATGAGCCCTTCATGAAGGCCCTGGTCTCATCCGGGCTCTTCGAGGCCTATTTTCCCCAGCGGCCGACGTGCGATCTCAACAAGCTCAACGTAGGGGACATCGACCACCCGGACTTGGATCGTGGCCCGCCCCCAGAAGGCTACCCTACCGATCTCGACGACATGGCGGTTTTCCACCAGCTTCTGGAACGACTCGTCGTCCGTGAAGGCAAGCCTGTTATCCTCCTGGGTCATTCGTCGGGCGGTGTCATTGCAACGCAAGCCGCTATGCCCGAACTCCTGTATAAGACTCGTCACGCTCAGGGTCACTCAGGAGGCGTGATCGGGCTCTTTTATGTGGGGGCGTTCCTCGTTCCAGTGGGCGAGTCGGCCCATAGCTTCTTCCAGCCTAAAGATGGGACCCCAGTTATCCGGCCATTTGTGCGTGTAAGTCGATCTTCCCATCCTGCCGCAAGTAGAATTCTAGAGAGAGGGAGAGATGGGGGAGAGGACGAGAGATGGGCCGCCACGCTGACGGCGTCGCCTCTTAACACCGGTGTGTTGAGCAACGATGGGTATTCCGCCATGCCTTGTGCGTATGTGGTGCTCGACGACGACGCATGCTTGCCACAGATATATCAGGAGAATATGATTGCACTGCAGAGCCAGCGAGGCAATGTTTTTACAGTCTACCACGCCCCATCGGGCCACTCGCCGCATCTGGCTGGACAGAACCGTTGGTCGACAAGGTGGCTGATTTCCTGCATCAGGTTTGTGGAATGGCGGTTTCCTAGCATGAACAAGGTCAATGTTTCATTGAACGGATGTATATAGCCTGGCCTTGGCGTGTTGATGCCAGAGTTATCGGAATTTCTTGTCCTAAAGCCCTGTTTCATTTTGATTAGCGCCACTATCAAACAATCTAAGGCGCTACGAAGCGATTGTACCTATGTATGTAGTTAGTTAGTTAATTGTCTTGAGAATTGGGCTCCAATGCCGGGGATATATACGACGTACGCATGTAGGGATGCTGCAGAGATAATCAAATGAATGAAATTAACGTGATTCCCGGCCGACCGGTCACCTCATCAAAACTTCAAAAAAATCACAATTTTCAACTGCAAGTTTAGAACCAAAACAATAATAAAATTGACTATCTAACACTCTCAGGGCATTGGTTAATCCTGTGTCCTTTCATATTACAGCCAAAACAAGTAAACTCGCGGCGAATGGTAGACATCTGAGGTAATTCAGGTTCAACTATAGCTTCTGTAGAAGTTGGAGCCAAAGATATATATTCACTATCACTGTTTCTCTCAACACCCATATTATCCTGAATCTCTTCTAACTTCCCTAGACTACCCTTGTGAGCAGTCTGCTTTTTATGTTTTATTCTTTTCCTTGCTTGTTTCTTATTTGCTTCTTCTAACTGGCAGCATCGATCGGAGAGAAAAAGATGGCGATAAAACAATCGGACTGTCATATTGTAATGGTGCTGAATCTCTCTTTTTGTAGGTGAAGAGAGATTATCGGATGAAGGTTCTAGGCCTAAATCGATGCGAGATTTAGATTCCTCTAGCTTTTTAAGTGTCCAGAGAGAATTAGAGCCGCTATCACTGCCAGAAGATGGTAATCGATTTGGTAGTAGTTCAAGCGGTATTAGAGATTCAAGCTGAATATTCAACTTTTCTAACATATGGTCCGGATTAAAAGGGACTAATCCAGTAGCTAAAAAGCTATTCTGAATAGTAGTTACCTTAAAAGTGTCATATCGCACTCCAGGAAAGATATCCAGGAAATCTTCTTTTTCAATCGAATTGATGTTGAGTCTCATGTATTCCGCCACCTTACCTCCATATAAGCGCTTTAAAATCGCAAAACAGCCCACATTAAGTGGCTGTAAGAGATGCGATGCATAAGGTAGCATACAGATAGGGATGATATCATTTTCAGAGCATAGCTGGTCAAATTCCGGAGTAAGATGGCTCTCATGACTATCTAGTACTAGAAAATAATGTTTTCCCTTTCTTGATCGTATATTTGGAATGAAATGTATTTTCAACCAATTAAGAGCAATCTTATCGCTTGTCCAACCATTCTTCGAAACATTAAATCGCCAGTCAGCTTCGTTTGGTAAAAAATTAAACCAATGATGCTTAAAAACTTTGCCTTTGAAAATGATGTATGGCGGTAGAGCGACTCCAGAAGCCCTTATACATTCAATTATAGTAACCCATTCGTGATTTCTAGCTAGTAAAAGAGCTCTCCGACCATGATAATCAGCAGAAGTAACGATTTTTTGGGTAGTATTTACTCCTATCGCAAACCCAGATTTATCGAAGTTGAAGATATCATCCGAGGCGATATTATATTTTTGAATGGTTTCTTCAACCAGTTTAAACCATGGCAGGATAATTCTGGGATCTTCAGAAAGAGCCCTTTTATAGTTATATTTGCGAGATAAACGTGTTATAAGATTTGAACGGCGTTTGACGAATTCTGTAGGCCGATTTTTTCTAACAGAAAGGATGGTGGTAGAGGTTATCTTTTCGCGCGATTGGAGTAGTAAATTGGCTATATTTCGCAACATAGGCAAATTGAAAGCTGCACCTCTCGAATCCATAGAGACTAACCAATCTTCAATTGAACTTTCTTCAAGCTGAATAAATTATGGCCATTTGACCACATATTATGCTTGTTTTGGCGACCCTTCATTCGAGCTGAAAGGGTAGTACGTGGCACTTCAAAAGAGCGGGCAGCAGCAGCAATAGAGGGAATCCTGCCATTTTTAATAGCTTCTACAGCAAGTAGAAGACGACCCTCTTGCTCAATCAATTTTTGTGTTTTCTGGGGTCTTTTTGGAGGCATGGTGGTGGTTTAAAAAATGTAAACAATGGTTGCTAGGGGAAAATTTGATGGGGCGACCGGTCGGCCGGGAATCACGTTAACTAGTTAAATGGTTTCATGTTGAGATGACTAAGACAAGTAGAGGGAGAGGGAGGGGTTGGCCCCCAGGCATCGGCACACAATTTTACGATGTTGCACACGGCAGGTAACTTATAGACGTAGGGTCATGTCCAATCGGGGATTGTATTCTGAAACTACAGGTTACACTGACTACAGACAGGAAGCACAAGTAATTTTTTTAATGAATTTATTGGTCATAAAGGAACTTTTCCCTCCCAGATTATCATGCATCGAAACTCGACTCGAATCTATGCAGTTGTGAACAAAAGAAGAAAGGATCCCATAATTTCGTTAAAAGACATGAAATTAGAACAGGAGAACATTTGAAAAAGCCATTACTGCCAATCGCCTATGCGCAAAGAACCCAGAAGGAAGATAAAGAAAAGGAAAACAGATTAGAAGATGAGCAAACGAGACGTTTAGTCAAGCTCCTCAGGGCGCTCCTCGACCTCGTCAGCAGTGCGAGTGGAGCCACCAGGGGCAGCACCGGGAGCGGGGCCACCAGCGCCACCGTAGGCAGCGGAGATGATGGGGTTGGCAACGCTCTCGAGCTCCTTCTGCTGGGACTCGTACTCGTCCTTGGTGGCGGTCTGGTTGCTGTCGAGCCAAGAGATGACCTCGTCGATCTTGCCCTGGACCTTCTCCTTGTCGGCGTCGCTGATGGTGAGCTTGCCCTCGCCGAGAGTGTTCTTGAGGGAGTAGGCGTAGGACTCGAGGCCGTTCTTGGCCTGGATACGGGAAGCCTCAGCCTCATCCTCCTCCTTGAACTTCTCAGCCTCGGCAAGCATGCGCTCGATGTCCTCCTTGGAGAGACGGCCCTTGTCGTTGGTGATGGTGATCTTGTTGGTCTTACCGGTGCCCTTCTCGAGGGCAGAGACGTTCATGATACCGTTGGCATCAAGATCGAAGGTGACCTCAATCTGGGGGACACCACGAGGAGCGGGGGGGATGCCGGTAAGCTCGAACTTGCCGAGCAGGTTGTTGTCCTTGGTACGGGCACGCTCACCCTCGAAGACCTGGATCAGCACACCAGGCTGGTTGTCGGAATAGGTGGAGAAGGTCTCGGACTTCTTAGTGGGGATGGTGGTGTTACGCTTGATGAGAGCAGTCATGACACCACCGGCAGTCTCGATACCCAGGGACAGAGGGGAGACATCGAGCAGCAGGATCTCGTTGGTGGACTTGGAGGAAGTGTCACCGGACAGGATAGCAGCCTGGACGGCAGCACCGTAGGCAACGGCCTCATCGGGGTTGATGGACTTGTTGGGGTCCTTGTTGAAGAAGTCGGAGACGAGACGCTGGATCTTGGGGATACGGGTGGAACCACCGACCAGGACGATCTCGTGGACGGAGGACTTGTCGATCTTGGCATCACGGAGGACACGCTCGACGGGCTCCATGGTGGAGCGGAAGAGGTCCTGGCAGAGCTCCTCGAAACGGGCACGAGTGATAGAGGTGTAGAAGTCGATACCCTCGAAGAGAGAGTCGATCTCGATGGAGGTCTGGGCAGCGGAGGAGAGGGTACGCTTAGCACGCTCGCAAGCGGTGCGGAGACGACGCAGAGCACGGGCGTTGGTGGTCAGGTCCTTCTTGTGCTTGCGCTTGAACTCGTTGACGAAGTGGTTGACGAGACGGTTGTCAAAGTCCTCACCACCCAAGTGGGTGTCACCAGCGGTGGCCTTGACCTCGAAGATACCCTCCTCGATGGTCAAGAGAGAAACATCGAAGGTACCACCACCCAGATCGAAGATCAGGACGTTACGCTCGCCCTCATCCTTCTTGTCCAGACCGTAAGCAATAGCAGCGGCAGTAGGCTCGTTGATAATACGGAGGACGTTAAGACCGGCGATCAGACCGGAGTCCTTGGTGGCCTGACGCTGAGAGTCGTTGAAGTAGGCGGGGACAGTGATGACGGCGTTGTTGACGGTGCCACCGAGGTAGGCCTCAGCGGTCTCACGCATCTTGGTGAGGATCATGGCGGAGATTTCCTCAGGAGTGAACTGCTTCTGCTCACCCTTAAACTCAACCTCGACGACGGGCTTGCCGGCCTTCTCGGCGATCTTGAAGGGGAAGTGCTTCGCATCAGCCTGAACCTCGGCATCGCCATAGCGACGACCGATCAGACGCTTAGCATCGAAGACGGTGTTGTGAGGGTTCATGGCGACCTGGTTCTTGGCAGCATCACCGATGAGACGCTCGGTGTCGGTGAAGGCCACGAACGAAGGGGTGGTACGGTTACCCTGGTCGTTGGCGATGATTTCAATGCGGTCATCACGGAAGACACCCACACAGGAGTAGGTGGTTCCCAAGTCAATACCGACAGCGGGGGCCATTGTGAAAGAAGATGGAGGGGTTCGTTAAAAGTAGAAGGTAGGAAAAAGAGATTCGTGAACGTGGTAGAGAAAGAGACAGATGGGGTATAATACAAAGAAGAAAGGTCTCTCTGTCTAGCAGGTTAAGACTTAAGTGAGATGTAAGGAAGAAGGAAAATTTTTGACTGGAAGAAGAAGCAGGAGAATTGTGCGAGAACCAGCGTTGATATAGTGGAGGGCGGTGAGTTGCTGCTCCAGCGAAGCTTCTAGCAAGCGACCGATTCTACCGGCATCCATCGGGTTCGATAGCCTTTTTGCCGCTTTTCTGGAACCGTCGCCTTACGTTCTGGGCCCTTCCTGCTCGTTCACGACGGGCCTTCTCCTTTCTGTTTTTCTTTTTCTTTCTTTTTTTTCCCATGAACTAGTTCCTTCCTGCTTACTCTATTAGGTTCTTTAGAATTGAAATTCCACCCTCCTGGCAGACAAAAGGGCAGGGGAGGGGGAAACCCGTATTCCGGAGGGGCAGTCAGAATGACGGCGTTGGCGGGGTGAATGGATGATGTAATGGACAAGTGAAAAATTCGATGGGTTCTTCGCTACCGGAAAGTGCTGGAATCCATTCAATTCTGATTCACTTCGTCATTCTCAACCGGGAAGCAAGTTGGTCGCCCCGGTCGGGTCCACGGCTGGTTTTACTAGTTACCAGTCACTACTGGTAGAGTACTCCGTAGACATTACTTTTTTTCCACCTCCTAGTCATATCTTCAGACTTCTACGAGTAGCTGTCTCGGATGAAGTCATTCTCCTGGTCTGTGAGTCAGGAGTCAATGGATCGTACGACTAAGCTTAGTTTGATGGCCTCAGGAATCACCCAGCCTCAGGCACTCACCGTGGTGTGCCTTACATCCGTGTCCTGGACTCCTTCCTCTGTCTGCACTCTGGTTCTGCAGGCAGTCCCTCGACAGTGCTTACAGTAGATTTTAGATTCTAACTATCGTTGTCTGTTTATCTTATCTTTATCTTTTTCTTGGATCTACCTCTCTCTCCCTCAGGGTTCTTTTCTTCCCTGCTGGTGCTTTGTCTGAATGAGAACGTAACTCATAAGAACTCTCACTCCGACCACCCCCTCCTGAAGGGACCCAAAAGGAAAGCAAACAATAGAACACAAATTTGATCCCCGATTGTTTAAAACCATTACTCCGTAAGAGCACCAAAGCAGTAGAATGTTTATTATGGTTGCCCCGGGCCCAGGGCTCACCCCCGTCACGGGAGCAGCGCCGCCGATCGCCAACCTCCGCGGCAGCCAATGAGCGCCCCAAACACCCTCGAAGTGAATCTCCCCTTGCGACTGCCTTCTCTTCTCTACAACTCAATCCCTTCACCTACTTAACCACTTTCCCTCTCCCTTTTCACCTGAATTTGGTCATTTTCGTCTTGCTTCCCTCCATAGCCAAATTCCCCTAATCGATTCTACTCCCTCCTTCTCCCGACTTCTTCACAATGGGTGACAACAACCAGGCTACGACCCTTGGCAACGATGCCCCCGAGACTTTCAGCAAGGGCAAGGGCAAGGCTACCGAGGACCCTACTGCCATGGAAATGAGCATGGATGAGGAGGAGGAAAGCGAGAGCGAAGGCGAGGACATGGTGAGTTTGATCGGGCCTAGTCTCTAAATTCCTAAGCGCAGAGTTGACTGACTTGTTCATTGCGATTGATAGATCAACGACGGTATGGACTTCCTGGCTGGCCCCTTCCTTGCCATCCTTTGGCCTGCCCCTGCCGGTTCCTGAAGACAAGAACAACTCAACTGACCCCCTTCGCTCCTACCACAGATGACGACGACGATGAGGACAACCTCGAGCCAATCTCCTCCGAAAACATCATCAGCGGAGGACGGCGCACTCGTGGAAAGACCATCGACTTCCAGGAGGCTGCCGAGAAACTCAAGAACGACGATATGGATGATGATGACGATGACGAGGACTTCGCGCCCAACGACGACGAGGACGACAAGATGCGTCAGTAAATGCAATCGCCCGTGGCGATTGGAGGGATACCAAAATTCGATGAGAAATGAAAAATTCACAAGTCAACAAACTCTTGGGAACGAGTAGCGCAACTGGGAAACATAGTGGCCGGCGCAGGTTAATCGGGGGCTTTCTCTGTCTTTACTCCAACGATTTCTATTTCCTTCAGCTTGAATTCTAATTGCATACGAAAGTCTACGAGATCGGGAAACGTAACCAGATTTGACTTCGGTATCATCTGAATCCTGTACAAGGCTACATAGTACTATTAGTAGTGAAGGATGTATATCTCATGAAGTCTGCCAGCACAATGTATTGTCGCAAGCAAGAGGGTTCCTCCGTATGCGTAGAGCTCCTATGTTACGACTTCCCAAGTTACTACTAACCGTAAGAAGTACATTTAGATGGCCTTCTCACGAGTCCGGAATCATCCTTGACTGCTCACGTGCGGGCACTGATGAGGGTTGCGGTACGGTACGCCACAGACACCCTTTTAGTAGCCACTTGTTCTCGACCGTTATCGCCGCAAGCAGTCCGGACAATTATTCAGATAATAGACCTCCATCCTCGAGTACCTCCACAATGTCTGTTGACTAGCAAGTCAGCAAGAAAGAACAAATATTGATCCCACTCTAATTTCTTCACTACGACTATTGACGATCTGTTATGGCTTCACGGTATGTTGGTTATTTATGAAACTGTCCTAACATTGAACTAATGTATCCTGCTTCTCGCGACAAATAGATTCCCACGCTCTAATTTGCATCAGCGCGACCCTCGTGCTGCTTCATCCCTTTTCGACTCGTACGGGGGCAATTCTCGACCCGCCAGTAGGTCACCCGGTCAGGTGGGTGGATATGGGTATGGAGGATACCCCGGCCCTGGGGGCGATGGGTCTTCGAACGGCGGCGCCACGAGTGGAGGCTATCGAAGCGCGACGCCAAATGCGAAGTGAGTGATTATACCAGTTGAATCCGCGATGCGGAGGGCTTATAAAAAATGCAGGGGTCAATACTCAGACGCCGTCCTCTCCCATCTCGAGTCTCAGAATGACGTGGAGGTGGAAGGGATCAGTGCAAAAGTGAAAATGCTCAAAGACGTAAGACCTAGTTTCGACTCTTGATGAAAATCCAGTCATCCGCTAACCTCGCGACTAGATCACTCTTGCCATCGGCGATGAAATCCGGGATACTTCGACGATTACAGAGCTCAACGATTCATTCGACAACACACGTCTTCGGATCCGAGGAAACATGAATCGCATGCTGCGGATGGCCGAGCGGACGGGTGTTGGCTGGCGTGTGTGGCTGGGGTTCTTCTTGGCCGTCTTTCTGCTGTTTGGATACGTCTGGCTGACCTGAAATTGGAGCCTGAAGACCTGTTCTACAGCTTTTGCTTCGTGCCCCATGGTGCTCTTCGCAGTACTGTCTACTCATACCCGTCAAAGCGAGGCCCAGCCGCATACAATGGGCTACTTGTACAACTGTTTCTGTTTATATAACTCAGAGGCTTGGCAGCTTAGCATGACTACTGGACCATGGCGTTCTTTCCCTGGCGTTATGATTTTTATCAATGTCCTATCTTGCGATAGGTTTTGCATCATCCATCTAGATTTTTCTCTCTTTCGTTCCCCTTGGCGCCTCATTCTCAAAGCCCATGTATACAAATTACAAATGTAATTAATCGTCCTATTTTCTATATCGGGTCACAGGATCTCATCATAACGCATACTTGGAGTTGATGGTCAACTTCGGCCATGATTGACCCAGTTGAAAAAGACTTTTGGTCCTCATCTGTAAGACATCTTTTCTATGGATATTCTGTTTTCGTGACGATGCTGTAGAGCTAAGATTTTCGAATCGTTTATATTTCAGGAGTTCTATGTTAATTGTCGGGTGATATCATTTTCACACCTGTTTATACTCTTTACTATTCATCAATGCCAGTGCATGATCATAAGGATGTGTTTGTCTAGTACATATATATATATATATATATAAAAATGAAGGCTAATATTACCAGAACTCCAAGCTCCGGACTTCGCCAAACTCCCTGCTGCTTGTACCTGCAAAATAGATCAAACTCATAGCGAACAGGCCAAGCTGCCTTTCGAGCTCGATATGTCAATCAAGCATATAATACAGACTTCTTTTGTGAGTAAAGCTCCTCGGGTTTTCCGAATTGACCGGCTATGATTTTCAGTCGAAGCTATCTCTGGGGCCGCCTGTTCGCCTCCTGGGATATCTGCCGAATACACTCCGTCGACTTGCTTGACTGGTTATAGAAGCTCGGAGGTCATCGTCATCGACTACCATGTTGCTCGAATTGAATGCATCACCACCGCCACTCCACCGTTGAAGGAAGCGTCGCTGGGCTTCTGTTTCTTGCTGAGCTGGCGCCGAAGGGATTCCACGGCTGCTAGTTGTGCTCACTCGGAAGCTTTGATTGAGAGGATCCTGCGCAAAGCTGACTTCGTCTTCCTCCTCGTCAAACTCGGCATCTGTATCGGTATGTTGCCATTCCTCCTCTTGCTCGAAACGATCCTCATCTGCTTCGGGAATATCGTCGTTTAGGTCGTGGCCCATGTCTTCACTCATCTCGTCACTTCCTGGCTCATACGCACCACTCGGGATTTCATCGTCTAGGTCTGGTTGATTGTCGAAGTCGTACTCATTCTCTTCCTCGAGTCCTTCATCGTCATCGTCCTCCGGGAATGCCTCAGGGATATCGTCGTCGAGATCACGTTCCATATACCCTTCCTCATCCACTTCGTCGTCCTCTTCGAGGCCTTCCTCCCCTTCCTCCACGAGACCCTCCCCATCTGCATCCGGGATATCGTCATCGAGATCTCTTTCCATCCCCGTATCGTCTTGTCCCTCGCCATCCGTCTGGCCGTTCCGGCCGCCACCCAGCCCATCCATACCATCCATCCCCGGATCTGCGGCGGCAGCGGCAGCGGCCATTTCCGCCGCGGCGGCAGCAAGAGCTTCTTCCCGCTCCGCCTCTTCTTCCTTCATCCCTAGCATAGTTTTGGCGCATCCTGCGGGTTTGATCCACGAGTACCCGAACGAGGCGATGTTGTTCTTTCTGGCACGAAGGGCGCGTTCCTCTAGTATTAACGACGACAGACTATTTCCGGCCCCGGCGGAGGACATATGTGCGCGCCCGTACGAGGTATGACCGCCATTGCGACGCAGGTGTCCTTGTTGCGCGTCACCTGCCGATTGATGGTGCTGTGAGGAAGCTCGGTAAGGTTGGGAGGAGCCGAACCAGAGTTCATGGGACTGGTTAAAGAGGGATCGGTTATTAAAATGTTCGGCCAATGCTGGATTCAATGTGAATCGAGGAATGGCTGGCGAGCACTTACATCGCGCGGGGTGATAAGAGGTAGTGAAAGCATTTTCGATCAGATAGCCAATTCGGTGGATTAGGGTACGTAGTTTTAGGGTATCAGTCGCAAAGAGTTCATTCAATTCGTTCGATCGGAGTGTCTTCCTAGAGGTTCATGTATGCGAAGCGGTTTGTTGTTGTTTTTCAAGGGTCGTTCCGATGGATCTCGAAATGCAGATGGCGCTGTATTGTCGCCCTGCCTTGCCTAGGATTAAGTCTCTCTGAAACTCGAAGCCACTGTTAAGTTAGTAATGCACATAAAGGGGCGTACTCGAGCCATGCATTGCGGAGGGGAGCAAAGACGAATCGAAGAAGCTCCGCGGACGGCAGAAACAATCAGAGGAAGCTCCGCTCCACAACAGTGGAAGGCGGAGGGGCCAATGTGGGTATCCAATTGGGTGGCCTGGGATGAAGTGGTTTCCATCCATTGTTTATCCATTCATGTTTAAACCCTTCAGCAGAGGCCTCTGGACTAGGCGGTATTTTGTGATTTAAAAGCGAATCAACAACTGAATGAATTAATTGAAAGCAGGAAAAGCTGGACAAAAGTATGTGGCTCCCCATCACTCCCAGCACGTGCCCTTTAAACCCTAAGAGAAATATAGATCTTCAATGTACAGATCAGTCGCTAAGTAGCCATCAACAGTCATGATTCAATTATAAAAGACACGATGTCTTGATTTGCACAATCGTTGAGAAAATTCGCATTATATACCATGCTCTTATGAGAAAAGTATCGTATTCTCATAATGACCGATGTTTTATTGAGAATTAGATGATTAGAAGAAATAGGCTATCTAAATAGATATATGTTGTGTGCAGTTATGCTACCTTCGATCTCATATAATAAATCCTGGCCGGCATATCATAAATTATAGTAACGACACCAGCCATAGATTACTCCAGCTCCTGGTATAGTATGCTATCTCAACCAATAACGGCACATCAAAAGACTTTAAATCCCCTAAAGTTTCGAAGAGAGCAGCTCGGACTACACTGATCCTCCCTTTTCCTTATCTCAGACATAATAGATGGAAGTGCGTTCTCTTGACCCGACAATTGCTGGGAGCTCCGGAAGGCCGTTCTTTGATCTTTGGTATCCGAGGCAGGGTCAATTTCTCGTCCCTTGGAACGTGCTTCTTGACCGGCCGAATCGAGCCCAAAGCAAGCCATCAATTGGAGTACGAATCAAAAGAGTCAGCCTCAAAGTTAACTTCCAAATGCAGGTCCTAACCTGTGGCTATGCAGCATGATAGCAATTAGCATCACAAAGGTGGCCCAAGTCAAAGTCATTCTGTGGGCGCCTGTTTCCATGAAAGATGATTAGGTGTAGAAACTGGATGTATTATGAGCTCACAGGACCAATTGTCTGATAACCATGCGTGTCGCAACGGCTCACTCATCTAAGGGCTCGGAGTGCAGAGCTTGAAAACTTTCTTTCAGCGATTGCTTTCTCTTAAGACACCCGAAAGGGTCGTTGACCATACAAAACCTCCTTTGTCGTTGCTGCTGAGCCCAAGCAATCAACCTCGGATTACTAGCTCGATATCATGAGCAAGGCCTGGCCTTCGTCGCATTTTCCGACTGAAAACCCGTGAGATCAACGCCAATGACATGAAATTTTCCCGATTCAGGTGAGGCAGAGCATCGTCAGGCCACAATGATATTGGGCTTCAACGAGCAAAGCAGATCTAAAACCGTAAACGAAGGACATAGGACGCTTCGACGTCGCTCCATAGGCTGAGCACGTCGCATTAATAGGCAGCCTGGGCGAATCACCTAGTAAAGTGTCATTTCCCGTAACTTACGGAGTACTCCGTAGTATTGTGCATAGTCACCATCATCATAGTGTATGGGGGCTCGGAGATCAACAGGCACAAGGCCGACCGCCAGTTCCTCCGTCGTCATCCTGGCCCGCTCGTCAGACTTCAACAGTTTAACATGCCCGGTTTTCCGTCCAATTCGACCATGGATTCCGTAAACTCCCGAAGACTTGCAGTTTCCCGCTCCATCGACCTGATCATGCCCGGTGAACCCAAAGCGGACAAGACTGATCCCGATGCGGACAGATCGGGAGAAACCGGGCGTCGGAAACGACTGCATCTCCGCCCAATCATGTGACGTCCTCTTGGAGACTGTAGGGCGGGGTGCGGAGAGGGATGAACAGTATGAACTGTCACACGGCAGGAGCCCAGGCATTCTGCTTTTCGTCGGTTCCCTTCTTTCCCTTCTGCCTGCACGTGTGTTCCGAAGCACGGAGTACCAAGAAGCCTGCATTGCAGGTCTAGTTCGCGATCCTCCTCGTTTGGCCCTGAGTCACTCGGTTAGTGAGCAACTAGGTCTCTTGAGTTGGAGAAGTCGGTTTTTGCCCGTCGGAGACGCAGTCGGCGTATTTTATTTTTCTGCTGGATAATACTCTCCCGGATGGAGGTTTCCATCTTGGATCGGCCGAAAGAAACTCCCTCTCGGGTGATCAGTCACCCATCTCCTTGGAGCCAGGACGCTTTCAGGGCTTCAGGCATGTCCAAACTGACCCGATTTTCTACCCATCCTATCGTGAGGACTTGAATCAATCAATGGCGGCCAATTGTTCTTAAGGTGCCTCCAAGACCCAGCGTCATACTTGTGAAGTGGCGAAAAACCATGAAATCGACTATCCAGTAGCAAAAGAGCAGTGATGGATGATCTTGGGAGTCAAGGAATGATGAACGTCGGTTTTATTAAATCATTATTATTACTGTCATGGATTTTAATAGGTATTGTTGTTCTTTCCGGATATGGTCTGATCGACATGGATTCATAACGCCCTCGTATCTCCGGGGGCGCTGGGTAATTCTGGCATGATAATTGGTTGGGGCCAAGCAAAGGTACAGGTAGCCACGGATCACGGAGTGGATTTCCCGGGGAAATGCCTTAGTAGGTTAAATTAGAAGCATACGGGGAGTTTTGTTTAGTCGGGCAGATGCAGAAAGGAATCCCTGCGGGGACTGAGTGAGAGATTAGAGAGTATTCATTGGCGAATTTGTACTCCAGAGTACACTACGTAGATGTGTCTGATAAAACGAAGGCAAGGTAGTCTGATAGGGGGCCTGATAAGATGTTTGATGACCACAAACGATGAGACGGTGAAACATCCAGGGGCCAATGGGTAAGCGACGGGGCGTTCCTCGGCCGGAAGATGAGGCTTAGGAGCCCCGAAATCGGGGGCGCACCTGTACGGGGTGATGAGGGCTTCACTGGATGTACAGGGGAGAGGGGAGGAGCGATAGAGAGCATTCCGGGATGGAAGAGGAAAAGCGTCCTTGGCCGTTGTCGGCACCCGACCTTGGCCATAAATACATATTGTGTATGAGACTTGTAATCCCTGTGATCGTCCGACAGGCTGGTGGCTGCACATGAGCGTGGGGTCATGCAGGTTTTTGGATTAGCGTTCTTAGGCGGACAGGGCAGCGTGTCCTCCATCCGTACACGCGGGCGTACTTCTTTTTGGGTCTTTTCTTGGGACACTCTTCTGGTTTTCTGGTATTTTCCAGATCGCTTTTTAGAATTCGCAAATTATTTACACGGTGTACTGTACATAGGAGTAGCTAAAAAGGCCTTCAAACGATGTCACCCGGATCAAAATCGCAGAGAAATTATTATCGAGCCTCTAAGCCTACCCCTTAATAACACCACTCGCCATGCCATCAGAATAATGCCCAACGAGTCCAGGGCAATTACTAATTCTCAAGCCAGGGGAATAGTTAGTTATGTAGGTAACTTACGATGTACAGTAGATAGTAGATACTCCTTTGATCCGACCACTCGGATGTGGATGGTCTGCAGTCATCGTGTACTCCGTACAGCCAGATATTCTATTATTCTAGCCTCAGATTTGACGAACTCTCCCCAACTGTTCCTCTCGCATGTGAACCGCCTAGGCTATTTACTGTAATGATGCCTTCGTCTCCGGTGTACTTGTCTATTATTGCCTTGGCGTTTGACGTCCCTTGCCGATTTGTGGTAGGCCACAGTGTTTGCCAAGGATTTTGGGCCATTTGAATAATCATCGTCTGCATTTCTTTTCTTTTCTTTTTCTTGCCTGCCGGATCACCCCCTCCTTCATATTTTTAGTTAACGTCTTTTCACGGATCTCTTTTTTTTTTGGGACACTTCCATGCGTACTCTAGTCCACTTGAACCAACCCGTTTCCGGTAAGGTGTAGGATAAGCACTGCACCCTTGCGCCGGACCCACCTGTGCAATATCCATCCAGTCGGGTCTCGGACTTGCCAAGGGTGAAATGAAATATGAATGAAAGTACCCTAGCATGCTATTTGGACATTGAAGATGATTACCAAAGGGCCATTGCGATTATTGTCCGAGGTGCAATTGCGTGGATGCCTTCCTCAATAGCTGGTTCAGGCCTGCAAATTGAAACCTCCACTCGAATTTGAATCCTACTCCTATCTCTCCAATCAGGGTTCCAACAATCAGCAAAATGATCCTACATGGGTAGTGGCTTTATTCACCCGCTAGATACTTATCGTTGATTCTCGGTGGTTTCCATTTGACCCCAGTGCACATATAGATAAACTAGAATGATTCCAGGCCGGCATCGGTCGCCTACCTACCTAGGTACCTACTACCAGGGTGGCCTCCGGGAGGAAATGAGCGGGAAAATTACCAGATACGCGGTGATACGGAGGTGCGTAACCGACGCGGGCAATGTCAATCCGTTTTCCACTAGCGCCAGTTGTTAAGCCTGGGCCCCACCGGGTTGGATCTTGACGTAGTGAAAACCTAATCTTTTGGCCAAAAGGTTGCTAAACCCTCGCTCTGATTGGCTCCCCGTGTCTTATCTTGACTTTAGAGTAAATCCCCGGTCGATGGACTGCACTGCATGATTGTTTCGTTCTCTCGCGTTGGATTGCACGAGTCAATCATTGATTCATACTTTAATGCTTTTACGGAGGAGTTTATTAAGATTATAGTTCTTCTTCAATTGAATCGTGAAAAGTGGACTTGGAAAAAAGGAAGGAGGGGCATGCTCCCCCCCATTTGCGTCAACCATCCTACTCCAACCAAGGACGGAGAGCGCCATAGCGCCAACGAAGTCTGCTACGCACGGAGATAGAGTAATTTCGTGCCCCGATGCGGCTTCAGATGGGCGTCCAGAGTCTAGACAGTAAATGAAAAGGTCCTTTGCGCTCGTCTCCCTCTTTCCACCCTACAGGCTCTACAGCGACGTCCTTGCTCAGAAAGACAGAAGAGCTGCAATTTGCCACGGACTCCCCACAATTGTAATTTGTTTTTGGCCATTGTTTGACCGGAAGGTGCATACCAAGTAGCTTACCTGCCTAGCTCCTAGTTCTACTCTACATCTTACGGTGGGTTCTCCTGCCTACGTCCATTCGTCCATTCGTCCAGCTCCAATAACAAATACATGTTCATCCATGTACACCTCGGAGGTGTGCCAGTGAATTCCCCGGACCTCTGCCTCCCGCCCTCCCGCTCCCTGCTACCACCTTTCCTTTTTTTTTTACTCTATTATTCCCACCCCCCCTCCATCCCGCCGTCTTCCCTCCCTTTTCTTTCTTTCTTTCCTTCCCCTCTTCTTCCCTTTTTCATCTTTCTCGGAGCAAGACGCTGGGTCATACATTACTTCTCTACTGTCCTCGCCCGCGTTGTTGACCGTGAACATACTTATCAGTGACGACATTTGACTGTCCTGCACATCTCTTATCTATACGTAACGACATTCCACCCTGAGTTTCGCGGCGGTCGCATTCACTCATTGAAGCCAACAACCCCCCACTCCCCCTAGTTTCGTCAATCCATTTTCTGTCGCTCGCCGGCGGAAGAATGGGTCTGAACTTGGAGGAAATCTATGGCCAATTTCTAGAAGAAGAGCAGCAACCAAACGAATATTCAGAGTACAAGCCAAAGCAAGGATATGGCTGGGCAAATACTCTGCCGGAGCGGCAGGGACTGTACAATCCCGAATATGAGAAGGATGCTTGCGGTGTAGGCTTCGCTGCGTAAGTGCCCAGGCGCATCCACACACCGTCTTGTCGCCGGCCACAACCTCCAGTACCCCAACGCAGCAATCGCTAACAACGGTTTTCTTGGCCTCTAGTCATATCAAGGGCAACCCTAGTCATAAAATTGTCAGCGATGGTAGGTGTCTTCGCTCGTGCGATCCTCGCATTCAGACATGGGATCCCGGCTAACTAAACTCCGTTGTAGCGCGCAACCTGCTTTGTAACATGACGCACCGAGGTGCCGTGGGCTCAGATGCCAGAGATGGTGACGGTGCCGGTGTGATGACCAGTATCCCCCACAAATTCTTCATTAAGAATTTCGCTCGCGACGTTGGGGTTGAGCTCCCGCCGCTCGGACAGTATGCGGTTGGCAACCTGTTTTTCAAGCCCGACGAGGAGTCTTTGAAGGAATCAACAACATCGTTCGAAGAAATTGCAGTCTCTCTCGGCTTGCGAGTGCTGGGCTGGCGTGAGGTCCCTCGTGATTCGACGATTTTGGGTCCTGCTGCCCTATCGCGGGAGCCTATCATTCTGCAGCCGTTCGTGGTACTGAAGTCCGCTTATGGCGATGGAAACAAGCCGGAAACCACCGATCCTGAGTCGTTCGATGAGAGAAATTTCGAACGTCAGCTTTATGTGCTTCGGAAACGGGCCACTCATGTGATTGGGCTGGCCAACTGGTTTTACTTGTGCTCCCTCAGCAACCGAAACATCGTGTACAAGGGTCAACTAGCCCCTGTTCAAGTATATCAGTACTATCATGATCTAGTCAATGTGGATTACGAAGGCCACTTCGCCCTCGTGCATTCTCGTTTCTCTACCAACACATTTCCCTCGTGGGACCGCGCACAGCCTTTGCGCTGGGCCGCTCACAACGGTGAGATCAACACCCTCCGGGGCAACAAGAATTGGATGCGGGCTAGAGAAGGCGTGCTCAAGTCCGACATTTTCGGTGATGAGCTCGACAGCCTCTATCCGATCGTTGAGGACGGCGGCTCTGACTCTGCGGCCTTCGATAACGTACTGGAGTTGCTCATGATCAACGGCGTTTTGTCTCTACCCGAGGCAGTGATGCTCATGATCCCCGAAGCGTGGCAGGACAACCCGGCCATGGACCCTGCCAAGGCCGCATTCTATGAGTGGGCTGCATGCCAGATGGAGCCTTGGGACGGCCCTGCTCTTTTCACTTTCTCTGACGGCCGGTACTGTGGTGCCAATCTGGACCGTAACGGATTGCGTCCTTGCCGTTTCTATGTGACAGACGACGACCGCATCGTCTGTGCCTCCGAGGTCGGTGCTGTGGACGTCGACCCCGAGCGTGTTGTCCAGAAGGGCCGTCTGCAGCCCGGCAAGATGCTTCTAGTCGACACCGTGGCTGGCCGCATTATTGATGATTCCGAGCTTAAATACACGGTTGCCCACCGCCAGGACTTCACTACGTGGCTGGATAAAGAGCTTCTGAAGCTTCCCGCCGTCAAGGAGAAGCTAGTCGAACAAAACATTGACCTTCGCTACTCCATTGATGACAGCACCGTGCAAAATGACCCTCGACTCAAGGCATTCGGATATTCCTTCGAGCAGGTCAGCCTGCTTCTTGGACCGATGGCTGCTGATTCCAAGGAAGCTCTTGGCTCGATGGGAAACGACGCTCCATTAGCCTGCATTGCCGAACAGCCTCGCCTTCTCTACGAATACTTTCGCCAACTCTTTGCTCAAGTGACCAATCCCCCAATTGACCCAATTCGAGAGGCCGTTGTCATGTCGCTGGACTGCTACGTTGGCCCTCAGGGCAACCTCTTAGAAATGGACCCCTCCCAGTGCCGTCGCCTACTGCTCCCTTCACCCATCTTGAGCATCCCTGAGTTTAATGCCCTAAAGAATATCAACCAGGCTCACAAGGACTGGACCGTGAAGACGATCGACATCACCTTTGAGAAAGTAAAGGGCGTTCCGGGGTATGTCGAGGCGCTTGATGCCATCTGTGATGCCACTACCGATGCTGTTCAGAACGGGGATAAGGTTATTGTGCTTTCTGACCGCGCAACTTCCGCCGACCGAGTCCCCGTTTCTGCTCTCCTGGCGACTGGGTTGGTCCACCACCATCTCGTCCGCAATAAATGGAGATCTCTTGCCGCGCTGGTTGTAGAAACTGCAGAGGCTCGTGAAGTGCATCACATGTGTGTTTTGGTCGGATATGGTGCCGACGCTGTCAACCCATACCTGGCTATGGAATGTATCATCAAGATGAACCGTGAAAATCTGATCCGCAAGCAGCTCTCGGATGAGAAGGTTATCGAAAACTATAGGGCCTCTTGTGATGGCGGTATCCTGAAGGTCATGAGCAAAATGGGAATTTCTACTCTGCAGTCTTACAAGGGCGCTCAGATCTTTGAAGCGCTCGGTATCGATGATAGTGTCATTGACCGGTGTTTCGCAGGAACTGCAAGCCGTATCCGTGGCTTGGACTTTGAACTTATCGCCCAAGATGCATTTGCCTTCCATGAACGTGGTTACCCTTCTCGTTCAGTCACTGAGATCCCCGGTCTTCCGGAGTCCGGTGAATACCATTGGCGTGATGGAGGCGAGGAGCATATTAATGATCCAGTTAGCATTGCGAACATGCAGGATGCCGTGCGTACGAAGAACGACAAATCTTATGAGGCCTACGCTAAGGCTGAACATGAGCAAATCAAAAACTGTACCCTCCGTGGTATGCTTGATTTCGATTTCGAGCAGCGGACGCCCATTCCAATTGATCAAGTTGAGCCTTGGACCGAGATTGTTCGCCGATTCGTCACCGGTGCTATGTCTTACGGATCTATCTCCATGGAATCTCACTCCACGCTGGCAATTGCCATGAACCGTCTTGGTGGCAAGTCTAACACCGGAGAAGGTGGTGAAGACGCCGAGCGAAGCAAGCGCATGGAGAACGGGGATACTATGCGGTCGGCTATCAAACAGATCGCCTCTGGCCGTTTTGGCGTAACATCGCATTACCTGGCAGATGCCGATGAACTGCAGATCAAAATGGCACAGGGAGCTAAGCCTGGCGAAGGTGGTGAGCTCCCAGGCCACAAGGTCGTTGGCCCTATTGCCCACACACGTTACTCGACTCCCGGAGTTGGCCTGATCTCGCCGCCGCCGCACCATGACATTTACTCCATTGAGGATCTGAAGCAACTCATTTACGACCTCAAATGCTCGAACCCCCGCGCGCGCGTTTCTGTTAAGCTCGTCTCAGAGGTCGGTGTGGGAATTGTTGCCTCTGGTGTCGCCAAAGCTAAGGCTGACCACATCTTGATTTCGGGTCACGATGGCGGTACTGGTGCCTCTCGCTGGACTGGTATCAAGTATGCCGGCCTTCCGTGGGAGCTGGGTCTCGCCGAAACCCATCAAACTCTTGTCCTGAATGACCTGCGTGGTCGTGTTGTTGTTCAGACTGATGGCCAGCTTCGCACCGGTCGTGATCTTGCTGTTGCTTGTCTCCTGGGCGCTGAAGAATATGGTTTCGCCACTACTCCTCTCATTGCTATGGGTTGTATCATGATGAGGTTCGTTCCCTTTCAAGGCTGAGCCGTCTACTTGAACTTTTTGTGCTGACTTTTAACTGTAGAAAATGCCACCTTAACACTTGTCCCGTGGGTATTGCAACCCAGGACCCCGAGCTTCGGGCCAAATTCTCTGGAACTCCTGAACATGTCATCAATTTCTTCTATTACATTGCCAACGAAATGCGTGCGATCATGGCAAAACTGGGCGTGCGGACTGTCAACGAAATGGTTGGACGCGCCGAGTTGCTCAAGGTCAGAGACGACATTCGGACTCCTAAGCAGGAGAAGATTGACCTGTCTCTCATTCTGACTCCGGCTCACTCGCTTCGCCCTGGAGTCGCTACGTACAATGTCCGCAAGCAAGATCACCGTCTGCACACTCGCCTCGACAACAAGCTCATCGCTGAATCCGAGCTTGCACTCGAAAAGGGCCTCCCTTGCAGAATCGAGTGTGATATCGTCAACACCGATCGCGCCTTGGGTGCTACCCTATCATACCAGGTCAGTCGTCGATTTGGTGGCGAGGGCCTTCCCCAAGACACAATTCATGCAAACATCAAAGGCTCCGCTGGTCAATCCTTCGGTGCCTACCTTGCGCCTGGTATAACTCTGGAGCTCGAGGGCGATGCCAATGACTATATCGGCAAGGGCCTGTCCGGAGGCCGTCTCATAATTTACCCCCCTCGTGGCGCCGCCTTCAAGGCAGAAGAGAACGTGATCGTCGGTAATACTTGTCTCTACGGGGCGACTCGTGGTACTTGCTACTTCCGCGGTATGGCTGCTGAGCGGTTTGCTGTCCGTAACTCAGGCGCCACCGCCGTTGTGGAAGGTGTTGGCGACCACGGTTGCGAGTACATGACGGGTGGCCGCGTGCTCATTCTTGGATCAACTGGCCGTAACTTTGCTGCCGGTATGTCCGGAGGTATCGCATACATCCTAGACAAGAACCAGGACTTCCATTCGAAGGTGAACATGGAAATGGTGGAAGTGTCTGGTCTGGAAGACCCTGCTGAGATTGCCTTCGTTCGCGGCCTCATCGAAGACCACCACCACTATACTGGCTCGGAGTTGGCAGCTCGTGTCTTTTTGGACTTCACCCGGGCCCTCCCTCATATTGTTAAAGTGCTGCCTACCGATTACAAGCGGACGTTGGAGGAGGAAGCTGCTAAGGCCGAGGCTGCCAAGAAGGCCGAGTTTACGCTCCCTCAACTTCCCAGCACCCCGGCAAACGCGGAGAAGCCCAAGGCCGAAGCCGAGTCGAAGAAGGCTGAGATGCTGGACATCGAGGACAGTATCAGCGACTCGAAGACCGAGAAGAAGCGGTCAGCGCTCATCCTGGACAAGACCAGGGGCTTCATGAAGTATAACCGGCGTAGCGAGAAATACCGCAACCCTGCCACCCGTACACGTGACTGGGCGGAGCTCTCCAATCGCCTCAGCGAGGACGAGCTCAAGTACCAGTCTGCTCGTTGCATGGACTGTGGTGTTCCCTTCTGTCAGTCGGACACTGGTTGCCCGATTTCCAACATCATCCCCAAATTTAACGAATTATTGTTCCAGGTAAAAAAAAACATTGCGATCCGAGTGACTTGGCGACAAGAAATGTGATGCGCTGACAACAGATACAGGGCCAATGGCAAGATGCCTTGAACCGTCTACTCATGACCAACAACTTCCCCGAGTTCACTGGCCGTGTCTGCCCTGCCCCGTGCGAAGGTGCATGCGTCCTAGGAATTAACGAAGATCCTGTCGGTATCAAGTCCATCGAATGTGCCATCATTGACCGTGGGTTTGAGATGGGCTGGATGGTTCCTCGTCCTCCTCCAAACCGCACTGGCAAAACCATCGCCGTTATTGGGTCTGGCCCTGCTGGTCTTGCAGCAGCTGACCAACTTAATCGAGCTGGTCACAGTGTGACTGTTTACGAGCGTGCTGACCGCATTGGAGGCTTGCTCATGTATGGCATTCCCAACATGAAGCTTGACAAGAAGATCGTGCAGCGGCGTGTTGATTTGATGGCCGCCGAGGGCGTTAAGTTTGTTACCAGCACTCCCGTCGGCCCTGAGCACGAGGTTTCTCTCGAATCCCTGCGCAAGAGCAATGATGCCGCCATCATTGCTACCGGTGCCACAGTGGCACGCGACCTTAAGGTCACCGGTCGCGAGCTTGATGGCGTGCACTTTGCCATGCAGTTCCTCCATAAAAACACCAAATCGCTTCTCGATTCTAACCTGGCCGATGGGGCGTATATCTCTGCCAAAGATAAGCACGTCGTGGTTATTGGCGGTGGTGACACTGGTAATGATTGTATCGGCACATCTGTTCGTCATGGTGCGAAGTCCGTCACCAACTTCGAACTGTTGCCTCAGCCTCCCCCTGAGCGTGCCCGTGATAACCCATGGCCCCAGTGGCCCCGGATCTATCGTGTCGATTACGGTCACTCTGAAGTGAAAACTCACATGGGCAAGGATCCTCGCGAGTATTGTGTCATGTCCAAAGAATTCGTTGACGACGGCTGTGGTCGCGTCAAAGGCATTAACACCGTCCGTGTCGAATGGACCAAGAGCGCTTCTGGCGGATGGGATATGAAGACTGTCGAAGGGAGCGAGCAATTCTTCCCCGCCGATCTTGTTCTTCTTTCCATGGGTTTCCTTGGTCCCGAGGATCGCCTCCTGGGCGATGAAATTGAACGCGACGCTCGCAAGAATGTCAAGACTCCTCCTGGCCAGTATAACTCAAGCATCCCCGGCGTCTTCGCCGCCGGTGATTGCCGTCGCGGCCAGTCCCTCATTGTTTGGGGCATCAACGAAGGTCGCCAGTGCGCTCGCGAAGTCGATACCTACCTGATGAACACCAGCTCTCAGCTCCCCGTCACCGGTGGCATTGTTCGTCGACCAGCGATTGATGCGATTCCTCAGGGTGTTACTCAGACTGTTTCCGCATGAAGGAATCACTTCAGCCTCAAGGCGCGTCTGTGCAGCAGGACTGCTTCTGGTGACGCCGCGTTCTGTGTATGTTTTACGACAAACGAAGATGACAGCGACCAATGAATCTCAATTTTACGTTAAAAAATCTGCTTTACATTAAATCGTCACGAGAATGCTGGAGGGGGTTTGTATCTATGACAACTCATGGCTTATGTTACGTGGAAATCATTTCTATTTTCTGGGTGATTTGGATACGGGCACGGTTGTATTGATATTCTTTCTTTCCCACAGTTTGTCAGCCTTTTTAATTCCTTTCTTCTCTATTTCTATCTGATCTGCATCCTTCTTTCTCGGGGGTGGGTGGACTTGCTTTTGGTTGTAGCGAATTCTCTCGAAACTGGAATACAAAGGCGCCCGAGCGTTTGATTTTGTTCACCTCATTCTTCCACGGGTTTTATCTTCACCGTACATATATCTCCTCGCAATCTAGTTCATAGTTAAATTGTTTGAACCTGCAAATCAAATGTTATTTATTGGGCTACCACAACCTTGAACCGATGTGGGTCAATCAAATTCGGTTTATTGACGACGCCTGAGCATTCTAGGCCGACGGCTATGGCTAGGAATCGACTCCAGGGAGAGATTATCCAACTCATAGGCTGATTCGATAACTTTTCGCGTCAGCTCATTGCGGACGGACTGCTCTTCCCACTTCATTATGAGGTCGAGAGCCTTGTCTCCCATGCCGCGCATGTCCCCGATGCACTGGTAGGTAAATTCCAGCCGCTCGTCGGCCATGCCGACCATGTGCCACATATTATGCCGGAACATCTCCTGGTCGAGTCTGGTGGGTTGCTTTAGATTCGATTTGCCAGGACATCGGCTTGAGGCACGGTTTCTTAGGGGGTAGTGTCTCCCCCGGGGCGGCGGAGGTATTTGCGTCACTGAGCCCCATTGAACGGTTTTCTGAGGCACACGGGAGAATGATGGGCAAGAATGAACCCTTTCTTCATATTGTGAATGTTGAATATATGCTGATTTGGGGGGTGGTGAGGTTGACCGACGCCGTCGGGATTGAGAGCGTCGGAGCTTGAACTCCTGGAACATAGATACGATCGAATGCATTGAGAGACTTACTGCAAAGTATGAATGAAAATGGAATGGCGTTATATGACAGGCCCTCTCGGTGTATCTGCCTGCCTGTCTCTCTCGCTGCACCTTCTTTTTCTTTCCCTCCCGGTTTACTCGAGGTTATATATGTGTAATGTCCGGAGGTAACTCCCATCATATAACAAAGAGACCTTTGTCAATCCAGGAACTCCTCATTTGGAAAACAGCGACATTATGGCTAGCACGCATCCGAATTGGTCCTTTGATAGTAAAATGCATGGGATAAAAGAGCTGTTCAGAGAACCAAACAAAGACGACAGATATCACAGACGCTTTCAAAGGTGGTATGACATGAATGAGATTATATTATACAAAGCCCCCCTCAATCCCAACGGGGGACAGACATCCATTGTGGTAACAGAGATAACAAGGCACCCCCAACCGCGCATTGTCCTCAACAGCCCACTAAACAGCCCCGGCTTTTTGACGGGCCTCTTCCTCGGCCTTCATTTGCTTCTCTAGCGCGATGAAATCGCCCTCAAAGGCCTTTTGCGCCGGCTCCGTCCGCAGATCCCAGACATCCTCACTGCTCGGTCCCGTCTTGAATTTGATCGCCTTCATGCGGTTGTGATCGCGGATGGCCTTCTTGCGCGACCCCTCGGACCACGTTCGGGTCTTCATGCAGAGCCAGAAGTTATCCCAGTGTTCGCTACACGACCGTAGCTCACCGTATCGATAGACGTTGACGAACTGACCCCCGAACGATTGGCAGAAGAACGCATAGTCGAAAGCGGAGCGGCAGGACATGGTGTCGGGGTAGAGAGATTCGGGGGCAATCGAGGACGACGGCGTCGTGGATTCAGGACCCGATTCTGTTGTAGATGATGTCTGTTGCGAGTCTTTTCGAGAGCCACTATTGATGTCTCCTTCTAGGCTGGCGAGCAATTTCTTGAACTCCGCATCGGCTTGTTCTTCGCGAGTCATCGGCGGCGGCGGCGGCGGGAACGCAGGCGTTTGAGGGTCTGACGAAGACTGTTGTTGCGGAGGTGAAGGCGATGGAGGGAGCGGAGAGGTCTCCTTGGGAGACGAGGAATTCCACCACCAGCCCATTGTGAATTAGACAGAAAAGGAGCGAGGGAGAGGGTCGGAGAACGTCTGGGATGCTTTGAGAGCGGAAGAATCGCGAATTCCATCGGAAAGAATGTAATTTTACACAATATCCGCCCGTGACGGTATCTGCGGAGAACACCCACCGACGGCGGTAATAAACCCCGTTATGCCTCGTATCCGCCGGGCTGTCGACGTCACCGCACCCGTTCGTCATTCTCTCTCACGAACAACCAACTCTCAATGCCATTCGAGGGGGGCTTTCGATCATGCGTGCATTATGTGTTCGAGAAAGGAGACCTCTTGTCGCCTTGGTGTCCCAGCACTGGACGAGGTCTGCTTCTGTCTTCCCCGCCCAGCGCGAAGTAATTCGACGCCGGAGTGCTAGTACTAGTACTAGTACTACTCATGCCTCATGTCTAGAGACCGGGCATATCGAGGTGGGCGAGAACGAGGCTCTGTTATTTGTGAACAGTGAGGCCTACGTGACTTCTATGATAATAGAGTAGTTGACTGTGGTCCTCGATAACTGATCGTTTCTAAAACCAGATATCTTTCCTTCAAGGTTACAGTGGGTGTTACAGGGCCCTCTCCGCACCACGAGGTCATACGAAGAGGCCTTGAAACGCATTAATAGGCCACAACTGGCGGCCTCTGATCCGCTAAATATCATTCGCCGCGTATTTCCGGAGGGTCTGGATCTGGAAATCCAAGAAGTCGTCCCACGCTTCAGAGAAGGCGGCTCTTTTGTCAAGTACGCTCGTAAGGCAGGGCTGAACGACGTCGACATCGAAGCGGCCATTAAGGCGAACCTGGAAGACAATCCAATTCGACCATGGTTCAATCCATTCCAAAAGGTTAGGGTTGCTCGCGTTCTGGGTCGCCCGTGGATCGAAGACCTGTATCGCATCCCAAGTAAGCGACTGAGGGTTGAGTTCCTGCCACAATCCGCCGACGGATCCGCGGTGGACTTGACGACCGAAACCCTCTATTCGGCCTTCCGCGGCTATGGGAAATTGAAAGACATCGAAAAACAGCCGTCGGACTCGAAGGTCTTGCCCAGATATGCCCAGGTCGAATTCACGCGTCCGATGTATGCGGTCATGGCCAAGAACTGCATGCACGGATTCATTGTTTCGGAAGAGGCTGGCGGCGGCAAATCGGGCACGAGGATCAGGATCATGTACGAGCGGAAGATAAAGTGGTCCATATTCAAAGACTGGATTGTGAACCATCCAAGGCTTGTGATCCCTGCCGTTGCCGCGCTGGTCGCGGCCATCACGGTGGCTGTCTTTGACCCTATTCGCACGTTTTTCATTGAAATGAAGATCAAAGCGACCGTCCACACTGAAGAGAACGATGTTCTGCGTTGGATCCGCAAGCAGGTCAGCAAGGCCAATATGATCTATTTCGGTAATCGTGGTGCCGACCCGCGGGGGCTCACGGCCATCTGGGAGGACCGCCAGGCGGACATCTCGCAGCTGCGCTCCTGGTTGATGGAGAACGTCGAGACTTTTATTGTCGTCCATGGCCCTCGGGGCTCGGGCAAGCAGGAACTGGTCCTGGAACGTGCCCTCGAGAATTACAAGTACAAGATTGTCATCGACTGCAAACAGATACAGGACGCCAGAGGTGACACGGCCAAGATTGCGCGAGCGGCCAGCCAAGTGGGCTATCGGCCAGTATTCTCTTGGATGAACAGTATTAGCAGCTTCATTGATCTCGCAGCGCAGGGCATGATTGGGACCAAAGCAGGATTTTCAGAGACTCTCGATGCGCAACTCAGCAAGATTTGGCAGAACACCGCTACGGCTTTGAAGAGGGTCACACTGCAACAGAGGCAAAAGACCGACAAGGACTTCCATCTGAGCGACGAAGAATACCTCGAGTCGCATCCCGAACAGCGACCCGTAGTGGTTATCGACAACTTCTTACACAATGCCCCGGAGGGTAGCGTGGTGTACGAGAAGATTACCGAGTGGGCCGCTGAACTGACAGCCGGCAATATCGCTCATGTCATCTTCTTGACAACGGATGTCTCCTTCGCCAAACCCCTCAGCAAAGCCATGCCGAACTCGGTATTTCGCACGATTTCATTGGGAGACTGTTCCCTGGAAGTCGGGAGGAGGTTTGTACTGAATCACCTGGGCGATGGAGCAAAGATTGAAAACCAGCAGCTTGGAAACAAGGAGGGCCCCCAAGATCTTGATAGCTGCATTGAGATGTTGGGAGGCCGTGTGACCGACCTTGAATTTTTGGCTCATCGTATCGAAGCAGGAGAAACGCCCCGAGGTAAGTTGCTAGAACCGCAATCGTTCATGGCGAATAACCGGCTGACAATAGTCTAGCTGCTGTCAATCGTATTGTGGAGCAGTCCATCTCCGAAATCCTCAAGATGTTCATATTGGGCGTGGAGACTGGGAGTCGACAATGGAGTCAGCAACAGGTCTGGTCTCTGATCAAAATGCTGGCACAGGCGGAGGATGGAAAGCTCCCGTATAGCCGAGTGCTCCTCTCGGATCTGTTCAAGGATGATGGCGAGACCGCCCTACGAGCACTTGAGCAGGCAGAACTCATCACCATCGCCTCGATCAACGGCTCCCCTGAAACGGTTAAACCCGGCAAACCAGTCTATCGTGCCGTGTTCAAAAGATTGACCCAGAACACGACGCTGAGCAGCCGCCTGGACTTAGACATCTTCTCGCAACTCATCCGCGCGGAAAACAAAAGCATCGCCAAGTATGAGGAGGAACTGCAGCTGTTGGGGTCGTTGCCCAAGCAGCCTCGAGAGCTCACGCCGAGAATACAGTGGCTTCTGCAGAAAGTGTACAGTTCTCAAGACAAGATCAGCAAGTATGAGACAGACAGTGCAGTTCTGAAGAAGATCCTGCAGAGTCAGCAGTGAGACCATGAATGAATGAACGAATGTATAATGGATGAATGTCAGTTGCTCAGTCTTTAGTTTTTAGTACATACATAGTTATGCGGAGAGAATTATGAATGAATTGTGCACGCTGAGATAAGCTGTAACGGCACGGTTCCACCATACGCCACGCTATTCTTAGAACTTCCTTCGGCTTTCTTGCGGCTGTGGTCCAAATCCCCTTCTCCTGGACTTGGACCCTGCTGAGATCATATCAATTTGTTCTTTTTCTGTGCTTAGGTTTTGGGTGTTGGAGATTGTGAACTCTTCCGCATCATTCCTTCGACGTCCCCCTTCCCCTTTTCTCCTTTTTTGGATTTTATTTAATGGCTTCCCGACCGTGCGCTTAAATCTCGTTGCCCTTGAAAATAGGACAAAATAATTAAATCAGTAAACATTTCACCATGGGCAACCAGGCTCGATCACCGGACGGCCTGGTCCGCAACATCCAAGAAAGCATGGCCGAGTTGGGCTGGCCAGGGTTCTTTGCGGTTCTTCTCTTCGTCTGCATTTCTACTCGCATTATCACCGGCCTGCAAAGCGGGAAGGCCGACAACGAGCAACCACGCAGAGTCCGGCTGGTGCCGTACTGGTTTCCTTGGATAGGCCACGGCTTTTCCTTCATTTGGAACCATGTTAGCCTTATGAGCGGAGCCAGGTGAGTATTCTGTCGTGAATAAGCGCACGGCAGCTAGCTGACCGTCTGAGTTAGGGATCAAATGGCTGAGCCCGTCATGGGCATCTATATGGCCGGGAAAAAGCACGTCACTGTAACATCACCATCTTTGGCCAGATCTGTCATGTCCTCACGAAGTGCAAGCTCGACTACCTTGGTTCACCACGCGCTGAAAGCCATCTTTGGTGACCGGGGACCCCTGCGCAACCTGGACCCGGCCAACGCTGAAACTTATCACCATACCATTCCCAATCTTTTTAAGCGGGAACCATTCATCTCGGAGGCTTCTGCGTCTCTTGTCCGTGCGATAGAACGCGATACCCCCAAGCTGGTGACATACTGCCGCAGCGTGGTGGACCAGGAACTCTGGGAGCGCAACAGTTATCTAGAAGTCGTCGATTCCAAGGGCAAGCAGGCTTGTGAGGTGAGCCTTTTTGCTCTGCTGAGAGACTTCGTGGGAAATGCCACTACGACTACTCTTATGGGACAAGCGATCTTGGAAGAATTCCCTACCTTGTTGGACGATGTCTGGAAACTGGATGATTGGTTTCCCATCATGGCGCTGGGACTGCCTCGCTGGATAGTGATACCGGGCCTTCCTGCAGCGTATGCAGCGCGTGACCGTCTTCTTGGAGCTTTTGCCGAGTTTCAGCAAGCCTTTAACCATTGGGATGACGGCGTAGACCCCGGTGTCAAATTCCGAGACCTGGACGATGTATGCGAACCCATCAAACAACGAATTCGCCTATCCAAAAGCGCAGGACTTTCCCCGCAAGCTAGCGCCCCGGGTCATTTGGCTCTCCTCTGGGCCATGAACGGTAACGCTCCTAATATTGTCTTCTGGCATATTCTTCGTCTTTTCGCGGATCCAACCCTTCTGGAGGATATCCGAAAGGAGATAGCCCCTTACGTGAAGGCCTCGAGGCCTACTCCAGAAGAGACTGGGTTCCCCTTCCAGGAAGCCGCCAGAATTTCTATCGATGCTGATGGCTTGTTTAAGTCCTGTCATTTACTAAAAGCTAGCTACTATGAGACTTTGCGCCTAGACACGGCGAATCTCTCATTTAGAGAAATCACATCCGATGTAACAATATCCGAATCGGAGGCGGACGCCAAAATCGCTGGCTCAGAACAACCTCGGTCCTACCAGGTCAAGAAGGGAGCAAGCATTGCCATCTCTCACGGTGCTATCCATACCGACCCGCGATATTTCTCAAACCCATCCCAATTCGACCCACTCAGATTCATTTTGGCAGACCCCGAAACGGGAGAGAAGCAGGCACGATTGCATACCATCAACCCTTTCGGTCTTGGTTCGTCTGACTGCAAGGGAAGAGCTTTCGCGGAGAGAGAAGTCCTGTCTATGACTTCTGCAATTATTTCCTTGTGGGACATTGAATCGGTAGATGAAGGAGATCTCAGTCTACCGGCTCATAGATTGTCCACCGGGGTCTACTTACCTAAGAAAGACGTCAGGGTGCGGGTTTCCGCGCGTGTTTGATCGAGAACGAGCCCAAAGGATTTTTTTTTATTTCTGTTGTTGTCCCTGCATAAAGCGTATAGATAAAGGTCTTAGTCTATAGTTTTTGATGTCTGTCTGGGTTCTATTTCCTTGAGCTGGAGTCTAGATATTTCTAAGGGTTAGGTTTTATATTGGGGGGGAAACGAATTGAATAATTGTATTTCTACTATATCTTACTCTGGATCAAGTTGGATTTAAAGCAACTGGAGTATTGGTGGATATCTCCTCTGTCATGACATATTAGCCCTTGGGCAGTGTTCCCAATGGTCATTAAGGTTAATTCACGAGGAGAAGAATCTACCAGGAACCAATAAGCCTGGGGTTAATCGAATTACAAACCGGTTGACGATGCGGAAAAATATCCGGGTTGCGGAGTTTCGCCGATGGATCAAACGATACTTGAGTGTCCGATTGCCTCATCGCTAGGAACTTACTCGCATCGATAACCACCGTTTGGACAAAGCAAGTTCGGAAGACACCGAACTTTTGACAATGGGAGACCAACACCAACCTACCAGCCAAGATTATGATCTGTCGACACCAATATCATCCTCTTCAGGTCTTCGTCAAGGATTGACTGCGTACGGGGATGCGCATTTCTCATTGTTCCTTAGGAAAGCCTTCATAAAAGCACTGGGATACTCCGATTATGCGCTCTCGCGCCCTATTATTGGAATCATCAACACGTTTTCCGGATTCAACCCCTGCCATGCGAATGTACCGCAGCTGATAGAGGCTACGAAGCGAGGAGTTCATCTCAATGGCGGGCTGGCCGTTGAATACCTACAATCAGTGTCTATGAATCCTTTTCGTATCCTACCAGCATGTTTTTCCGGAACTTGATGAGTATGGATACGGAGGAGATGATTCGAGCTCAACCGCTAGATGCCTGCATTATGATCGGAAGTCCGGCCCTGGATCCTTGCCCCAATCGTCAGCCAAGAGTGTATAGCTGATCTAGCACAGGGTGTGATAAAACAGTGCCTGCTCAATTGATGGGTGGCATATCTGCAAACAAGCCGATCTTGCCGCTTGTAACGGGACCAATGCTGTCAGGCAATCATCGAGGTCAAAGGATAGAAGCATGTACGGACTGTCGGAATAACTGAGCCGCATTTCGTGCGGGAAACATTGACATCGAGGAGATCTCTGCGATTAATGAAGAGCTTGCTCCAACGGTTAGTCCCCCGCCTAGGTGACTGAGGGTCCATTGGCCCTTCAGCTCTTTAGCGCTAATCAAGCACTTGTCGTCAGATCGGAACGTATGGCGTGATGGGTACTGCCAGCACAATGACTTGCATTACAGCCGGTCTGGGGCTGATGCCGCTTCGAGGGCGTCTGCTCCTGCAGTGTCATCCGCACGGATCAGAGTCGCAGAGGAAACCGGGGCAAATGTTGTGTCTATGGCAGTAGGACGCCGAAAACCGCAAGACATACTCTCCAAAGAATCATTTATAAACGCAATTACAGTGCTACAGGCCATTGGTGAGTTAACAAACGCTGTGGTACACTTACTCGCCATTGCGAACCGGGGGGAGGTCTTGGATGCTTCTGCCTTCCGCACATTTTCACGCTCGACACAAATCATAAGACCCCTTTCAGATCCTCTCTACCCATCCTCTTCCCTCATTGCCTTCACGGGAACCTTGCCCCCGATGGCGCCATCATGAAGGTTTCAGCATCCAAGGATCGCAGGCTACTTTCTCATACGGGGCCAGCTGTCGTCTTTGAAAGCTCAGCCGATTTAGCACGACGGATCGATGACCCAGAACTGCCCATTACGGCGGACTCTGTTCTTGTTCTTCAAGGAATAGGCCCCGTTGGCAACCCCGGTATGCCCGAAGCGGGCCTAATCCTAACACCACGCAAGCTTGCTTCCGCAGGCGTGAAAGACATGCTGCGTCTTTCGGACGGTGGAATGTCTGGGACGGCTGGAGGCACAATCGTTCTTCACATTTCTCCCGAATCCGCACTGCCTGAATCGCCGTTCGGGGTGGTGCGAACCGGCGACCTCATCACCTGTGACGGAGAGCGGCGCATTCTGCGAGTAGAAATCTTAGACGAGGAATTGGCGGCGCGTCTTGACGAGCGAAAACGGCAAGTCATCGAGAGCAAGGACCCTGTCGGACGGCAAGGAAGAAAAAGAGGCTACCTTGGCCTGTACGAGCGCAGCGTCAACCAAGCGCAACACGGGCCAGATTTTGATTTTCTTGCGGCCAATGAGTAGACCTTTAAATCCATAGCCTATATTTCGGGGAGAATGAAAAGAATACTAGGTATTGCAGAAAAGAGAGATAAAGAAAACAAGTGGAGAAGAATGAGCGCAAGAATGACAAGAAGCAATTTTTGGCACAAGCCCTGACCCCGAGCCCTAAGCCCTCTATTATACCCGATTAGGCTAAACATGGACGGGGTCGCGACGCGTCTCGGCGCGTCGGGCGGGAGAGTCTCCGCGGCTGCAACGAAGGCGACTTGGCGGTGTTGCGATCCTACCAGCGACCAGTGGCCGGTTGGCTTCATATTCCCATAACCATTTCTATCACCTCCTTTTCTCTTATCAGTCCGACCTCTGCAATGGTCTCGGAAGCCATTCGTCCCAGAGGCAGGCCTGCCCGTAAGTAGAATTCACCATTGATAGTTGTCTCCCGCTTTTACTGCGGCTAATCCGTGCTATTCATCCATGACCTAAAGACACGCCTGGAACTACTGTTTTAACGTATACTCCGAACGGCCGCCACATTGTTACCGGCGGATCGAACTCTGCGATTCGAATCTACACCGTCGGGCAAGATGGAGAGCCCAAGACAGTGGACGAAGGGGTGGACGGTCACCTCGGAATTGGCGCCACAGTATGCCTCGCACTCGATATATACATTCAGAAGAAGCACGAAGCTAAAACAATATGAATAGAATGACACCTTCATCATGGGCGCGGAAGACGGCACGGTCTGGCAATACGAGGTTGGATCAGGGAGAATGGACAAACTACTTGTTCGTTGCGCGCTCCCGGCCAGAGATATAGCGGTTTCTAAGGACGGGGAATGGGTGGCCGTGGCCAGCGAGTCAGTGACTACTTCGACATGATGACATGCTGTGAGCTCGGTATAGCTAACTTAAATAATACAGTGAGCTTACGGTGAAAATCGTTAACCTCGACGATATGACGAAAGTGAAATATCTTCGCGAACAAGGCAAGGGAACCAAACACGTTACCTTCGATCCCAGCGGGCGCTACGTTTCGGTGTCTTGCACGGACGGCATAGTTTATATCTACTCCCTGCTTTCTGAGGAGCCAGAGCTGATCCAGAAACTTGACGGGGTGATCCAGCGACTCGAGGCAGAGGACGAAACAACATCACGAGTGGTTTGGCATCCGGACGGAACCGCGTTTGCAACTGCGGAAGCTACACGGGATATTTCGATCTTCTCGACGGGCGAGTGGAAGAAAGAGAAGGTCTTTTCGGGCGGTCACAACGGAGGCGTCACCGCGATCAGCTGGTCCCCCAATGGAGCACTTCTCGCAACTGCTGGTGCCGACGGGCAGGTGCTGCTCTGGGAGACGAAGACCCAGAAAGTTGTGAAGAGCTATGATTTTTCGAATGTGATCAACCTAGCCTGGCATCCTACGAGCAACTCGCTCTCCTTTACAACCTCGGACGGAGAGCTTTTCATATACGACGGAATCGTACCGCGGGAATATCAGCCGCTCCTCCAGAAGCCGCTCCAGGCTGCCCCGATCTTCCCAGGTCCGCTGGCCGACATTTCCGATAATGTAAGACGGCCGTTGGTGAGCAGGCCTAAGGAAGCCGATCGAAAAGATCGGGCAGGGTCGCCAGACTCCCTTGATGATATCCTTGGCTCCGACCAGGGCATGGAAGATTTTGTCGACGACGACGACGGGGCTGGATATGCAGAGGGCATGAATGGACTTGGCAAACGATCAAACGGACATCTGGACGACATCGAGGGACACGCTGACAAGCGGCTATTTACATCGTTCTCCAAGCCCAAAATCCACCAACCCCTTCAACCTGGCAGCACTCCTTGGCGAGGTAACCGACGGTATCTCTGTATGTATCAGCCTTCTCGTCTGATGATTGCTATCAGTAGACTGACCGAGACTAGGTCTGAACCTGACCGGCGCTGTGTGGACTGTTGACCAGGAAACGCACAATACCGTGACTGTGGAGTTCTACGATCGGGAGATGCACCGTGATTTCCATTTCACTGACCCGTATCTTTATGACCGCGCGTGTCTAAGTGAGTTAAAATTCACCACTTCGACGCACTGAAAAACACTGACTAAAGACTCAAGACGAGCATGGGACACTCTTTTCCAACAATCCAACGGATGGCAGCCCGGCTTCGATATTCTACCGACCACATGAGACGTGGACGACGAGAGCCGACTGGCGAACCCAGCTGCCCCAGGGGGAGCTTATTCGAGGTAAGAATATTTCAGGTCAACCAGTTTAAGGATCACTTGACTAATCCGGACAGCGCTGGCGCTGAGTGATTCATACGTTGTCGCCGTGACGACTAAAGATTACGTTCGTGTATACACGCTATTCGGCACCCCATTCAAGGTCTATCGGCAGAAGAGCCCGGCCATGACCTGTGCGGCTTGGCGAGACTACATTATGACCATTGGAAACGGGCCATTGGGAAGCGATGGTCGCACTGCCAGCCTGCGGTATACGGTCGAGAATGTCAAACGAGACGAGGTTTGTCAGAATGAAGACGTGGTGGCAATCCCGGAGGGATCGGACCTACAGAGCGTTTTCTTCTCTGATTCAGGAGTGAGTTGTCCACCAAACAAATCCTACTACTGATAGTCGAGGCCATACTGATTCCATTCGCAGGACCCTTGCATCTACGATTCGGAGGGTGTACTTCTAGTTTTACAGCACTGGCGTAGCCCAGGGCAAGCACGATGGGTGCCCCTCCTTGACACCAAACAGCTCGAGCGTCTGGCAACAGGACGCAAGGAAGAAACTTACTGGCCGGTTGCTGTCGCACAGGATAAATTCCACTGCATCATCCTCAAGGGTGGAGACCGGTATCCATACTTCCCGCGACCATTGCTGAGTGAATTCGACTTCCGCATCCCCATCTCCGATACGCCTGGGAAGAGCGCATCCGAGGCAGATGCCGCGGCTGCTTCTGGGGATGACGGAGCGAAGCACGAGGAGGCCTTCGTCCGTGGTAATGTTATGCTCTCGCTCTTCCAGGATGTCCTGACGTCGACGAATGCGACCGCGAGCCAGCGGGCCGAACTGGCGCGCAAGGAGCTTGAATTGGACAAGATCCTCCTACAACTGCTAGCGGTTGAATGTCGCGAAGGAGAAGAACGGGGAATGAAGGCATTGGAACTCGTTCAGCTCATGAAGGACCGCAATGGCAAGATGGTCGAGGCGGCCGTCAAAGTTGCGCAACGGTTCGGGCGCGGAGTGTTGGAGGACAAGATCCGCGATTTGGCGGAGCGACGATATATGGGAGAAGGCGATGATGATGAACTAGCTTGACGACATAAAAGAGTATGATACCAGAGAATCTACTGTAGAATGCGAGATCAATGATAATAATAATCGATCCATGTTAATTTGACGATTCCCGAAACGGCCGGGTTTGTCTGGTTTGCCGGGGCGGGCCCAATCAGGTTAGCGGGTGGGTCCAACGTCATCAAGTCGAATTTCCATGGATCCTCAATGCCTTCATTCCTTCCTCCGTCCAACACATGGCTGCCTCCCCGTTCCCTGCTGTCGTCGTGCACGGCCTGACTCTCACTTATCCCCATCAGCCCATGTATCAGGAAGCCTGCTGCCCGTGATGCCAAAACCGGTCCCTTCGGCGGTGCCTACACGCCCCATTAGCATATGTTTTCTTCCTCTCCGTACGGTCAATTCCCGCAAACACTTCTCGTCGCTTTTCCGGCCGTTAGCGCAAACCCGGCAGCAAGATCTGTTTCTCCCCGAGCCCTGGCATAAAAGTCCCACTAGCTCGCCGACGCTGTTCTCCCAGACGGGACTCAATCAATCCGTATCCAACGGACCCGGCAAAGACTCCAACGGCGGTGATCAAAAGCCCCCGGATGAGCGCGTTGTCAAACTCGGAAAAAGTACACTTTCCCCATCTACCTGGTTCCGTGCCTACCTTAAGACCTTCTCGCTGACCAAGTCTCACAACTCTAGCCCTCCGCATTCTATCCCCACTCTTACCAACTCTTCTCGTGAACCCGCTGCCGTCGACCATCCTCTCACCCAACGTCACCCTCCACCTCTTCCCCTCGACACACCCGCACTTGCCCACAGTAAAGGGGCGAACGCTGTACCGCGCAGCGCTATGGACTGTCCCCGTCGCATGGAGCAGCCTCCCCTTAGTCGGCAACGTCAAGCTCCAGATCCTCAGTGAGCGCATGGTCCGCGCCGGGACGGTGCTGGACCCCGAACGATGCGGACAAAGTGACGGTGGCGATGAGCGGCTCGTCGTGCGATGGCGCACCGAGCCCCGGCGCGACGACCACCTGCAGCTCCCGAGCTCCGTGGGGACGACGAGGACGACGCGGCGTGGCAGCGAGCAGCCCGAACCCAACCATGTGTCGGCTTCGAAGAACGGCATCAACAAAGGTCTGAGCGTGCTGCTGGGCGGCGACGCGCCGATCTTCAAGCTTGCCAAGGAAGAGCAGTTCACAGGCCTGTTTATCTTCTCGTTTGACAAGGAGGGCCGCGTGCTGTCGCATACGATCGAACATGCCGATAACGCCACCGGCTGGGAGCGTACCGCTAAGTTCGTCACCTTGACGGACTGGTTGATCGGTAAGGCGAGAGGGTCGTTGGATCCCCCTGCTGAGCCGGGCCTGGCTTTCCAGGGATGTCAGCAGTTCGAGAGTTCCGACGCGAGGGACGATTGTCAGTCCTCTCGACGGTCATGACCATATAACATGCGCTCGCTCGCTTAGGCTTGCTTTCTTGTCTTTCAATCTCTCCCCACCGTCTACAGCATTATAAGACCCGATCGGTTTGGTCTGGACTTGACACATTGATGTCTCTTGATTTCCTTTCGCCTCTCTCTTTCGATTTATCGGCTCTTGCTAGGCGCATTCTTCTCTGCTTCTACGGGGGCGCAGGTATCGAGGAATATTCGAAATCACCTTTTGAGGGATTCTTTCTTTGGGTCGGCTCTCGCGCATACTGATCATCTCATCTCATCTCATTTTGTATTTCTATGGTTTACTTCGCGTGTATACTATACCCAGCAATACAGAGGTTCAGTCGATCGTACGAGGAGGAAATGATGTTTAGGTGTGGAAGCGCGGAGAATGGATTTCAATTTCCATTCCACGAAAAACACATTAATATTCACAGCCACTGGCCCAGCAACGGCAGTAAAGCAGCACCCGACGTCGCTGAGCTTCAGTCGGGAGAGTGCCGAGAACGAAGTCCAGTTAGGACTCGATATAGATAGAAGTAGTTTCTGTGTGTATATAAGACGCGATACAGCATGATCGCCGATACAACACGAATTTATCACACGTTTAGGCCTTCTTTTTCTGAGCAGGAGCGACCGGCCCGACGGGCGGCGATTTAAGGGTAGTGAACACCGCCACGCAGACAACCACCATAACGAATCCCCCGGCGGTGTAGGCGATCTCCCGCCCAACCCACCAGAACAGCGAGCAGAAGAGCACCGGGCCCGCAGCGCGGCCAACCTGTCCCCAGCTTCTCAGCCGGCCCAGGACGGCTCCGCGCTCTCCCTCCTGGGCCTCCAGGCTGCCCAGGCTGTTCAGACCGGTGACCACCGTTGCACTGGTGACGGCCAGCAAGCTACCGGCCCCGTACAATCCTGCCAGGGATGAGACGCGTCCAAGGAGGAAGAACGAGATGGTGCAGGCGACCACGCCGGTTCGCACGATGACCAGCGGGGGCAGTCGCCGCACGATGGTCCCCTGGAGCAGTGAGGCGATGAGTCCCATCATGGACAGGAGGCGACCGTTCAGAGCAGACGGGCTGCCGGAGCCTGCAGCGTAGAAGGTGGCAGTCAGGAACGGCAGGGAGAACTCCATGCCCGAGAAGGGGAGAAGGAAGAGGAAATGGATGGCATTCAGAATGGCCGGCATGTTGGTATGCTTGCGGGGGGAGGACGATTGGGTCGCGTTGTCAGACGGCGTGGCGGTGGCTCCGGTTGGGGAAGAGGTCGCGTGGCTGAGTTTGGTGAGACGAGGATGCGTTTCGGGAAGACACAGGTACAGGTAGGTCGTCTCGACGACGATCAAGAGCAGAGATACTCCCGCCGCAGTCGCGAATGGGTTTGCGGCCACCGTTGTGATGTTTGAAAGGGCCGCTCCCAGGGCTGGCCCAAAGGTAAACGCAATGCTGAAGCAGGCGCCCACCAAGGCCATGGTCGAGCCGCGTTGACTCGGATCGCTGATATCCGTGGCGATGGCGTGGGCGAGCTGCACATTGCCCTCGCTCAGACCGCCGACGACGCGACTGGCCAGGAAGGTTCGGAAATCAGTGGCCGCGACCCAGAGCGCAACGCTTAGGGTGTTGCCCAGCATCGAGTAGAGCAGAGCAGTCTTGCGGCCATGTTTGTCGGAGAGTCGGCCGATAAAGGGGGCAGCGATGGCCTGCAATAACGAGAACAGAGACCCGAGGGCACCTCCAAGAAGGACAATGTCATAATGCGAGTCGATGGGCTTGGCAAACGAGTTCTTGTAGGCGTTGAGGTAGTGGAAGACGCGGTTCAAGAGGGAGTCCGGGGAGGGGTCTTGGTTGCGGTAGAAGGTGAGCAGGGACGGGAAGAGCGGGAGAATGAAAGTAAAGGATATCTGCGAAGCTGGTTAGGACGGTTGCGCAGAAAAAGATTACATAAATTGACAGGCTTTCTTACCAAATCCAACAGCAACGAGGTCATCAAGACCTTGAGGATCTTCTTCCGCTGATCTGCGGCTAGCGCCATGGTGGTCAATTGTAGGAGTAGGAAAGAAAAAGAGCGAGAACCTAAGAAGACCGGGAGGATAACAAGACAAGAAAAAGGAAAGAAAGAAAGGAATGGATGAATCAATCAGTCCAACATGAGGAAATCGTGGAAGTAACAGCAGCAGGGAAGCACAAGCAGACTGCGAGTGGTGGTTGAATGAGAGAGATGATAAACAAATCCAGCGGGAGACAAAAGAGAACAGCTCAGTCCCCCGCTTAGCTAAGCCCCGCCTCGAGCCCTAACAATCTGGTCTGGAGCACGGATCTATAGAGCACATATCTTCTACTTCTACACTTAAGAGCTAGGAGCAAATTCAGGTGGGTTTATGCCGTGGTATCCATTGCTTAGCCACCTTATCCACCATCATCCACCGTAAGAAAGTACAAAAGAGTGCCCTCCTAGTTCGTCTCAATTCCAATCATGCCATCCCAAAACGATCCAGCCTTCACATCATCTCCATGCATACCAACAGGATTAGGAAGTAAAATACAGAAGAAAGGGTGCCGGCGCTGTCAAAACAAGTACCATGTCCCGAAGCATACAGGCCACGCCAAGGGGAGAAGGAAAAGATTGAAGAGCAGGAATACTATGCACGCTCAATAACTGCAAGACATGTACAACCAGCCACTTTTGGGATGCCAACCATCCAAAAAGGAAAAAGACCCGGGGGTAAAGAAAAAAAAGAGAAAAGCAGAGCGACGGATCGTCACTCTTACCCAAGAAGTCCTCGTGGTAAACATTTCAAGAGATTCGTCGCTTTCGTGAACCATAACACCACCATTACCCATGAACGTATTAGATAGGAAAGATACAAGAGACATGCCGAAGATGTCGGAGGCCAAGAAGACCGCCAGATAGAAAAGATGGAAGGATACCTGGAAAGATTCCGGGAGGGCAAAAGGGGGAAAAGATTTCCGGTGTAACGTAAGGCGGGAAAGCATCGGCGTCGGGAGTCAAGTCATCTTCAACAATTCCCGGCCCACCCCCAAGTGACGGTGCGATTTAAGCTTGCTGGGCAGCCGCGGGAGTGGCAGCTGGTGCGCCGTTAGGGCCACCGCGACCACGGCCTCCACGGCCGCGTCCACGACCCTTGAACTCGCCCCGACCGCGTCCCCGCGAGCCGTCGCCTCGTCCACGTCCACCTCTGCCGCGACCACGGAAGCTGTGCTGTCTCTGGTGGTTCGCAGCTCCCTCCGGCGCTTCTCCCTTCTGGGCCTTCGGAGCAGAGGCTTCCTCCGCATTGGCACTCACTGCCTCCGCAGCAGCCGCATTCTGCGCGTCGACCTCGACGGCAGCCGGGGTGGCCTGGAGGCCAGTATCGGTCTCAGCCGGATCGCGCGGCACTTCAACCCAGTCATCCGCCGTCGCGGAAGGACTGAGAGAGCCACCGGTGTTGGGATCCCAGGTAGCCTCCGCCACGGGGTTTGCAGCATCAGAGACCTGCGTTTGAGCGGGGGGAGCATTCTGCTCGGAGTTTTCAGGGGCGGGAGCGGCCTCGTCCGCAGCTGGAGCGCTGGCGGTATAGGAAGTATCCTGTAACTCAGTGTAACCGGCGTTCGCCAGCGTAGGGTCGGACGCGGGAGCGGCATCCGGAGCCACTTCCTCGGTCGCAGGCGCCTGTTCCTCGGCAGACTGTTTGACTTTGCCATCTAATGAATTGAACACGATTAGTACTGGGAAACGTTTCTACTCAAAGCCCTTGAGGAAAACTTACAGGTAACTTCCAAGGTCTCGCCCTCGACGCTAACGACGGGTTCATCCACGCCGTCAACAACCTTGAGCATCGAGGAAACAGCGTCGTTTGACCCAGCGTAGATATGGTAGAGCACGCCCTCGAACGCACGGGTTACATTGGAGGTCTCGTCCCCGGACCGCCTCATGGTAGCCGCAGTGTAAAGGAACTTGCTCAGGCTGAGGAGCCGGGCTCTCAGATCCTTCTTGCTTGCTTCGTTAGCCTCGGCAGTAGCCTTCTCCTGAACAGCCTTCAATTCATCCTGGTGAAGCTTTTCCAGGTCAGCCTTCTGGCTGACGAGGCGCTGCTCATAGTGAGTGGCAAACTCCTTGAGGTGGCCGATTTGCTCCTCGATCTGAGCGACGCTGGCCTGCAAAGCGGGTTTCTTCTCGGCCTGCGCTTTCTGATCGGTATTGATCTTCTTCGTCGCGACCAGTTCTTCCAGTGACTTTCCGGGATTTTCGGCGATGATGGCATCGACCTTGGCGGTGGCATTCTGTGGGAAATAAAACGGTGAGCGGTGAACGCGAGACAGTCGTCAAGGTTGGTGACTAACCAGCTTCTTGTTCGCATTGCGCAGGCTCCTATTCGAAATAACACCGTCAGTCAAATCGCATTCCAGTACATAAGGTCCCCGCGAAGGGCCGGACAGCGCGCCCGATTTCATTGCGTGACTTAAGCGCCGGCTTACTTTTGGAGCTCTTTGAGGTACGGGCTGTCGACGTTGTCGAGTCCGTTGGGGGTCGCAAGAGCTTCATCGGATTTGGACACGATAGAAGCACTAGGGGCGTGTTTCTGCTTGAGCTTCGCCGACGAAGACTCTTGTGCTTGAGGGTTGCTGTTGACGGGAGCGGCAGCCATGATGCTCGATGGACAGAACGACTGTGTGTTTGTGGGTGGTGGGGGGAATTGAGCTGATCTCTCAACCAAAAAAGTGAAGGATACAATGATGCAATGATGCTAGCGAATATAAGAAAATATATGAAAAAAGGGGGAGGTATTAGATGGGATTTATGACGGCAAGAGAGTGGGGACGCGAGAAGAAGAAAGAGAAAGAGAGGGAGAGAGAGCGGAGAAAGGAGGATGAAGACAAAGCGAAGAGAAGCTGAGCGGAACGAGAGATGCGGGTGGAACTCTTCCGAACCTCAGGCCGCCCTTGTCGCGTGCTGCAGGACCAGCGCACCCAACCAACACCCAAACAGCTGGGTGGCTTTGATTCACTATTCTGCCTAGCTCATGCACTGCGCTCTGGTTGGCAGGCTGAGAAATCGTCTCCAAATTCGAGGTATTTGATTGTTGGGGGGGGGGGGGGGGGGGTATCATAAGACTCCATGAACGCCATCTCTATCATCTTCATCTTCCCTGGATGTACTTCCTCCCAAGGCTAACAGAGAAACAAGCAGTGGAAAATCAACAAAAACCAAAAACACTGATCCCGATCTCATCCTCAATCCTTTGCAGTCCGTAATGCTTCCACCTGCGATTTCCTTTCCGAATATACCACCCATCGTCCTCTAAGCTTTCGATCCGATTAACCCTTGAACTTTCGTAGTGTCCTCTGGAGAGGGAGACAAGTTAGTTGAGCAATCGAAGAGCAATGGGATCAAATGGAATGATTCTACTCCACCCACCTCAGTCACTTTGCGAACCGAATTCGGGGAGATATTCTTTTCACCCGCTTTCCGCGATCGAATGGACGATTCTCGCATTAGCCTAGAAAACAAACACGCTTTAGTATCAGGTTCGGTTTCGAGTTGAGCTCATTGCGAACCAAGCCAGAGAAACAATATCTCTGCGACTCGGATTCCGACACATTCAGGGGGAACTCACTCCTGCATGAAAAGCATATAGTCCAGGAATATCTGCATCGTTAGCTGGAGTCGGGAATCGATACACTTGCGGGCCGTTGTTGGAACTGAATATTCACCAGTATATCGGCATTCTTGCTGACATTTCGATTGGCGTGGGCTTTAACAATGCGTTTCACGGTCCCTCGAGGGTAGAGTTTCTGCGTGGCAGCCATGACGGCGGAGAGGGCAATGGGGAAAGCATGGAAGTTCGGGGAGAGAAGGAGAGTCGAGGCGACAAACAACAATCGCGATAGGCCGGATTATGTAATCCGTTGATCACCACGCCCGTTCCTGAACAATACAAATCAACATTGTCTATGCTCTAATTCGTGGTTATACTTGAGGGTAAATCTTGTTATTGTTACAGATTATTTACCATATATCTACCAATATGCCACATCTTACCCTTTCTAGAGTCTTATTGCCGCCGTCGAATGAACCGCCAAATATATACCGCCGCCAGAGATCCGACGACTGCCCGCCAGGCCAGGAAGATAGAGACGGCAACCCGCAACCGAGAATAGTAGCCTTTGAGCATGATTCCCACGGCGTATTTACTTCCATCCGGAACCTTGTCGGATGGTCCGTAGTATCGGCCAACGCCGAGTCCCCCGATGCCCACTTCGTTGTTGTCATCGGTCGTCTGCGTTACTGGCAGCGCCGCCGTTTGACCGTCCACCGCTGTATTGCTAGGTCGCGCGCCCGACTGGATCTGGAGCTGGTTGCGTTTTCGCAGGCGGTAAGTCAGTACTGTTACGATCAACCACAGATCCGGCGTGGTGAACGTCGGATATTTCCACAATTTCACCGCAGTATGAGGCGGAAGCATATCCAAAAAATCGGCCAAAATCCCGAGGGTCAGGCCCCAGAGGAGCAACGGCCGTTCCTGCTGAGCAGGGTCGGGTTGACGGCCAGAGAACCACGTCGTCCATCGCCGCAAAGGCGAGACGGGAGGCGCCAGATAATCGTCGGGGATCACTCCCGGTGTCGTGTTAGACTGCAAGCTTTCCGTTGGCCGTAGGCGTACGGCCGAAAATTGCATCATGCCCAGTGTGCAGCGATAGACGAATCGCGGTATAATCCCACCCATGTTCGAGAGCCGCTGAGACATATCCACGTTTTCCACCGTCCGCAACGATGGCGACAGAAGGGCCCGCAAGGGGACCCAATGGGTAGAGGCCACCTCTGTTGGCTGCAAACGTAGAGGGGGGGAGTCGCTACGAGTCATCAGAAAGATAAAAGGGCAGAGAACCATCAACCTAGAGTCACTCGGGTCAGTATATTGAGGCGCTCTCCAGCAGGGAAGATGAAAGAGACGAACGGTACCGAGCCCCAGCTGGTGGTGACCACCCGTTCTGGCAGATTCCCCACGTGTATACAGTCCTCCGTTGTCAGGTCCAGCCCTACTTCCTCCGAGGCCTCTCGAACAGCAGCCGCCTTGTCGTCGACGTCTTCCGGGTCCCGTTTGCCTCCTGGGAGGGCAACATGGCCAGTCCAGCGGTCCCCGGCGCGAGACGCCCGTTTGATGAAGAGAACCTCCGGGTCTCCATTCCGAACCCAGTCTTGAGAGAAGAAAGATGTCAATCGTTCGGGGACCGGAACGGTGTGGCCTGGAAGAGGCACCGAAGCGCCCTCGGAGGTGGGCCAATGATTATATGTGGGTCGGATTCGAAGGACGAGAGCTACCGAAGCACGTTTCTTACATGACGGCGGGTTGGGAACATGGGGATATTGATTTTGGTGCAGGTATATCAACACGTCATAGAGAGAGGCGGACAACGAAGCCGACTCCACGGGCAGTTGGGGATTCACGGATGCCATTTGAGGTCGGGGCGCCGATGAGGGTACGGAATATACTGTCAGGAGAGGAGACGAGTTAGAAACGAATCAATTGCGGGGAATATAATTGAAGCAATTCGGCCCAGAACTCACCTGGATCGAGAAGCGCAAAGCGGACGACCGAGGATGGACGGGGCTGGACTGTCTTATCGATACCGCCGACGATACCGGTAATTCTGCCGAACGACGCCAACCCCAGACGGGAGGTCACGGGACCATGGGATCGGAGTGGGGCCTTCTATGTCATGTGTCCCCTGTCATTGGTCCGAGTCGGTGGGCGAGCAACTTACCCGGCGGGGAAGGCAGCTCAGCACGTGCGGCGATGGGACGACGGCATTCACTCGCTGGATTTGTGACTAGACCCCATGAAGCAGCTGGGAGTATACTAAATCACTAACCTCCTGTGCCTAACGCTTAGTTGCTCTTCACATCCTTGTCCCGTCGGCCTCGCCCTCGTGCGAAGTCCCATTATATCCTCGTCGTTTCGTTTTCTTCGCTGCTGGTTCCGTTTTCCCACTTCGCTTTTCCCCCTTCCTTCATTTCTCTCCCCTCACCTTCCTTCAACCGCCTCGTTTCTCTAGGTTTGTGTGCTGTCATAACTTCAGGATTCATCGCCCGTGGCCATGCGTTTTGGCAAAACACTGAAAACATCCACCTACGCCCCGTGGAGTGGAAAATACATTGACTACCACCGACTGAAAGTCCTCTTGAAGGAACATGATGTCACTGGAGACGGAAGTGACTCGGACAGCAGCCAATGGACCGAACAAGATGAGGAGGCCTTCGTGCAGGAACTGATCAACGTCCAGCTGGACAAGGTCAATGCTTTTCAGGTGGCGACCTCTCAGCAATTGAGGGAGCGAACCTCCGAGTGCGAATCGAAGTTGCGGCCGTTGGCACCGGACACCGACCAGGAGACACCGGCCGTCACCGACGAGACCACGCGGCGCTCGGTGGCGTCCGAAGTCCTTCAAGAACTCGATGGCATCACGAGAGAAGTAAGCGAGCTAGAAAAATACAGTCGCATTAACTTCACTGGATTCCTCAAGGCGGCCAAAAAACATGATCGCAAGCGGGGGGCTCGATACCGTGTTCGACCTCTACTGCAAGTGCGTCTGTCACAGCTGCCGTTCAACTCGGAGGACTACTCCCCCCTGGTTCGTCGGCTGTCGGTGATGTACTCGTTTGTTCGCGAAATCCTTAGCCAAAGCGATGCCGAGGCCAAAGACCCCGAGGCGCCGCGTTTTGGCCAGGAGTCATACTCATCATTCAAGTTCTGGGTGCATCCCGATAACGTCTTGGAGGTGAAAACTTACATTTTGCGACGACTGCCCGTCCTCATTTATAATCCGGGAACGTCTAAGGAGCCCGAGACCCTCCCCGACGACCCTACGATCACATCCCTCTACTTTGACGACCCGCAGTTCGATCTCTACACGCAGAAGGTTGCCCGGGCGCCCGAAGCTGGTTCTTTGAGGCTCCGATGGACCGGAAATCTGAAGGACAAGCCTGCCATCTTTTTGGAAAAGAAGGTCGTCATGGACGATGATCGCAGTCGGGAAGTCCGGGTGCAGTTGAAACAAAAGCATGTGAAGGAATTCCTGGAGGGGGAGTATCGGTTCGATAAAAAGGTTCACCGTATGGAGGGCAACGCCAACGGTGAAACAGGGGAAGCAGAGTCGTTCAAGAAGGATGTCAGTGAACTACAGTCGTTCGTCAAGGAGTACAATCTGCAGCCGATGCTCCGGGCCAACTACACGCGAACGGCTTTCCAGATTCCGGGCGACGACCGAATTCGCATCTCCCTCGATACGAATCTGGCCCTGATTCGGGAAGACAGCCTCGACACCGAACGTCCCTGTCGGGATAGCAATGAATGGCATCGCACGGATATCGATGAGGCCGGGATGGAATATCCCTTCGGCACCATTCGAACCGGAGAGATCGTCCGCTTTCCCTACGGCCTGCTGGAGATCAAACTGAGAGGGCCCACTGCACACAAAGCGGAGTGGGTGAACGATCTCATGGTGTCTCATCTCGTGAAGGAAGCCCCTCGTTTCTCTAAATTTGTCCATGGCGTTGCCCAGCTCTTTGAAGACCATGTGAACAGCTTTCCCTTCTGGCTTGGGGAGATGGAGAACGACATCCGAAAGGATCCCGAAACTGCGTGGCACGAGGAACAAGAGCGACTAGCCAAACGCGCCGAGGAAGAGATGGCAGTCGGCAGCTTCCTAGGGACCAAGGCGAGTCCAACGGTTAAGCCCATGGTCGGATCTCCCGTGACTCGCATCTCGGAGCTAGAGTCTTCATCGCGACCGCGACAGACGTCTCAAATAGCGGCGCCAGTCCCGGAAGAGCGCGAGCAGCCGCAACCCCAGGAGCCCGCAGTCGAGCAGCCGGAATCGAAGCCCATGAACCTGTCCCGCCTGGCCTCGCTGTTCCCCGGGTTTCCCCTCTCCCGTTCCCATCGTCCACAGGACACGTCGGCGCCCCTGCCTCCCGGCATCCGGGAGCCAGGAACGTGGATCAAAGACTCGGGTCCCGTGCGCGTGGAGAGCAAGGTGTGGCTCGCTAACCAGCGCACGTTCATCAAGTGGCTCCATATTAGTATCCTGCTCTCCTCGCTGTCTCTGGGATTGTACAACGCGGCGGGAAAACACAACGATATCGCCCGCGCCCTGTCCATCGTCTACACTGGCTTTGCCATCTTCTCCGCTGCCTGGGGCTGGTATATGTATGAGAAGCGGGCCCGACTGATCCGGCAACGAAGCGGACGCGATCTCGACAATACGTTCGGCCCGATCGTGGTGTGTATTGGATTGGCAGTGGCTCTGGTGCTGAACTTTGCCTTCAAGGTATGTGTAACCCCAATTCCCGAGCACGATGCGTCGGCATTTCGCTTATCCCACGGTGCTAACGGCCAACCACCGCAGTATTCCTCTACTCTTGAGAAGATCAGGAGTCAGCAGTCTCCCCTTGATATGGCTCCGGTCCAGACTCCCGGTAACATGCTCCTGGTCAATCAAGGAGGTCAGACGCTGTGAGAGAGCTTGAGCAACAAAACCGCCCTTGCATGGATGACGAATATGTACAACTTGTATCAACGAACGCCCTCTAAAGAAGAATGATCGGCGTGTGTATTCTTATGTACGACAACCGTGTTTGCTTTGGAAATTTTCCGTCCCTTTTCTTCCGGGGGTTTTTTTTTTCTTTCCCTGAAATTGACGCATGCGTCCGTCACCGACCAGAATGAAGTGATTAACCCCGCGTCCGGGAATTTCACCTAGGATCCGAGTCTGGATACCCTTGCAGAATGACTACATGGGAAGAAGGGCTTACTGCAGGATTCAAGCTTTCTGTCAAAAATTTCTTTATCTTTTCATGTATATATATATATACACACACTGAGAAGAGGGTAGGTAGTGGAGAAGGGGGAGTCATGACGCGTATACAAAAATTCATTAAAGTCGTTTCTATGTATATTTTGCTCCTTCTACATGAGCCAGTAACGGGGCACGTTCCGGATCGAGGCCCGGGTCGGGTGATAGAGGGAGAGCACTCGCAGACGAGCCGAGCACTTGCCCGGAGGGTTTCCTGTGCGACGGAGGGCGATACAGGACACTGGGCACGCAAGTGTCGAAATTCGTTCTGCATTAATCAGTTCGTGTTTCAGATGTATGTATAATAGATAGAACGAACGCGAGCAAGTCAAGAAACAGAGCAGTAACGGGGCCAACATACCGGTCCAAAAAGCCACAGAACAGCCATAGATAGACGGTGCCCAGGAACGCAATGATCCATTCCAGGATACCGGCCGTGCGGTAGGTGGAGATGGGATTCTCCTCGGAGACGGTGAGGGATATGAACGCGGCGGCGAGGAAGACTTCGACGAGGATCAGGGCCGTCGAGAGCGAGGCGCTGTTCGTGTTGGTGCCAGTCATCAGTCAGCAAGTGGTGAAACGTCACTCGCACGCATAATTGAACATTCAAAAAAAAAAACAAACAAGAATAGTGGGTGAAGAAGAGGCCGGCGGAAAACGGGGGGGGGGAGACGTACAAGACTCTCACGCGTTGGCTTCTTTTCCCCCAATCATGTTGCCAAATACCTAGATGGTAGACATAGGAGACGAAGCCGAGGACCTCGTTGGAATAGACGATGGCGGTGCAGGCTGATTGCACGGCGAGCCCGGAGAAGCAGATGCGGAGAAAGAGATGATGCAAGCGCTTGTAACGGAAGGTGTCCATGACGCCCAGCAAGATGAGGGCGGTACTGGCGACGCTAGCGGCAAAGATAGCCAGCAGCGAGACGACCTTGAGGGTCTTGGTGGTTTCGTGGTCCTCGTCATCGTCGCCATCGTGTTCATTCAAGTGGGGATGGGCGTGGGAGTTGGGGTTTGCATCGTCATCGTTGTTGCCTGGCGCAAGCGGGGGTTCTTCATGGCCGGTAGTAGCAGTGGAAGAGTGTACCGCGGGACATCGGACCAAGGCGAAGCCGGGTTCATAGCGGACGACGTGCACCGTCGCGACGGTAAAGGCAAATCCTACGGCGGTGATGGAGGCGCCTACGAGGAATAACGGTTTGAGTTCAAACGAGGCGATGTCGGATATGAAGCTGTATTTCCGGAGATGGTCAGCACGACTCGGTCTTGGATGAATCGTATCGCGCAACGATTGGGGGAAAGACGAACGCAACATGGGGGTTACTCTGCCCGGGATATTGAGGCATCCCCCGGGCAATCCAGGTGAGGAGCAGCGAAGCCAGAGTCAGGAACCAGACCGAGCCTGCTAGAGCTGGAAAGAGGGGCAGGCGAGTAGGCGGGATGTTAAGGATGATGCCATGGAGGGAACACCAGAGGGAATCATGACAGCGATCAAGAAAGCGAGAGGTCATGGAGGAGGTGTGGACTGGACTGGACTGGCTCCTGGGGCTCTAGCGAAGAGGGAGAGGTAGAAGCGACAGCGCGAGAGAAGAAAAGACAGTCATGAAGATTGAAAGGTGCCTTTAAAGAGAAAAGAAGAACCCCGTGATGGAAGTCAGCTGATCGCGGTGCCTTTTGTTTTTTTTTTCCTTCTTTTCCTTTTTTTTTTCCTTCCCCGGATTTGCAGATCTCAACATGATGTCATCGCGCCTGCTCACCCCCCCGTGCGACTGGAGCTTCCTCTCGTCGCACTCCCCAGCCAGTCCTGACCTCATGCAGTCATTACGGCTCAGTAACGAATGGCTGATGGGTCCAAATCTCTCTACCCTTTCATTAATCCGTCAACTCGCCATTATGAAGCCAAAGAACCCCATCGATGCCCGCTGACAAATCAACCATATGTCTCCATGTGAAAATATAAATCTACGACTACCCGCAGCAGTCCGATCTGTATACATCCCTCGCCATTCAATTCTAACCAACAGATCTATCCATCATGACCAACATCAGCATCCAAATCATCTCCGACACCATCTGTCCAGTACGTCCTTCCCCCCTCTTTCAAACCCACCCAACTAATTGGAAATCCAGTGGTGCTACGTCGGATTCCGCCGCCTCTCGCGCGCCATCGCAACCCATAAAACCACCCACCCGGCCGATACCTTCACGCTGACCTGGCACGCCTTCTATCTGAACCCTAACAGCACCACCTGCCCGGGCGTCGACAAGACGGAATTCTACAAGAGCAAATTCGGCGCCGACCGCACTGCCGCCATCTTCCAGCGCTTGTCGGCCGTTGGCGACGCCGAGGGAATCACGTTCCGCTACGGTGGGCGCACCGGGAACACGCGAGACTCGCACCGGCTGCTGTGGTATGCCGGGCAGCTGGAGAAGAAAGAGAGGGAAGGAGCGGCTCCGGTGCAGTCGGACGTAGTGGGCGGATTGCAGACGCGGGTCGTGGAGCGCCTGTTCCGGGCATATTTCGAGGAGGAGAAGAACATTACGGATCGGCAGGTGCTGCTGGAGGCGGCACAGACGGCGGGCCTGGATCGCGCCGAGGTGGAAAGGTTTCTGGGATCGGAAGAGGGTGGTCAAGAGGTCGATGTGGAGGCGTATCGGGCGCAGAGACGGCTGGTGACGGGTGTGCCCTATTTCACTGTGCAAGGGGAGTATGCCATCGAGGGCGCCAACGAGCCCGAAGCCTTCCTTGAGGCCTTTGATCGCGTCAAGGCGAATGCCTAACCGTATATTTTCTTCTACAAAGGAAAAGACTGAGAAACCTTTGGGTCTATGTATGCGATTACCGAACTGGAGGATGCACGTTCCGTTCATACATGCAGAAAAATGAACTATATGTGCTCAACGGGACATACCTACAGTGGGTACGCAGGTAAATCAGAGCCATGCTCGTTGCCTTCTAATCAACCTTCCCCGGCAGTCTCCTTGGAAATTAAATCGCGAAAATAGGTAAGGCCTTGCATGAGCAGATGCGTGTAGGGACAGACCCCGGCCGAGCGAAATCTTCACCCAAACGCCTCGGATGCTATGCAGCTATAATAGAAAAAAGAAGAGTGGCGTGGAAATGGAAGGTAAAAGACACGAAGGAGAATCTAAAGGAAGACTTGCCACCCGTCCAGCGCCTGAGCATAAAACAGGACACTGGTAATAGAGGGAGAGGCCGTAAAGGAGAAAACCGAGCGTCTTGCTGAATGCATACAGTCCTGGGCAAGAAGAAAACAGTACAAAGAAGATAAAATGCATAATAGATCAACGCCGTATAAGCAACCATAACACCCCAAGGACATAGAATGACAAATGTCTAACACAACCCCCCTCACGAGGGCTGTGATAATAATGTCGTAGCCAGAATCATTCGTTAACAGAGTCATAAAAAGATAACAAATCCGGAGTTCCAGAGTTGCGAAGGAAGAGCGCAGGTCGGAAGAGAGAATGGGGGAAAAGCCAATTCAAGAAGATAAAATCAGGAGACATGCGACCCGAGAGAAGCCTCATTCCCAGATGGTTGCAGGGGATGGTCAACGCTTCAATGCGCCGTCGCTTGACACAACGCGAAATCGGGGATGTGGTCAAACCAATCGGTATCCGGGTTATATCGGTAGGCCTTAAAGTCAACGCCGTACGGCTTAGGCTCCAACATGTACAGCATGCCCAACGGCACGTCCAGCCCGGCCACTTCGTCGCGCTTCAGGCCCATGAAGTACGCCAGCAGAACGCGAGCCACCGACCGATGAGTCACCAGGCAGACGTGGTCGGTCATTCGCTCTACTTCGATGATCACCATACGGAGTCGGTTGATCACGTCGAGATAGCCTTCTCCGCCTGGCCCGGGGTATCGATAATACAGCTTCTCCTTGCGGCGCGCGGCGTACTCCTCGGGGAACTTCTCTCGGATCTCGTCATACGTCATGCCTTCCATCATGCCGGCGTACAGTTCGTCCAACATCTTCATCTGCTTGACGTCGTAGTCGTCTTCGTTGAAATAGTCGACGGTCTGCACCGATCGCTGCATCATGGAGGACCACACACAGTAGTTACGAGGCCGATCCCTGGGGATGTACGACGGGTTCGGGGGCGTGCTGTCCCCGGCCCGCGGAGGGAATTGTCCCATGATCTCCTTCTGTCTCTGCACGGTCTCCCATTGCTTGCGCTGGTGATCGATGAACTTGGCGAGCGCCTTGCCGTACCGGTGGCCGTTCTCACTCAGTTCCGAGTCGCCTCCGATGCGCCCGGCCTGGTTATCCTTGCTTTCGCCGTGTCTCGTGATCCAGATCTGACGAGGGGAAAGGTTGAAATTGAGGAGGTAGTAAACCACCTGCGAGGAGAGGAAGCCGTGAGTCTGGTGGGACACCACCTTGCGGCCGACATCAATCATCTGGATGTAGGCCATCCCGTGCTTTTCCTCGTAATCGCCTAGCGGGACGTATGACCGTTCGTATAGGGCAACACGCTTTTTGAAGTCTTCTAGCGCCTTGACGGGGTTCTGCTCTTTGTAGTCGGGGCCCGACAGCTTCAGGCGCATATTGGCTTCGAGCAACTCTTGGTCAACACAGCTACTTTCCAGGAACAGAATGCCAAGCTCGGGCCCAGCACGTTTGCGAATATGGTCAACGATGGCTTTGCGGCGCTCCATGGTGCTGTTCGTGGCGTCGAGAATCCCGACGCTGCCGCCGTCGTCTAGGATATAGTTCAACAGCTCGTCTAGGGTGTCCAGGGCCACTTGCTCTCTCAGCTTCACGGCATGTTGGTTTTGGGGGTCGAAGAAGCTGGCGGATTGGTCCAGAGGTTCCGGCGACGCCTCCTTCATTGCCAGCTGGTCTTGCGGTTCGGCGAGTTCGGCGGGAATGACGGAGCTTCCGTTGGAGAGACTAGGTGCCCCCTCCTCTTTGCCGTTGATGAGGATCTTCGACGGAACGGCAGGGGGAGGTAAAGGATTTTCAAGCTCCTCCGGGGGCGAAGTGACCACCGCAACGGACGGCGCCCGTTCTTGATAGGACGGCGAGTTCATCGCTCCGACACTGACGCTGAGACGTCGCACCGAATCGACAAGATCCTTGTGGATGGAGCTGGTGCGGTGATCCCTGTGTCGTCCGAGCGGAGAGGGCGATTTACCGGCGGCCACACGCCGGCGCTCACCCACGTTGAAGATCTCGGTATCGTGCTGAAGCCAATTCAGGTACCGAGCCAGCTTCTTGGTTACGTAGCTCTTGCCCCGCGCGGGGAGGCCAACCATGACGATGACCAGTTTGGCGCCGACATCTCGCTGGGCAATGCGACCGTCGGGAGAAACCTTGGATTTGGTGAGACCCGGGATATCAAGGGTGGTTGCGCGAACGCGGCTGGGGGTTGAGGACGGAGTGTTTTCGGCGTGACTAAAGGAGTGGGGAGGGGAGCACATTAGTGGTCGAGCCAAGACTTATTAGATAAAAACAAAATCCAGCAAGTAAAGAATGAAACAAGGATAAAAAAGAAATATGACCCAAGAAAAAGTAAGCTCGCGGGGATCGTCATCCATCGTTCGTTTGATATTTGTCCGGGGTGATAATAGCCCGAGACAATACACAATACAACCCCAATTGCCGATCCAACCATCCAACGAACGACGAGAAAGAGAGGCGGCACCTACAACTGTGGAGACGAAGGAGCGGTAGAAATCGGAGTGTCACTTAGGGCACAGCCGACACCGTCCTTGGAGGCGTGCGATCCCCTGTGGGCATCGGCATGCAGTTCGTTGCCTAGCGCTCGCCCGACCAGAGTCTTCGCGGGAGGCATTAGAGTCGCGTCCTTCCCGGGACCGGGTCGGACACTCCCGTTGGAAGACGAGGCTCCATTTCGATGTTGGGAGTCGGGATTGGAAGCGGAGGTCATGATTGCTGAACGTGCGATGTCGGTATGCTGGGCCATCCCCGCCGGCGGCGCAGGGATTGCAGCCGAGTTCTATTGAAGGTGGGGGGAGGGGAGAGAAAAGATTGAAGATAGAAGATAAAGAATAGAAGGAGGTAGAGATGCGATGCGTCGGTCGTCTCAAGAGGCGAAGAGAAGGACAGCGACGAAGTGCGAGATGGAAGAGGGGCACAAAAAGGCGAGGGCAAAAAAAAGAAAAATGGGGGGAGGAAAAAGCGGATGAGTCAACAACGTCACTTCCCACCTCTTCCTTTTCTCTTCCTCTTCTACTACGCTCGATCTCTGTCGCTCTCGCGTCGTTTCTCTTGCAGAATGAAGATGGTTCTCTCGCTCTCTCTGCCAATGACTTGTTCACGGGGGGTGAGTGATTGGAAATGCCCGATCGATAAGAAAAAGATATCGCCAATCCGATTGAATCCAGGCCAATCAAGGACGAAGTGCGCTCATATAAGCCGGTCTGGAGGCCGATGAAGTCACGGTGGATCTTTTGACGTCGCGCCGAATGATGTAAAGCGCATCCACGCCGATGGTTCCGGGGGTTATAAGTAACCAACGAGAGACCTGCCCTCCTTTTCCCAACAGACAAAGACCGTCAGCCTTGGCTTTGTTCGATGCAGGGAAGTACCAACGATCCAGAATGCTTGGCGGCAGGTTGAGAGACCCTAATACGGAGTAGTTCTACCGGCCTTGGAACTTGGGTTTGCAGTTGACTTCATTTCATCCTCCCCTTGCAGCCCGTCCGGGGAGACCCTACGTGTTTCTGACATCCCTCTCCTCCCAGGTCTTTCCTTGCGGCTGCCTGGAGTCTGGTATCTAGGCATGTATGTATATATGTGCCTTGGATAGATCGAGGATCTAGTAGGAGCCTCTTGGCACTGGGGAACCCAACGAGCTGTGGTGTAACCAAGCATCCTCTGTCCCACCCTTTTTTTTATCTTCTTCTGCTGGGGCGCCGAGATGTATGGGGTAAAAAAGGAAAAGAGGATAAAAAAAAAAAAGCAAAACCACTACGCCCCAATCTCGTCACCGCGTCGTCAGGATGCTGACTACGCTTGGCAAGGTCGCACGCTTCCGTCTGGTGGGGTCAGAGTGAGGGCCTCATGATGATTTCCGCTCCTCCTTCGTCGCCTTGCTCGTCCCGCCTCAAATCTACTATACTCCCACGAAGGGATCGGGGCCATCCGAGGGTCGCATAGTGCGGGAGTCTTGGCGGTCGGTGGTTACGCAGGGGGGGAGGGGGGAGGGAATTAGATATAGGCTTATCGTACGATGTACATCCCCTCGACTCCGATCTTGCCTAACGATCTAAACGCACGGTGAGAGCGATGAGCGTGGCGTAGGCAGCGATACTCAGAGCGGTCAGGACGACGACGGCATTGCCGCTGGTGCGGAATTTGTGACGATGCACGCCGTCCTCTCCCACCTCGGAGAAGAACTGACGGTTGCCCTGCTGGCGGCGGAAGAGGCCGATGATGAGAACGCCGGTGCCGTAGATGGCAAATAGAGCACCAGTACTGTAGAACTCGTGGGTGAAGATCTTGAGGACGACGAGGGCGAAGGAGAACTGGGACAAGGCCGTGCGGACGTAGGCGCCCTCGAAGGTGCGCTGGGCGGCTCGCACTTCGACAATCTCGTCGGAGGTCAGGTTGACGGTGCGGGCGCGGTGCATGCGCAGACGATAGCGATCGGCCGCACGACGCTGGACATGACGCGACGGGGTTAGACTAGACGACGAAGGCGACGGAGCCAACAGAGATCTCACGGACGCACCTCGAACATGGCGACGTGTCACAGAAAGGATGGGCGGATTAGAAGGGAAGAGTGCAGCACTTTGCAGCGAGGTGACACGGAGGCGGGCCACGAGCGATACGGACAGACGAAAAGGCGAGGAGGAGGAGAGAGCGCGAAGAAATACTTGGGCGAGTTGAGTTGGTCGGTCGCAGCTGACCCGGGGAGAGAGAGCGCGCGGGTGACGAGTCCGACTGACGAGTCTGTGAGTGACCTACACCGCATATTGAGTATTGCCACCGCCCCACGCGATAGAGCCACGACCAATTGTCCACCAATCACCACCGGCGCTTCTCTAATCCCGTCCAGTCGGCTTTTGACATTTCCCGATTTGAACCACGCCGACCCCATTCTTGTCGTGATTTCTTGGAGATGCGGAGGGAGGCCCGGTCGATGCATTTTCGCTTCTTTCTTCTCTTCTCCTTCTTCTTCTACTTCATCTCCTTCTCTTCCTCTCTCTTCCTCTCTTACACACCTTCTCTCTCCCTCTCCCCCTCTCTCTATCTCTCCCCCCCCCGTCCCTCCCCTTCAATCTGCCGCCATACCCCGCCGTCTTTCTCCGCATTCCCCCCAATAACGAACCCCCACGCTCCCACTTTTGCACCAAAATGGCCAAAGTCTTCGACGCGGCCGAGAGTATGTCTCGCCCGAAACTGCTCCTCGGAGCATTGATTTCCGCTTGCATTGATGGCTAACAAGAATTCGGGCGTATCTAGTTGCCAAACACAATACTCCGCAGAGTTGCTGGGTGATCCTGTATAACAAAGTATACGATGTACGCGGTTCACCCCCACGCCCGCAATGGCCCTCTTGATTGACTCGAAATCCCCGGTTACCAGGTCACCGACTTCCTCTCGGAGCACCCTGGCGGTTCAAAAATCATTCTGAAGCTGGCCGGCAAGGATGCCACCGAGGAATACGACCCAATTCACCCTCCCGGCATTCTCGAGGAAAACCTCAAGCCTGAGGCCTTCCTGGGGACCGTCGATCCGAACACTCTCCCCAAACCGGAGCAGGAGTCGGCCGCGGAGGAGGTCAAGGAGGGACCCCCTCCCATGGAGTCACTCCTCAACATGGACGACATTGAACAAGTGGCTACCAAGACCGTGAGCAAGAAGGCCTGGGCCTACTACTACTCGGCCTCGGACGACAAGATCACCAAGCATTTCAACAACGAGGTCTACCGCTCCATCCTATTGCGGCCGCGCGTGTTCGTCGACTGCACCGTCTGCGAGCTCGACACCTCGGTGCTGGGTCACAAGCTGGGCATGCCCATTTACGTCTCGCCGGCCGCCATGGCCCGTCTGGGTCACCCGGCGGGCGAGGCCGGCATCGCCGAGGCCTGTCGCAGCTTCGGCGCCATGCAGATCATCTCCAACAACGCCTCCATGACCCCCGAGCAGATCGTCAAGGACGCGGCGCCCAACCAGACGTTCGGCTGGCAGCTGTACGCACAGATTGACCGTTCGAAGAGCGAGGCCATGCTGGCCCGCATCAACAAGTTGAAGGCGATCAAATTCATCGTGCTGACTTTGGACGCGCCAGTCCCGGGCAAGCGAGAGGACGATGAGCGCGGCAACCAGGTGGGCGCGGCGGCGCCGGCCCCCAGCGCCGTGAAGATCTCCAGCGACGCTCCCGATATCAGCGAGGCGCCCGGCGGCGTCGGCCGCACGCTGTTCGCCGGAACCGACCCGTCCCTGACCTGGAAGGAGACGCTGCCCTGGTTGGCCAAGCACACGGACCTGCCCATCGTCCTCAAGGGTCTGCAGACGCACGAGGACGCCTACATCGCCTCGCTGCACACGCCACAGGTCAAGGGCATCATTCTCTCGAACCACGGCGGCCGCGCGCTCGACACGGCGCCGCCTGCCGTGCACACGCTGCTGGAGATCCGCAAGTACTGTCCGGAGGTGTTCGACAAGCTGGAGGTCTGGGTGGACGGCGGCATCCGGCGAGGCACCGACGTCGTGAAGGCGCTGTGTCTGGGCGCGAGGGGCGTGGGAATCGGACGTCCCTCGCTGTGGGGATTATCTGCCGGTGGTGTGGAGGGTGTGAAGCGAACCTTGCAGAGTATGCTCTCTCTCTCTCTCTCTCTCTCTCCCTGTCCAATAGGTTTTCGGTTTACTAACCTTGTCTTCAGTTCTGGCCGACGAGACTAAGACCTGCATGCGACTGCTGGGAGTCGAGCGAGTGCAGGACTTAGGGCCTCAACATGTAAGTGCACTGAACCATAATTTCATTAAAAAGGACACTAACGTTGGCGTAGATCAACACTCGACTTGTAGAGCAACAGATCTACGACGGACCGTCGGGACTCGATTCCCTGCGGAGCCAATTCCGAGCGAAGCTATAGAAGACATAGGGGAAGAAAAGAATCGTCGTTTGTATTTCTATATACCAAGATGTTTGATTGCATTTCTAGTTTAGACGTCATGTCAAGGGTTCATTTGTCTTAAGAATAAGAATCAATATAAGAATAAGATGGATTGTTCATTACATCCCTCTCATTCTGCTCCCCCCCCCCTGCAAGGATCATGTATCATGGATGTGTTCTCCACGTATGTAGATATATCACATCACAACCAACTCGACAGAAAGAAAAGCTCATCCCCTCCTACCCCTGAAACAAACACTTCCAGAACCCACCCTCAAACCAATCCCTCTCCCTCCGCCACCCCTTGACAATCAAATCGCGCCCCAACGCCACCACCCCGCGCACCTGCTCCTCGGAGCCCCAGTCCGTGATCATCGTGCCAAAGCAGATGAAATGCACCCCGACGTGGATCGCCGCCCGGTAGGCCATCGCCTCCGTGAGATGAGGGTACGAGCGCGCGAGCCCCTCGATGATCCACGGCCCCGCGTCCACGTCCCGGAAGTGCTTGACGAAGTAGAGCTCGGCCATCATCTGGCCGAGGTCGAGCGCGCGGGCACCGCACTGGGCAAGTTCCCAGTCAATTACGAATAGAGGCATGTTGGTGTTTGGGTTCTGTTGCTGCTGGTCGAGTATGTCTTTAGGGATGAGTACGCTATACCAGGACGGTAAGTCTCTATGTTAGCTTGGTTCGGGGTATCGTCTACCCAGTCGGACTAACAAAAGGAGGAGGGAAAGAGAGAGAGAGAGAGAGAGAGAGAGAGAGAGAGAGAGAGAAACATACTTCCCGGACCAAAAGTCCCCATGAATGACCCCAAACGCGGCTCCCTCAACATCCTTTCTCCCCAATTCATTCCGTGCCTGATCTCGAACCTCCTCGAACACGCCTCGACTGTCGCTCAGCAGACCCGGATACTTATCCACCAACCCAACCACATTCTCGTAGTTAATACTGAACTTGAGATCGCGCATCAGCTCATTCTCTTCCATTGACCGGACGAGCTCCGTCTGCGCCGACTCCGCCGTCCACGCGTGGAACGAACCGAGCCACTGACCCAGCGCGGCGCCGAGAGAGGTCGCCCAGGGGCGGTCGATGCGGGAGGAGATCTCCGGATTAGTGAGGAGGGTCTTGAGGTCGACAGACTTGGGCAGGTCCTCCATGACCTGGGTGTAGGAAGGGCGGTCGAAGGCCAAGAGACGGGGCGTTTTGACAATGATGGTGGAGCTGGTCGTTGGAGGGGCCGTGGTAGGGGCTGTTGTAGGTGGGAAATCACCGAGAGATTTGAGGATGTACTCTTCGATGAGCTGGGTGCCCGGCATTTCTCTCATGATAGAGAGAGTAGTAATTAGTAGAGGTACATATATATAAATCATTTGGCGATAGTGTAGATCAAAATCCATCAAATTAACCGATGGGGCTGTAGATAGTAGAGCATACTGTCTAGCGGCCCTCGACAGGATACAGGATACAAATTACATAGAAGGGTGAACATACACATCTTTCCGCCGGCAGTTTGAAATCGCGATTTGACGCGATGTAATCCTTGGTATGCTTGACTATAACCGAGTCGCGATCTAGGGTGCCGCGGAAGACAAAGTTGGCGGTGCCGCCGCTGAGTCGCTCGAGATGCGAGCAGTCATACGAAAGCCGACGAAGAATGTCGGGGATGTTCTGAAGATTGTCTTCCATGGTGATTTTGTCGACGTTGCAGAGTGAGGCAGAGTGAGGGAGAGAGGGAGGAAGAAGAGGAGGAGGGCACTTAAACTATGAAAATCACGCTAAACTGGAAACGGTGCCCGCTGGCTTCTATTCATTGGGTTCACTCCATGCTATGTCGGAGAGACGGCAGAAATGTCTACATACAGGATGCATAACAGATAACGAGTAGAGGAATCCTCGCGCCATGATCAAACATCATGCGGAGACCTCCTCAATGGCCCAGGACAGTATCGCAGATGATAGTGGTGGTCGTCGTCACGGTGACAGTCAGGACTCCATCTTGCGAGGAGTGGGTAGTCATGGAAGGCTGCCCGCAACCAGGGGTACCATGACCCTTGTCATGGGGACAAACGGTGGTCACCGAGGGCATCGGACCAGATACAGACACGGGAGCAGTCCCAGGGTGGGCGCCAATGATAGTATCGGTCAAGGAAGGCGACGAGGGAGACGGCGGCATACTCGCGCTCGCGCAAGGAGTGCTCACAATCATGGTCGGATGAACCACGGGAACAGAGACGCTGGGGCCAGCGATAGTTGGTGCAGAATGCCAGTGCGTACTCGGGTCGATGTGGGTGCTAGTCCTATCGTGATCTGTGTCCGTCCAGGAAGACGCTGAGGGCGGCGAGATGCCGGTGCTATGGCATGGGGTAGTCATGATCAGGGTCGGGCTAACCGCGGGGACGATCGCCGTCGACTTAGAAGAAGACTGAGGCGTGCTCACGCGGATGCCAGTGCTGGTCCAATGCTTATTCGAAGTGCTCGACGTGTCGCTGCAAGAAGTCATGGTCGACACTGGAGGCCAGGAGGTTGACGGAGGATTCCCGTATCTCGTAGTAAAACCCGACAACCGAGTCCAAGTCGTGCCCGACGGACAGACGGGTGGAATAGAGGGTGGGAGTCGCGATGAGGATGTCATCGGGACGTGACTGGTGCTATTCCAACCGGTGGGATAGGGGGGAGGAGGCCACGAACTCGATGTTATAGTCTCGTTGTTGGCCACCCCCACGCAGACCTCTGAATCACGGCGCAGACCTTTACAGCTGGGCCAGGAAATGGCAGGGTTCCATTTATGGAAGTCTTCAAACCCGATATCATTCCGATAGACGATTTTGTCGCAGGTGTCGAACCGGAGGACCACCCACCAGCGATTACAGTTGGGTGCCACTCCCGGTTGGCGAAGAAGGCCCGTGGGCTCCGGTAGCTCCGGTCGAGGCGCCGTCCGGCTGGCAGGGGTCCCGGGCACAGCCACGCAGTACCAGAAGTAATTCTATAGAATGTAAGAAGCAGAAAAGACGAAGAGATAAAGATGGGGCTCTTACTTGGATTCCCTTGCAGTCTTTTCCCAGGGTAGGATTCCAGGCAAGGAAATCCTGCATGGAAAATGTGCCGAAGAGATTGACCACATTCTGGCAAGTCTCATAATAGTCAATCTGGTACCAGGCCCGACAATCTTTGGTAGTGTTGACTTGGACGTTGGAAGTTGGCATGGCCGTGAGCGTGTAAGGGCCGGGGAGGGTGAAATTTGGGGGTAATGTGGTCGGCCAGGTAAAGGGACGGAGGGTGCTTGGAGTCCACGGCGACGGCTCCGGGGGGTCCACAGGGCCCGTGATGGGGGTAGGGAAGGAGATCGGTTGCGACACGCCGACGCAGACCTGCCAGCCGGCGAAGAGATTGTCGCAGTCAACGGCGGCCTCGGGATTCCACGCAATGAACTCATCCAGGGTGATCAAACTGTACCGGATCGCTATCTTTCTACAGGTCTCCCCATACTGCACCTTGTGCCACCTGTAGCACCCCTTTGGCTGACCCGCCTGCGTCTTCCAGGCGGTCTCGGTTGGGGGCGGAGGCAGCGGAGGTGGCGAAGTGATAGGGTGATTGAATGTGTAGCTGGTCGGACCGGAAGCCGAAGGATGAGGTGACCAGGGGGAGGAGGAAGAAGGATGTGAGGTCTTGTCCGAGGAAGTCGTGATAGGGCTAGGGCTAGGGCTGTGGCTATGGCTGCCGCTGGAGACAGGCCCAACCCCGACGCAGTACGCGTTGTCGACCCAGAAGTTCTTCAAGCAGTCAGACGAGACATCGGGGTTCCAGGCAAAAAAGTCCTTGGCGCTGATCCCGAACGACTTCTGAACCGAGTCGCAGCCGTCGCCTTTCTTGATCTTGTACCATCGGTTGCAGTTGGACGCCGTGCCAGGCAGAGTCGGGCCAGTCGGGGAGGAATCCGCCGGAGCCTGTCCCAGAGACACTGTAGCCAGCAGTAGCAAGATCAGACAATGAAGGAGATACATTGTTGAGAGGAGAGAAGTGAGATAGAGAATGGGTGGAGGAATGAGAAAGTTGAGAAGCAGAGAGATCCCGGAGGTCAAAGATCGAGGGCTTTAAAATGGACTCAAGCAGAGATGAACAGGGAACTTCCGCTCCTTTGGTTTCAGAGAGAGTAGCACAGGCCTTCATATTTGGAATATCCCGGTGTCACTGCGGGCTGACCTGGCCGGATATCTTCAGTAAATTGATCATGAACGGGGTTTTCCGTGGAAGAAGTGCAAATAGGTCGTTACTTAAGAGCATCCCAGGGCTAGGATGCTCTTCAGCCTGCATTCTGCCTCCATCCCCATCCCTTCTCTTGAATCTATCTGGATTTGTTACAATTATAGTTCATCCGTTCACCATGGCGAAGGCTTCCGGGTCCCTTTTTCTGTTTCCTTTACTTCTGTGCTATCTGGTTGTCTGCGTCTACGCCACTATCATCCCCGAATCCAATCCCCTTACCTTTAACCTCCAGGTGGCAGCTGACAAGGACGATCCGTCCTGTACGAAGGACAGTCCCTGCAAGATTGGCTGCTGCGGACCACTGTAAGTGTCCTCATATAGGCTCTAGTCGGTGCCCGTTTCTAACACCTACCCATAGAGACAAAAAGACCGGCAAGGGTGTTTGCGGCTTTGGACCCGATTTTTGTGGCAAAGGTTGTACCTCACAGTGTGATCGCAAGAGCGAATGCGACTCCGGCTGGGGTCTCCAATGGTCGAATGCTTCTACGTGTCCCCTGAATGTGTGCTGTAGCAAGTTTGGCTTCTGTGGTTCGTCTGCCCTTCTCCCCCCTGTACATGTTATCCTTGACCTTCTGACCTTCATCTCACAGGGACAACCGAGGACTTCTGTCAAGGCAAGAAGGTGATATCCCCGGAATGTAAAGGCGAATCGGCCAAAGCCAAACTCATTGGATACTGGGAAGGCTGGAACCAAGAGAAGAAGTGTGACCGTAAGTGGATTCATTCCTACTCTCGAAGGAGTAACTTCAAGCCAACCGACAAACAGACATGCCTGCAGAGGACATCCCTCTAGGGTACTACACGCACCTTAACTTTGCATTTGCCTATATCGATCCCTTGACCTACCGCGTTGCCCCTATGGACCCGGCCACTGCCTCGCGCTACCGTCAAGTGACGGCTCTCAAGGCCCGTCAGCCTGGCCTCGAGGTGTGGATTGCCATTGGGGGCTGGGCCTTCAATGATCCGGGCAATACGGCGACAACGTTCTCGAATCTCGCTGCCTCCGAGGCAAACCAGAATATTTTCGCTGAATCGTTGATCAACTTCATGGTGGCCAATGGCTTCGATGGGGTCGACCTGGACTGGGAATATCCCGTGGATGACCAACGCGGAGGAAAGCGCGAGGATTACGTGAACTACGTAACCTTCTTGAAGCGACTGCGAGAGCGCTTGAATGCATCTGGAAGACGTTTTGGACTTTCGATTACTCTGGTCGGTCTTTTCTTTCTGTTGTTTCTTCATCGGGCCAAAGACTAACATCCCGTCCAGCCTGCATCCTACTGGTACCTTCGCGGATTCGATATCGCTAATCTGGAACCCCATGTGGACTGGTTTAACATCATGACTTATGACATCCGTGAGTACTTATTCCTGGATTGAACTGTCAAAAGTGCTAATCCCCCTTCGCCCTGTTGACAGACGGTATTTGGGATAGAGAATCAAGGGGAGGAGTCGGTTCCTATGCCTTTGCCCACACGAACATGACCGAGATCAACCTGGGCCTTGAACTCCTGTGGCGCAATAACATCAATCCGGGACGGGTCGTCCTAGGTCTAGGTTTCTACGGCCGTAGCTTCACGATGAAGGACCCCAAATGCCTCACGACGGGATGTGCCTTCCGCGATGGTGGCCGCAAAGGCAAGTGCACCGATACTGAGGGAATCTTGTCCGGCAAAGAGATCAATCAACTTATCAAGGAGGGCGCCAAAGTCTCTCTTGACAAGGAGGCGGCCGTGAAGATGGTAACCTGGGACAATGACCAGTGGGTCAGCTGGGACGACAAGGAAACGCTGAAGATGAAATACGACTTTGCCAACAAGCGTTGTCTAGGAGGAACTATGGTGTGGGCGGTGGACTTAGACGATGGCACGTTGATTGAGGCGCTTGGACAAGCCATGGGCAAGAAAAGGACCAAGCATTTCAAACCGGCAAACCAGTATTTCATCAAGGAGATTCTCTAAGACGAAAAGCTTGTGCGACTATCATCAATGAATAGACAAGTCTCTGAATACTTTGTTTATACAGACTAGTAGATTTAGTCATCTGCTTTGAATTTCAAGTCACATTAATCTGGAGTAATCTAATCTATCTTCTTCGCTCTCTCTCTCTCAACCTTTCTTCGTCTTGTTTTAGAACCGTCGTTTGTCGATAAGTACATAGCGGAATAGCTTCATTCTTCCAAACTCACTGAACCCTCATTCTGTAACTTGAATGTATAAGCAGACTACCTCCAGTAGATATTCTTTTTCTCCTTACCCACCCAAACAACAAGAAGGGTCACATCATCATACAATGAACAACAAGAGAACAGTTTGAGAGGGAGAAATGTGCCCCGCCCATGCCTGGCAGTAAAGGAGGAGCTGACCGGAGATCTCCGCAGGTACCAGGCCATCCAGTGCAGGAATTAACAGATCTTGCCACGTTCTGGCTTCGTGAGCGGAATATCCATGTAAGACGTTAGCATATAATGAGCACCAATTCCCCTCCTTCTTCTCCCCCAATTCACAACTTCTTCCTCCCTTTCATCCATCCTCTTTGGGTCTCAGACCGTAAATCCTTCTGGCTTTAATCCTTCTTCCTTTCGCCTATCATGGCTCCCCTGGCATGGAGCGTTCTACTTCTTGTGCTACTTGGCCATACCATCTCCGCTGTTTCTTTATACCCTCGCTCTGATGTGTCCGACGCAGACATTGGTCTATCGTCTAATGTCCCTCCTGTCGGTGCTCCACTCGACCTGGATGATACCCTGACCTCTGACGCCCCGGTTCTTGAACCTCGAGAAGACAAAAGGGACGATCACGATCCTAAATCGTTCGAATGGATCAGACGGTGGGCCGCACTTGGGGACAGTTTCACCGCAGGGATTGGGGCAGGCAATCTGTTCAATGGTACCGAGGACGACATAAAATGCTCTCGGTACGACCGATCGTATCCTGCCAGATTGAAGCTGGCTTTCCCCGAGGATGCGGACTTCCAATACCTTGCATGTTCCGGAGATCGCACGGAGCAGATCCATGCACAGACCATGAGACTGAAAGAAGGTCAAGATCTGGACCTGGTCATTCTGACCGGCGGGGGAAACGACCTTTGTTTGGTAAGAGATTCCTCGTAAGAAGTCCATACTCCCTCGTTAACCAGAAACAGTCCGATATTATCAAGCGCTGCGTGTTGATGCCTTTCCAAAGCGACAAGAAATGCGACGAGGCCCTCGAGAGAGCAGACAATAACCTAGAACATCTGCTAACTGATAATATCCGAAGCGTGCTCGCTAAGCTCGATGGCTATGTGCGTAGAAACGGTCTCGTCCTCTATGTTCTGTACGCCGAATTCTTCAATACCGACCTTGAGAAGTGCGGCTTGAACCAAGACTGGACCCTGGGCAGGCTTGGAGAGGCACTGCCCTTGACGAAGAAGAAGCGTCAGAAGTTCAACAGCCTGGTGACTCGGACCAACGACGTGATCCGGAAGGCCATCGACGCTGTCGTTGAGGAAGACGGGTTAAGATACCGAATTCGAACCGTCGACTGGAACGAGTTCCCCAAGAGTGGCGTCCGGGGCCAGTTCTGTCAGCCGGGGACCAAGGGTATGTACCCGGATCCCGGCCAGCCGGACCTGCAATTTTTCAAAACGAATACTGCCCAGATCCAAGACATTCCCCCGTATACTGGAGAGGGCAAACGAGATGTGGCGGTCGAGCAGGCCGAGGACAGGCTCTGGTACAGCTCGCGCATCTACAAGTCGATCAACCCGGTGGCTCTAGCAGAGCGCCACCTCGACCCGCGCGCGCCCCTTCCTCCCCATTGCCCCGGGGACCGAGAAAAGGCGGACGAAAATCAACTGGAAGAATGGTTGAAAGATGCGATCGAGAGCTGGGGCTTCGGTCTACCAGATGGCATTGGCAAGCTCTTCCATCCGAACGAGCTGGGCCACGCGACAATCGCATCATTCGCAATGCAAGAGCTCATCAACGCGCGGTCCGAGGAGCTCGGGACCTACAATCCGCGGTGTGAGAATTTCAACAAGTTCGAATGCAACAAAAAGGGCGACGAGTGGTCGAATTACTACGCGAATGTCGACTCAGCCGTCCAGGCCAGGAACACCTTCTGCAAAGGTGAACTCCCGTTGACGTGGAAGGAGGTCGCTCCCGGTCGGTATAAGCACAGGAGAACGTACTTCCGCGATACCCCCGACGAGGTGCACTTCGAGGTCATCTCGAGATACACGTCCTTTAATAGGGACGAATGTCACGATTCCTTCGACCGCATTATTCACAGCTGCGACGGCCTCGACCCCGAGAACCCTTTGAACTTCAAGTATGGAGGGCGCTGGAACCGCGGGGAAAATGTCTACCAGCTGACAATGGGCGGCGGCCACATCAAGCGCATCAAGGAAGTCCCGAAGAAGCGGACAGGCCATTGCGCGTTTACGGATGTAGGTGAAGGCTACCGGTTCTTCCTGCAAGGCTCGGGCTTTCGCGCGTATGACTTTGGTCAGTACAGCGTCTGGCCTGCTGCCCAGGACTGTGGCCAGCGACCAAAATACGTGCACAGCTTTGATTTCCATTACTTCCCCACCCCCGAGGATGGCATGGAGTGGCAAGCCGCGTTCTCGGTCAGAGTCAAAGAAAGCAGCATAGGGAGCGGCGTGCAAGTCGTGGCCAGATGCTCTGGGATATTCACGACCTTGGGAGCAGACGACATCCCGTGTTACGGATTACACACTGACAAAGACAAGGCAGATTGGAATAAACCGGGTTGGAAGCATGATGAGCTCTAGACGCTTGGTAGCCGTGTGTATGAGGTTTTCGTGATTAGCGATTAGTGAATATCCATGTTCTGTCCATGCTAGAATTAGCAATAGACTCAAAATTGTAACCCTCACAAAGTATGAGCCCCAAGGCAGTCCGTACATTATTCATAACTATGTATCTTCATCTGTAAATAACTTTAACATGGGCCATAAAAACAATTCAATTCAGGCAATGCAGTCTATCTGATTCTATACACTCTCATAGATAACATCATGATCGCTTCGCCGGCGTTAGAAAGACGTGCAGCGGCGGTTTGTCCCAAAGGAAGAAGATATTCTGTTGTTCCATCCACCCGACACTGTCGCTGGCGAGCTCCAGATCAAAATTAAAGATCAGACGCGCCAGGATCATGCGCATCTCTGCATATGCCAAACTAAATCAATCCTCGTCAGTATGGAAAGAAGGGATTGCAAGGGGTGCACTCACTTCCGTCCAAGGCAGTTCCGAGGGCCGAAATTAAACGGTTGCAAAATGTCAAAGTTGTCATTTGCAAATCGCTCATCCCCGAGGAACCGTTCCGGGTGAAAGCCAAATGGGTCGGTGAAGTATTTCTCGTTGTGATACGTCGCCCAGTGATGAATGGCGACAATCGTCTGTAACTGAACTTAGTGTCAATGCTACTGTAGAATGAGTAAGGGGGGCTTACATCTGGTGCAACGTATTGCCCCATAATGTGTCGACCGTTCTTGGGTACGACTCGCGGCAGTCCGATGGGGATCGGCGGGTAGGAGCGCAGGGCTTCGTTGAGGCAGGCCAACATGTAAGATAGGCCGTTCACGGAGTCCATCGTAATGTCCTTTTCAGACTGGAAAGAGGAACGAACTTCTTTAGTCAAACGCGCCAGTACTTCCGGGTTCTGCAAGAGTAAGTAAGTGATCCCGGAGAGAAGAGTCGCCGTGGTTTCGGAGCCTCCGATAAGAAGTATAGTGCCGTTGGCCTCGAGACGATCCATATTAAGATCCTAAATCGGTATCAGCAGAGTCATCAGCAACTCGTTGATCAGATGTACCGACCAGCTCATCCTGTTTCCTCAGGAGCCCTTCGATCAAGTCGTCGCGCTCATTCCCTGCCTGCATACGCTCGCGTAATTTGGCAACGGACACATCCCGATGGTCCTGAAACGCTCTGACGACCGATTTCGGCACCATCGCCAGGAATAGTTTCTTCAACAGAGGATAGAAACTCAAACTCAACATCAACGTTCCTGTCTTGGCCGATTTAAGAAGCAGCGGAATGAACGGATGGTATACGGAGTTCTCCAAGGACCCGAATGGTTTCCCGAAGGCTAGGTCCCCAATAATGTCGAAGGTAGTGAAATTGTACCACGACGCCATATCTATGGACTTGGTACCGTCGCCACACTTCTCGTGCAGGCGCCGAATGAGCAAGTCGACATACTGAGTGATGAGGGGCTCTTGTGCCCGCATCGACCGTTCAGAGAAGCCATGGGATAATTGACGTCGCAGGATGCCGTGCTCCTCACGCTCGGCATTGGCAATGCTGGTGGGCGTGCCGTCTGCATACTTATAGAAGCTCATCCACTTTCCGCACTCGTCGCCGCCATTGGACTGATGGCCATGAATGTCTTTCCAGGCGTCTACGTGCGCGAATGCCAGTTCACCCGGTGCAATTCGGACCACGTCTCCGTACTTTTCATGCAGAGCTAACATGTCAAAGGGAAGCCGGCCGCGTAGCAACCGATAGCAATATGGAATAGGAGACATGGCATGAGAGACGGGGCCGGGGAAGGCCCGCAACGGATGGAAGAAGACATTGTAAACTGCCTTTCCGGCGACATGGAGAAGGACCTGGATGCGAGTTAACAAATTGAAGAGATAGTCGGGATCGGATTCAATCAAACAAGATCACCGACTGGACCAAGAAAGCGAGTAAATAACATACTATGGTAACCAAGGCCTTCACCAAGGTACCCGTCTGATCTACTAAAACCGCCATGACGGAAGGCTTTTCAGGCGTAACAGGTACTATGAGAAATGTGGTCGCCTAGCACGGGCTCAGAGCGACTCGAGTCAAGACGATCCTGACTTCTCGATGACGAGCCGCATAAGGAGGATTAATAATAACAAGATCTCTCAGGGGTCTTTGTCGGAAAAGGGAATTCCGAAGCCAAGTTTTATTAACCCGCCCTCGCGATGATGGATGAGAAGGAGGGGTGGGAAGAGCGACAAGAAGCAGCGAGCAAATTGGTTTATTATTGCGTTGTGCAGAGGATAGACTAAAATGAACGACCGACAAGGATTCTAATATGGCAGATGTTGTTGGCCCGATCCACTCGGAAGGAGAAGTAAGTTTCAGTTTCACCATGATTCCGATCCTGGCGGGAAAATGAAGCTCAGACCGGTGGGCCTTTTTCAGAGAAGGACAGGAGGAGACTGGATCACTGGAAACTGGAGGATGCGCTAGTCCGGGAGGGGCAGTTTGCTGGCCTGGGGCCGATCTCTACAGTTGCCTCTTCGGGAATGGTCGCCGCTGACCTCAGCAGCGCTGCCGGCCGAGAAGTCGCCCGATTCATCAGGCGTCCTTTCTCCTTTTTGGGATATGATTGGATTACACATCGGAATTATGCATCATTATTATTCAGTTCAGTAACACAGTTGAACTTCCCAGTCGTTTCATCCTTCCCGTCCATCACCAATATCCATCCTTGCCTCTCTCCTCCTCCACGACATTGACCCTCGATGGCTCAGGCATCTCAATGAATTGGTTAAACAACCTGTCGAGGCTGTTGTTGGTAGGCACCTGGCCAGTGGCCTAATCCACAAGTCAATCAGTGCACCTTTCCCCCTATGTAGTTAACTCTCGAGCCGGTGGTAACTCACCCTGCCGGCCCTCGACGCTCGACGACGTTGCTCGTCACAGATCTCATGGATAAACTCGGCGGTTTCAAGGTTGTTCGTGGTGCGTGCAATGCGGACGAAGATTTGCTCGAAGTTCACCACGTTCAGGCCGGGGCCGTATCTAAGGAGTGCGTCCACTACGAAGGGGTTGCTAATAGCGCAGGCCATCAGGAATACACCGCGGAACAAAAGCTCATCCTGCAACTGCTGCTTGACTCCCATCTCCATCAACGCGCGTACCACGGTAGACTGACCGCGACGGATGGCATACAGCAGTTCCAGCACGCCCTCTTTTTCGACGTCAACGTCCGCCATCAGGCATTTGACGATGTTCGTGCGATTCAGCTGCTCTGCCACTTCCAGTGCACTCGCTCCGCTCTCGCTCAGAGCATCTCGCTTAGCACCCATGCTCATCAGCTGAGTGACTCTGTCGGCATCATTTCGCAGGCAGGCGACGTGTAACTCAATCGTTAGGTTCTGAAGGGGGCCAGTAGGAGGTACCATGCCGCTCTGGAAATGGAAAAAGCGGTTCATGTGACGTCTCGTGATCTGGGCCTGGGTTTGATTGCTCATAGTGGCGGCCAATTCTAGGAACAATTCGAACCGATTAGCCTGCACAGGGATCCAGGGCCGATTTGGAGAAATATTTTATTTGTTGTGGCGGATACCCATATTTGACCAGCTTGCTGGTCTCATATACTTACATGTTGAGAGATATTGACTGGAGGTGATTCGGTTCCAAGAGCCCGGGAATATCCAACTGACCATAGATCGCGATGGTGGCCAGAATGATTAAACGATTGGCTATAGACTGAAGAACTTGACTGTCTGTCCCTGAATCTGGCAGTAGCAGAGGGACTGCTTGATCAACTCAAAGGAGCCAAAACCTTACCGGAAGATTAGTAGAGATAGAAATCTTGAGTGGGGTGGGCATTCACTTGTCACCGGGGCCAGTATGGGACTTAAGACCAAATTGAGAGTGACAAGCAACAAAAGATGGTGAAGGACTGGTTTTCTTTTGAACAGCACGCATTCACTCTGGAGCGTAACGCGACAACACCATCACTAGGGTTGCGTTGGGTCTCCTGGGATGTTCTCTAGTGCTTGTTCTTTCTTCCACGTCCGCACTGACTGTCAGCTACCGGTAAATTCATGGCCAGCAAAGAGACTGGCCTAGCTATTGACCATAAGGCGTTGCTGAGGAGTTTTAATACTAAACAGATCCAGTTGACTCAGTTGACTCAGAATAGTAACTTTCTAGTAAATATATGTAGTGACCAGAAGTGACGTTGGAATCAGAACAACATATCCAGCCTCTCTCTAAGCATCTAGGATGATCTACAGCACGAGAAATGCACTAAATGCACCATATGATTATGCATTTCTAAATCCAAGCGTCTTGGTTGACAACAAATGAGGCAGAAGTGGTGGGGAGGCATCGACCCCTACGGACTTACTCCACCTCCTCCCTGCTTTGCTTGCCTCCCTCCCCCCCCCCCTCTTTTTCTTTTCTTCCCGACAACTGCGACTACCTTTTCTTCAACATTAACCTTCTTTTTTCCCTCCCTCTAGTACGCAAGCTAGTTTCTTCTGCTATCTCCCTTTCCAACACGACTGCTCGTTATATCCGCCTTGTAGCCTCGAAACAGGGACCGAAGAGGTCCATTTCGAGCTGCAGGCCGTCGATATTCCCCGCGCGATTCGGCTCCTGCGGTTCACGAAGCTTGACGACGCCACCCCAAATCTCGAATACCGATCTCCTCTTTCCCCTGAATAGCATTTTACGCCTTTTGCCGCGTTGTGTCACCATTTTCACGACCCACCCCAACACCAACACCGAACTCAGCGCGATGAATGATACCACTCCCTCTCCGACCCCCGGCCCAGCGACGAAGCCATCTCCTAGCTCGAAATCCCCGCCAACGTCAACGGCCGGAACCAAGCGCAAGCGGTCGCCGGCTGGTAAATATTACGCCGTCAAGGTGGGCTATCAACCAGGAGTGTATAATTTGTGGAACGAATGCTTGACCCAGGTGACGGGATACAAAGGCGCAGTGTGTAGGTCTTCGGATTGAGGCAGTTCCATCCATGCAATTGAGCACGTCAAGGGCTAACACCAGTTGCTCAGTCCAGGCATTTTCTACGTATGAAGACGCGAGTGCATTTCTGACGGGCACCCCCCCCCCCAACGCGCGGGGTGCCACGCCCCTGGATGCAGAACCTACTCGATTCTACGGCGTTCAGCGCGGACGAGTTCCCGGCGTATACACGAATTGGGCAAAGGCCCAAGATCAAATCAAAGGATTTACTCGACCTCGGTATAAGAAATTTCCCACCCGGGCAGAGGCGGAGGCGTTCGTGAAGCAGGGTCAAGGGAGCAGCGGCGCTTCGTTTGCTGCGTCCGCGCCCAATCTGCAGCGTCTGCCGGGGGCCCCTGGAATGACGGACGAGGCCCCGCGAGACGAGCAGGGCGAATTGTTTGAGGCGGGCGATAGTTTTCTTCCCCCGGGCGCCGAGGACGGTTTCGACCCCAACGTCCTTTTCGATCCCAAAACCGGCAAAGTAGTCTACAAATCGAAGGAGCAAAAAAGTGCCACGAAGACAATGCCGACAGGTCCTCCCGGCATGCTGCGAATCTACACGGATGGCAGCTCTCTCAAGAATGGCCGCGCCCTTGCATCAGCGGGCGTTGGCGTATATTTCGGGCCTGGAGATAAAAGGTTTGCCGTCCTCCACTTTCGGCCTCTTGTTTTTTCTCCTTTGTTTCCATTCGCTGATGCTCGACTCTGCCTAGTAGAAATGTTTCCGAGCCCCTCAAAGGTAGCCGTCAAACGAATCAGCGGGCTGAATTAACGGCAATCCTGCGAGCCTTGGACATTGCACCGCGGCATCGAGACGTGACCATATTTACAGATAGCCGGTACGCGATCGACTGCGTCACTTCCTGGTTCATCAAATGGCGGAAGAACAATTGGATGACTGCCGGCAATAAACCGGTTGAGAATAAAGACTTGGTCCAATCCATACTCGTAAAGATAGAAGAGCGCGAGGAACTCAAGGTCAAGACCTTGTTCGAATGGATCAAGGGCCATAATTCAGATCCTGGCAACGAGGCGGCCGACCGCCTCGCCGTCAGCGGCGCCAAGCGTGGCGTGTCAGAAAAGGCGGCCGCGATGGAGGCTATGAAGGATATTCCGGACGAGGAATTCGATGATGATCTGTGAATCAAGAATTCTTTTCCCTTCGTCCACCTTTGTTTCCTGCTATTGTGTTCCCCTGACGAACGATAATGATGGATTTGCGTTTGTTCGAACCGAGCGGACTGGCTAGGTTGTCTGCATTGTATGTTTGTTATGTGCCAGCGTGAGAATTTAATAAGCCATAAGCTATAGTTAAACCACCAGCACAACCGTAGGATCATTCGTGGCACCGAATAGACGATGAATGCTTTCATGGGGTCGAGCAATCGGTCGCCTGTTACCCCATCGGGCATGGCGGCATGTGGCTTCCTCAGTCATCCGGTTTGGCCTGAGGTTTTCTTCTCCGTTCGTCCCTCTCTATCCTCCCTCTCATCGGAGTTTATCATATTGTGCATTGCTCAAGACAATAGTTCAACTCTATTTATATTTTTCTCTTTTAACTCCATGACAAGACAATTCTCGACCGGCAACATCTGGATCATGGTTGAATAACACACGCTTGTCCCCAAATCTGCGTGCAATACATACCTCCAAAACTTCCTTGGCGTCGTCGACATATTTGGCATTGTATTTTTATAGAATAGGATCGCCCACCTGGCGAAGTCAAGGACGGTGCAGTATGCCCGCTCTTTCGTTGATCAATTTCAACATCGTTTGTGCCACCCTGGGCGGCTTTATCTCGGTGTTCGGGCTCGTGTCCTACTTATTTAAGGAGCGATTCTACCTGTCCGAAGCATGTTCGTTGACTATCCCCAGTCATCCATTGTCCGAAACTGACACAGACTCAGTGATATCCCTTCTGGCGGGGGTCATCTTTTCCCCGCATGCCGCCAATTTCATACGGCCTCATGAGTATGCACAAGGCTCCGAACAGAACCTAGAGGAGATCACTCTGTATTTCACGCGACTCGTGCTGGGAGTGCAGCTAGTTCTTGCCGGAGTCCAGCTCCCTAAACGTTATCTTCAAATCGAATGGCGGAGTCTGTCGCTTCTCCTGGGGCCGGGGATGGCCGCTATGTGGATATGCAGTAGCTTGGTTGTTTGGGCGATGATCCCGAACTTCGAGTTTGTCCATGCCCTTGTAGTCGGGGCCTGCGTTACCCCCACGGATCCGGTTCTTTCGAACTCCATCGTGAAGGGGAAGTTTGCCGACAGGAATGTTCCCCGTGCCTTACAGCGGATCATTGTCGCCGAGTCTGGTGCTAACGATGGCCTTGGGTATCCTTTTCTGTTCTTTGGCCTCTATCTTCTCAAGTACGTGGGTATGAGTGGCGAGGGGTACAGCGGAGGTGCCGGGAAAGCCATGGGTCTGTGGTTTTACGAGACTTGGGCCTACACCGTCCTCTTAAGCGTTGTCTACGGCACCACCGTGGGTTGGATTTCCCGCGAACTGCTTCATTGGGCGGAGGAAAAGCGGTACGTTGACCGGGAGAGCTTCCTTGTCTTCGCCATCGCCCTTTCGGTATGTTTCCCAAATTCGTAAACCGTGGCTATTGATGACTGATATTGCGATAGCTTTTCATCTTGGGAACTTGCGGCATGATCGGGACCGACGACCTGCTTGCATGTTTTGTGGCTGGCAACGTTTTCACTCAAGAGTAAGCATCCCACCAATTGCAGGTCAAGAGATTCCACGCTGACCTGCAATTGAAGTGATTGGTTCCGTTTGGAGACGATGGATGATTCGTTGCAACCGACGATCGATATGCTGCTGAACCTGGCAGTTTTCATGTGGTTTGGCGCCGTCTGTCCGTGGTCCTCGTTTCTCAATAACGAGATTATTACCATCTATCGCCTAGTATTCCTAGGAGTCTTGATCTTACTTGTCCGCCGGATACCCGTCATTCTGGCAATGCACAAATACATCAACCAGATCGAGAATCTATTTCAGGCCTTCTTTGTCGGTTTCTTTGGGCCGATTGGAGTGGGGGCCGTCTTCTACCTATCGATCAGCCGCGAGTTTCTGCGTCAGATTACCACCTCTGACGGGCAGGTGCGTGAGGATGCCCAGCGAGTCTCGGAGGCGGTCGATGTAGTGGTGTGGTTTCTGGTCATCTGCAGTATCGTGAGTTCATCCCCTTTTACAAAAAATTCTTTCTCATTCAGGGCCTGCAGGTTGTCCATGGTCTGTCCATCCCCTTGGTGAAAGCAGGGTATCATATTCCCCGGACCATTTCCCATGCACTAAGTAATGCTACGACGATCGAAGTTGAGCCTGTCTCAATCGCGAATGTGCAGCATACCCATAGTACTGCGACCCGCGACCCCGAGGCTGCCAACACTCGAGGCCGCAAGCGCCCTTCGTCGCAGGCACCGTTGTCAACCGTGCTTCGAGTTGGTCGATCAATCATCAGGCCTCGTTCGACGGATCAGCCTCGACTAGGTACTGGCTATGCCGAAGAGCCCGAACGACCGGTGAAGCTCGTGGTCACTGGGACGACCCCTCCGGATGCAGCGAGCAGGTAGTCCGTCCTTTGTCAAACATAGAAACTTGTGATTTGTCGGTTTCAGCGATACGGCCTTGATAGTGTTTTGTTATATTCGGATCATTAATTATAGAATGTTTTCCCATGGACGGGTACAATAGGCTAAGGATTTGTTGGTTGATTATTTCGAAATTGAATCTGAATCACTATGTCCTGTTACAAACAACAGAGTTTTACAAACTCGGACTGACCAAGATCTTGCCTCACTTATTCTGTTAGACTACTATCTACATGACCCTAACATGTCTAAGGTCAGAAGAGACTAGAACTCCTAACACACGGACACGTTGCACATAGCCATTGTGTCCGACCCAGTTCAATATAAAATTAAGAAGATTTTCGAATTTTTCTAGGACAAAGCTTTTAGGTAGTGTCTCGCTGCACCCAAGTACCCGTTCCACCGACACACGCCGCACCTCCATATCATCACATACATCGCCTTTTAGTTTCGGTCCCTTGGCATCGCTCTCTCGGTACCTCTCTCGTTCTCTCGTTCTTCCAATAGTTCGTCGTTGGCACATGGTGCATGTAAATGATCCATTGCCTCACGCCGCCATAAGAGAAAAGATAGAAGGATCATGGAAGAGCATGAGAGCTGAGGGGAGAGGTAGAGAGAGGAGTGGAGGAAGAAGAACATGGGAGGACTGAATGGAACATGCAAGAGATGATCATTCCAGACAGCTTCCTCCCGCCACCGTTGGAAATCCAAGGAATCAGTCGCCATCAGAGGGGGGATTCGCCCATTTCCCCCTCTGTTTCTCAAGGAAGAACAATAAGAATATTGTCCGTTTGCAGGTCCTGATCCCTCGTTCTGCGTCTTATTTCTCGACATCATCCGAGCCTCCGTTTTCAGACGAATGAGCAAGAAAAAGGTAGAACGTACCACATCATCACTAGCGTCCTCATCCACGCGTCTATGGAAAAATAGGAAACATTCGTTCAGTCGTTAAGAGTCCCATTCACACGTCCACATATCAGAATCCAATCTGCTTCCGCCAAAGCAAATCGAGGGATATGCGAGGAAAATAAACTGGGGTATATATCAGAGCGACAGTCCACTAGATGGAGCATCGCAAACAGTTGGAATCGATCAAAGAAATGATGAATCAATCCATCACTAAGAACAGAGTTTCTTGATTCATTCATCACGAATGCAAAAAGCAATATGCAGGAAGAAGGAAGTAAACAAGATATTAAAAAAGAAACTGTAATTGAAATCGAAGAAAATGAGAAGGCAAAGGAAAAATCGAAGCGGGTATTGAAAATGTTGGAGATGATGATTCTAGTCGTCCCAAAGAGAAGCGCCCCCACAACTCTTTAGGTAGATTTGACTTGTCTCCGCAATCGATGTAGAGTTCAATAAATGTTGACCAGGAAAAGTTACTTCCATGGCTTCCCTAGGATGGCGCAGGGTTCACCCCGCTTGTCAAAGAATAGTCTTTTTTTTGTTCTTTTTTTGTTTTTAGATGATAGGTAAATGCCTTTCTTCAGATGAAGAGGAAAGAGGAATCACTGCCTTCGTGTTGTAGTTGTATGTATGTGCAGTTGGGGAAAGAGAAAACACGAAACAATCAGGCAATCCGCTCGTAAAATAGCAGATATGCCACCTTGTTGTCTCGAATGCTATATCGGTCATGAGACGTGCGGGACGAATTCCCGTTCACAACCGCCGAGGTGGACTTCTTGCTGGAGTGACCACTGGAACCGGCTCCGTTAACCTGGCTCCAGCCTCGTTCGTTGTCGGACTGTTCCAGATCATCAATATGATCGTAGATATTTGCATTGGGATCCTTATCGCGCTTGTGCTGCTCGAGTGCCACCGCAAGCACCTTGGGATCTTCTTCGCCTCCGGCCTCGGCAACATCTTCGGCTCGAACGCGCCGAATGACAGTGTCATCCAGGCGAATCCATTCGCGACCATTCTGGCGGCGCACGTCCACAGTATAATGACCGCCGCTGGCATTCTTGCCGTGGTGATAGATCACTCCAATCAGGCGGTACTTGGGAAGACCGCCCTGAGTCATCATGATATTGCGTCTGTTCGGAGGAAATACTTCACGCGGAATTTCCAAGTCCAAGGGGTATCCAATTTTCTTCCAGATCTTCTGTGTCCCATTGGTCACGCTGTCATATTGGAAGCGCTTGAGGTGGAGGATCAGCACGGGCGGCAGGTCCTCGATGAAGACCTGCTTCGTCGCGGTGACATTGGAGCCCCGCGACGAGTTGAAGTCGCCTTGGATGCTCTCAGGCCTAGTCAAGCCCTTGAGAGCGTCAACAATATTGCTAATCTCGGGGGAGCCGATGTCCAGCTGAAGAGGTTGGTAAGGTTCCAGGGTCACAGAGGTCTTGTTGCCAGGGACCCTGAACTCGGATCGGATCTTGCCGCCAAAGATCTTGGTTATGGGAGATTCTTGGGCGATGTGGCCGGACGATCGCGTCACTGCCGGCTTTTGTTTGTGACCAACTTCCATCCACCCGTCCCCAGACTCTCCGTCCGTGGCAGAGGATTCGTCATTAGAAGGGGCTGCCGACCCGTCAGGCGCGGAAGAAGCATCCTTCGCAGCACGAGCACATTCTTCATGCATCTCTTCCAGCAAAAAGCCCAAGAATTCCTGAGCATCCTGCTGATGGCCACGCTAGAAACACATGTTAGCACAAAAAGAGAACATTTGCGTAATATGAACCAGGTTACAACTTACTCGCATATCGCGGAAGCGTGGAAGCTGTCTAATAACTTGATAAACAAATTCCGGAATAAAAGCTTCGCCGTACTCTTCCAGCTCGTTGGCCTTCAATCGTAGTTTCAATTGTTCTTCTGATTGAGCAGCGTCGATAATACGGAATTCTTTCATAAACATAATCCTAAAAGCAGGGAAATCAGTGTTTGTTGCAAATCAAGAGGTAAAACGCCAGCTTACATAGCATCAACTAATGGAAAATCGCTGTGGAAGCTATGCGACGCTCGTCTGCCGATATGATCCAAAAACTGATAGAAAGGAACGCACGAAACCAGAATTTGAAGGACCTAAGCTTTGTTAGACGGAGTAAGAAGAGAAAAGAACGAAGGGTGGGCATACAGAATTCATATAACACATGTTCCCAGTATTTACAAGTCCTCTGGGTTCAAGGAAAGCAACTTTATCGCTGTATTGAGAGACATCATCTCCAAGACTCGTCAAGACATCTGCAAGCGACTCGTTCTTAGGCTTGACCACGCCGTTTGACACAGCAGATGGGGTTCCCGAAGCGGCCGCGCCCTTGGCAAGTGCCTTGGAGCGAACAAGATCCGCCCAGGACTTAGGTGCCGCAGGGGGGGAGGCTGGCTTGGGCGCCTCTTCGGAGCTACCGTGGGCGGATGCACTCTCAGGTGCAGTCGCACTGGCCTCATCGGTGATAACACCTTCGGATGGCTTTGCCACGGCTTCGGCGGAACGACTGACTTCCTCCTTAGTTACTTGGCGCGAAGCGACACCCGATACCACCGGAACAACGGGCACCACGGAGGCTCCTGATTTGGACCCTTTAGACTGCGACTGGGGACGTGCAGCAGGATGAACGGCCGACGACGGCGTAGTCGGCTGCGTAGAATTCGCAGTAGCCGTCGGGGCGACGGACAGGGTTGGAGACTGAGGTTCCGATGGTGTCTGTGCAAGCGAATCGGCGGGTTTCTGGTCGCCAGCTTTCTCAACGACGGACCGCTGAGAAACATCTTTCGAGGGGAGCTCAACCGAAGCTGACGAAGACTGCAACAACCGGTCTTTCCGTCGGCGGCGGGGGACTCTGGCGGGAAATGGTAGTTCAGGAACAGAGAGCCAAGGAAGCTGTGTTTTTGTCAGAGATTTTGTGTCAGAGATGTCGGTGGGAATGGGGACTTACGGGCGGGTTGAATGGCTCTTTGGGCTCTGAGGCCGGGGCGGGGGCCGGGGCCGGAGCGATCTTTTCCGCCGGAGGGACAGACGGCGAGGGTATGGCAGGGCTAGGTACCGGATGGACGGGAAGAATCGCCGGGGACTGCGCTTGCATACCGAACGGAGCAGGCGCCGGGCCAACAGTAGGCGACATGGCGGGCTGGAGGGGAGTCGAGGTCCTGGGCTGCATAGGAAGTGACGGAGGGGGCATGTGGGCGGGAGCCATGACCGGCTGTGCAGGAGGGTATGACGAAACGAACATCGGTGCGTACGGAGGCTGGAATGGACGAGGAGGTGGTTGCATCTGGGGGTACGGCGGCGCTGCCGTCGGATGATACCAATGAGGATATTGCTGCGGCGAGTAAGCGGGAGGGAATTGGCCATTCATGTGAGGAGGATATCCCATGTATGCGGGAGGCGAGCGCATATTGGGAGGTCCCGTGTACATGTCTTGCTGTCTTCGAGAAGCGGCCAAGGGTGGCTGCCCATGGGGCATAGCGGGCAGGTGATGGTTCATCATGTCTAGACGTCGGAGGGTCGTCTCGACGATTCAGCCACGCGTTGCCTCAATGGGAGCCATGCGAATCGGGGAGGAGACGGGAAGAGGGAGGCGATGTCGAGACGGAAAGGGAGAGGAGAGAAAGGCGTGAACACCCGTCTAAGCAGCCATTCTTAACTTCGCAATCGGAGGACTAAAGACCGTAAAGATAAATTGGCGCAGTCGATGGGGGAAGAAGTTTGGCGCTGGTGGTCCTGTTCAAGCCTAAGGGATTTGTTAAAATGGTGCGCGATCGGGGGAGGGAAGGAGAGAGGGAACGATGAAAGCACGATGAAATTAAAGGGGGGGGGGAGGGAGATGAACAACATACCTGAGACAGGACGCTTAAGTGAGAAGACAGAAGATTGACTATACCTCGAGTTGGGGGAGGGCGCGAGGAACCAGCGACGACAGACAAGGCGGAGGGCAGAGCAAGAGAGAGGAGTTGCTGAGCTGAGATGAGATGATGTTTTTTTGGGTGCGCACGTGCCTGAGGCGCCGGTCGTGCCAAGACATGACATACTCCGTACTCGCCCCTCTCGCCCGTTTCTCTCTCTCTCTCTCCCCCTCTATCTCTGTTCCCTCCCTCCACCTCAAGTCTAGGAGAAGCAAGCATCGCCATCCTCTGCTGCTTCTCCTCCCCTTTCCATCCTTAGAGTTACTATGGGATGAATTTGTTTCGTTTTCATCCATAACCCCTTTCTTTTCCTCGGGCCAAATTGATCGGCGCAGTCTCTGGCGCAAGATACCCTCGGAGTCATTCCCCTCGCTTCTTCTCTTCCTCCGGCTGCGACGCAGCGATCCACGCTCATTTCGAACAAGTGGGCAATGTCATCCAATGCTGGCCAGACATCAGGCTCTTCCAAACCGCTGAATATTTCGAGTCAATCCGCATCCGCAACATTTCACTCGGCCCCTTCGGTTGATAGCGGTTCGCAACGACGTGCGGGAGGCTCGGGCAGTTTTGGAGCAGGATTATCATCAAGGAACTCAAGTTCTCCGAGAAACTATCAGTCTCGGAGGAATAGGCACAAAGAAGCGCGTCCTCGGTTGCTGGATGATGACGATTATAGCGAATCCGTAGGTGTCCCCTCTCTTCCCCCGGCCGGATTGAGTCAATCCATTCTGATCAAGTGTGGAACACATTGAATAGGCCATCATGAGATCAACTACCAGTCGTAAGGGACAGACGTCCATTACCCATCTTATGAACTTTTCCCTTCCCCCACGCCCGCAGTATCAACCCCCACCGCGCAACATCCGCCGGTATGGGTCATGGGGTCTGGGGTCCGGATACCACGCTATGGACAAGGCTCGATATGTTCATGCAAATTATCGATTTATCGTAACGCCCAATAGAAGTTATAAAGCCCAAGCAGCTAATGCGGATGTTCACTTGGACTGGGATTCCGTTCTCCAGGTGCTAGTGTCGGCTGAAACCCAATCCGCCAGCTGCCCCATTTGCTTATCGACGCCAGTAGCCCCTCGAATGGCTCGGTGCGGTCATATATTCTGTCTCCCGTGTCTGATTCGCTACATGCACTCGACCGACGACGAGAATCGTGCTCCTGAGAAGAAAGCACGGTGGAAAAAATGCCCCATCTGCTGGGACTCGATCTATATCTCGGAGACTCGGCCTGTGCGATGGTTCCGCGGCCAGGAGGGCGATTTGCCCGTCGAGGGTGGAGATGTGGTGTTACGGCTGGTCAAGAGGGAACCGGGTAGCACGTTAGCCCTCCCTCGAGACGGTGCGGAGGGTCTTGGACCTGAAGAGGATATTCCGTGGTACCACGCTGCGGAAGTCGCCGACTATGGCCGTATGATGAAAGGGGGCGAGGACTACATGAACGCCCAGTACGATCTCGAGATCGAAGAGCTCCGTCGGCAGGAGCTAGAGGATGAGCTTCTTTTCGGTGACGAGACCACATGGACCCGAAAGGCCGTTGCCGCCATCAATGATGCCAAAGTGAAGCTCCAGGGCATTGGCAACCCACCCGATATCTCACACCAAACTCCTGTCACGAGACAAGCAAGGGATCCCGTCCCTATACAGTCTCCTCCAGATGAGGTTGCCGTCATGTATACGTCTCAGCATGCGACTAAGTCGGGGAAGAGTTCCTCGGCAGAGTCAACATCACCGCTGGCTACTTCAAGCGAGACAGATCACATCACACAAGCCATGGGCCAGGTCGACCTCGGCTCGGGGCCCGATGCAAAGTTTAAGCAGAGAGAGCCGGGAATCGGCCGAATGCGACAAACTAACGGCTCCCAAGCCCCCGACCATCCATTTTATTTCTACCAGGCTCTGCCTCAGTTCTACCTCTCCCCTCTAGACATTCGCATTCTAAAGGCTGCTTTTGGTGATTACTCCGTGTTTCCCGCCACTATTCTTCCCCGGGTCGAGCATATCTCCACTGGACATATTGTCGATGATGAGCTTCGCAAACGGGTCAAATACCTCGGTCATCTCCCCCAGGGCTGCGAAGTGAATTTCCTTGAGTGCGACTGGAGAGATGTGGTTGTGCCCGAAACCCTAGAACAATTCGGTGCTGAAACTGGTCGGCGACGAAAGCGAAACAAGGAGAAAGAGATGCGCGAGGAGAAGGACCGAGTTCGTGCAGAGAAGGAGGATGACAAGCGGTGGGTTGCATCTCATCGGAAGAGATCCAGCATGGGCATCAGCGATCCGCCATTTTCCGATCGAGATTTCCAGCCATTGGCGAGCGGGGCATTTGATATTGGTCCATCTTCCGCATCGCCTCCGCAGCCCTCATCGAATTTCGGGGCGTTAGCGTCACCCTCAACCAGTCCTCCAGGGGCTCGCACTGTATGGGGGACGGCCGCCGTAGCACACTCCGAACCGACCGATTTGCAACCCGGAATCACTCCTCGCGATGGGTGGCTTGAGGGATGGGAAGAGGAATTGTTTGCCCAACAGGAGCGAGAGCTCCTAGCACAGACGGCTACCGAAGCTGGAAGCAGCAACCCTCCTCCACCCTCGACTACGGGCGGAAAGAAGAAGAAAGGCAAGAAGATTACGTTGATGTCAACAAATATCCAGAGAGGTGCCTAGCCTTTTTGTCTTCATTTTGGTTCCCGCTTTCTTTTATCCCTCGTGAATGATTGTCTAGATTTAACCCTCATAATGGTTTGACCCATTGAGTGTAATTATTGTCGTTTTTTTTTCTGGAGTGTGGGTAAGATGTATTTTCCGGGAGACGCATGAACAAGGAGTTAGATGGATTTTGTTCTTATTGCATTTGTTGAAACTATATACATACACATATTAACGTGAAAACATGATCAAATGAATAGATTCTGTTCCTATTCTTTCCTCCCCCTATCTTTCCTACAGGTCCTCTGTTTCCAATAGACATTTTAGCTTATGCAATCCTGGCGCACTGCTCCGATTAATCAGGGGTAAATAGCCAATGCGAGAGAAAAGGAAAAAATTAATTGCTCGATAGATATGTCTCGAGGGTCTCGACCCAACGAAATAAATCAGCGACTGGTCGTTCTCTCTGAGACAGCATGCTCCCCAAACGGTCCCTGATCGTCCCTTGCCCAGGAAGAGACGGGTACGCCGGTGCTAGCAAGTGAGACAAGCAAGTCGACAGAACCAATTATCGGGGCGTGGCAAGTCCTCCAGTTGCTCCACCACAGAGAACACTGTCGATCCCCTTCGATATTGTATGAATTGTTTCCTGTTGAACCGGATTTTGCTCGATTCAGACCGCGGAACCGCGACCGACATGTCACCCTAATATTTTTAGATTGTCTTCCTGCAGACATCTTTGGGACATAAATATCGCAGTTGTCCCCCCTCCCATTCCGTCCGGTCTATCATATCCACCATATCCACCATATCCATCTAATCGTAGCTTTTTAACCTTCACGCTTTTCTCACCCACAAAATGAAGCTTTCCGTTGCCGTTGCCTCCGTCCTGGCCGCCAGTGCCTCCGCTTTCGACAAGTACCAGCGTAAGACTTGCCCTTCCATATAGCCTCCTGTCCAGCGTATCTGACCCAAATAGCCTGGGGAAAGCGTGATTACTCCTGCGTCAACATCTACCAGGGCATCCCCGACAACTCGACCGTGGCTCCTGGTGACCAGATTGACCTCCGATTCAACCGTGCCCCGACGACTCACTGCGCCGACCCCCTGAACAAGTACGAGGCCGACAGCTACAGCGTCTGGTTGTACAACAACCCCGTGCGCCACCTCGACACTATCCACTTCGACCAGCAGCTCCGATTGAAGACCGGCATCCGCGAGTCGGACGGCGCCGTCACCGTCACCATCCCCAAGAACGCCACCGCCGTCAAGGACAACTCCGTCTGGTACCTGCGGGTGGATACCGTCCTGTCCAATGCTCCTCAGGTAAGTTGGGCTACCAGTGGTCTGAATGTTTACAGTACCTTTCTTCATAACATCCGAGATCTGTTCCTGACCATCCTGTAGATGCCGAGTCTCTACGACGCTCTCGGTCCTTTCTCCATCAAGGCTTGAAGGAACCCAAATCTATAAGATCGTTAGATCCGACGATGATTTTGGGTTTAGACGGTGCAATATGGACGTCCACATTAAGGTGGGGGTAGGCACAGGAAATCACGGAAGCAGCTTGAATTATGTTTAAGCAAATTATTTGACAGATTCTTAATATTCGTAAAAGTGTGACAAAAATACCGATTCTAGGCTGACAGTATTGGGTACCTTATAAGGAAGAGTATGGGAGATGTTGATTACCTCCGCTAAGCTAATGCAAGGTCCTGATATGATCAATCGATGCGCTTAAACGACCTCTCAACATCAAAGACAACCTGGTCCCGAGCGCATTTGCAAGATTCCCCCTTACCTGTGTAACACGATAAGCAAGCTCATAACCGTAAAAGAAGCTGATTCATTGTGCCGTTCCATACAGAACCCATCTGCTCAATTTAATACCAGACATTGGGCGTAGAGTCCCAGAACAATTTCGAGCATTCTCGACACATGTGAGACGATGTATACAGTATATGAATAAAGTGTCGGCGTGTCGCACCGACTGCGGCAGCAGCAGTATGCCGTGATGACCTCTTCTCCAGCCAGTGCGCATACCGGTCTCATGCGGTAGCGAGGAACACTTTTTAGCCTAACAAACTTCCAGCTCAGTACTATCTTTACGAAGTCATTTGACTCGGAAAAAAGATTCCATGGCTCCTGCTTCTTCCCCTGTCGCAAAGATATCGTCCATTCGCAAGTCGATAGAAAGCCATATTGGCACCAATTACAGGGCATACACCGGGAAAACCCCCGACCTGATGACTACCCACCAGAATGTCGGCATTATACAAAATAATACCGTACCTACGATACGCGCCCCGAGGAAATCAACATTCTCTGCCTTCCCTCTTTCATTTCTCCCTCATTTCCTCCTCGCGTCAATCCCGCCGCTTCTGGACTTTTCATTAGGGTTATTTTGGACCACCTGGACTTTCTCTTCTGCATTGCCCTCGTCGCATGGTCAGATCATAATGACTATCACACGCTCTCAGACGGGGAAAACCCCTAGGTAAGTCTCCCGTCATCCTGCCAGGGAATGTCCGCTGCGGCAAAATAAAAAAGAAGGGGGTCAAGTCGAATAAAAGAGGCCACCTGGTGGTTGTCGCCCCAATGCATTCGGCCTCGACCTCTCTTCCTTTACCGCCTAGGTCGCTCTCGGGCCTGGTCTCTGTGCAATTGCTTTTTCAAATGGCTTGAAACTGACCTCTGTGCCTTCTTCGCCAGGAAAATGGAGCGTCCTGGCTTCATTGAAACCCCCGGCCGTCGGGTCACCCGCAACAGCGCATTGGCATCTGACACCAACACTGATGATGCTTCCGACTCTGCTATCGATATTCGAGAAAACTCCAAGTCCGCGACTCGCAGGCGCACTTCCACAAAGCCGAAACCCGAGGATACCTCTGAGGACGCCTCAGAGGAAGAACCCAAGGGAAATGCGACGACCGAAAAGAAGCCTCGGGTGGTCGACGGTTGGGAGGAGGGCAAGGACCCCAAAATCGACTACAGCGGCCACTTTGAGTTTGGTGGCTCCTACGGCGTGCTGTCGATGATGATCGGGTTCCCGTTGTTGATGTACTACATGTGGATTGGCGCCACCTACTACGATGGCAAATTCCCCCGTCCGTCGGACGGCCAGAGTACCGCGGGCTTCGTCGCGCATCTGGTTCATTTGGTGTACGAGGGCGCGTTCCCCTCTTTGAAGGCGTGGACTATCTATTGGGTGTTCTTCGTCTTTGAAGGCGCCTGCTACTTGCTCCTCCCCGGCATCACCGTCATGGGTCGTCCGCTTCCGCAGCTCGGAGGCAAGCAGCTGCCCTACTACTGCTCGGCCGTCTGGTCCTTCTACACGAGCATTGTGCTGGCCTTGTTGCTGCATGTCACCGGGGTCTTCAAGCTCTACACCATCATCGACGAGTTCGGCCCTCTCCTGAGTGTCGCCATTCTGTCCGGCTTTCTGGTTTCTTTCATAGCCTATTTTTCGACACTGTACCGTGGCGCCGAGCACCGCATGACCGGCCATCACATCTATGACTTTTTCATGGGCGCCGAACTCAACCCTCGCATGTTCGGCATCCTGGATTTCAAGATGTTTTTCGAGGTCCGCCTCCCCTGGTACATTCTTCTTTTCGTCACCATGGGTGCGGCGGCCAGGCAGTACGAGGTCTACGGATACGTGTCTGGAGAAGTCGGGTTCCTGTTGATGGCGCATTTCCTCTACGCGAACGCCTGCTCCAAGGGCGAGGAGTGCATCGTGTCGACTTGGTAAGGCCTCTGGTCCGATTTGAGAGAAATGCTAACAAGGAGTAGGGACATGTACTATGAAAAATGGGGCTTCATGCTGATCTTCTGGAACCTGGCCGGTGTCCCGCTCAGTTACTGCCACTGCACGATCTATCTGGCCAACCACGACCCGGCCACCTACCACTGGAACCGCTACTTCCTGGTGGTTCTCTACGCCGCGTATCTCTTCGTTTACTGGATCTGGGACACGACTAACAGCCAGAAGAACCGCTTCCGCCAGCAGGAACGGGGTACCCTGGTCTTCCGGAAAACCTTCCCTCAGTTGCCGTGGCAGACCGTGGAGAACCCCAAGACGATCACTTCTGCGGACGGCTCGAAGATCTTGGTCGACGGCTGGTGTAAGTGATCTGATCCTTGTTGACCTCCAAAAAAAAAAAACGCCGTTGCTTACTCTTTGAACAGATGGCAAGGCTCGCAAGATCCATTACACCTGCGATCTCTTCTTCGCCTTGAACTGGGGCCTCATTACCGGCTTCAACAGCCCCTTCCCCTGGTTCTACCCTCTGTTCTTTGCGTGCATGATTAGCCACCGAGCCATGCGCGATATCCAGCGGTGCCGGAACAAGTACGGCGAAGCCTGGAGGGAGTACGAGAGACAAGTGCCCTACTTGTTTATTCCCGTGAGTTTTTAACCCGCGCATACCGCCTGCGATCAAATTCTAACCGGTAGAGCAGTATGTGATCTAAGAAGAACGACCCGATACCCTCAGACAGCTTCCGTCGCGATATTAATGGCCATGGTCGCGACGGGCGCTGCATTTTCAATTCATTCCCCGAACCTTTCGACTTCTATAGGGTCCTATGCACCGCCTTTTAATCCTCATCTGCCAAGTTTGGTAGGGACATACATGCGCATCCCGCGTTGTACCCGTAGCCAAAGCGTGCTGCTTTTGTCTTGTTTTTGAACTCTGCCATTTGCCTGGCTTTAATTCGAAAGATTTGTCTGTCTTGTTCTATACACGCCTTTATCATTCCATGTACATTATTTCCCTGCCATGATTTGGGCTCCTCTGCTTTTTTATGTCTAATACTTGAAAACGTGGATGCGCTGTGAATGTGATGATTGAATTGATGACTGTAGAAGAGAAAATCCCCCCTCTGAATCACATGACCAGGACCCCTCGATGCGGTCTTATCGATAGACCCCGCGGTGTTTTTCTGCTCTTCTTGAGTACTTCAAAAGACAGACAGCCCAGTCCGTCAGACTTAATTAGCGCACAATGTTGATCCAAGAATCCTTCCACGATGTGCCGACCAAGGCGGACGGCAAGGGAAGCATGCGTATGTATAGGAAACCGCCCTCAAATACGACTGCTGACCCGAGTGCGCCACCCAAGGCATCTATGTCTTCCACCCTACCGTCCCCGGCTACCCCAAGGCCCGATTCCCCGGCGTAGTAGTGTTTAGTGAAATCTACCAAGGCAAGGCAGCCACCGCCGTTTCCAATTCTCCGCGTTTTGGACAGACAGGTCATCAAAACTGACTCGGACTCCCCCGCATAGTCACGGGTCCTGTTGCGCGCTTCGCCAGACAAATCGCCGGCCAAGGGTACATTTGCGCGGCCCCGTCAACTTATCATGAATTCACTGGCCCGGAGCCATTGGAATACAATGCCGAGGATACGGACAACGGGAACAAGTGGAAAATCACCAAGGTGCGTATCGATCTTTTATGAGGGTTACATCGGGCCAGTCCGACCGTGACCCGAAGCAGGTTTTCTGACATTGTCTCTTCTAGAAACTGGCTGCTTACGATGAGGACGCCTCGTTGTGCGTGGACTACCTTTTGTCGCTCCCCACGTGCAATGGTCGTGTCGGTGCAACGGGTATGTGCCTGGGCGGACATCTTGCGTATCGCTGTGCGTTGGACAGCCGAGTGAAGGCAGCGGTGTGTTACTTCGCCACGGATATCCATAGCAAGACTCTGGCCGAGGGCAAGAACGACGATAGCTTGGCGCGAGCCGGCGATATCAAGGGGGAACTTCTCATGGTAAGTCCTTGTTTTCAACCCTTGTCTTACACATTGGCGACAAAGATCCAGCCGTTGGCGGTCGGCGTGGTTCTATTTGTCGCCAACGTTTCAAGGCCCTTCCCTTCATCTTGATTCTGTACTACCTGCTAACGAGATGGGGCAGATCTTCGGAAAGAATGACAACCATGTCCCACCTGAGGGAAGGGATTCGATCCGGAAGACGCTTCATGACCGAGGAGTCTTGTTTGGCTTTTACGAGGTGGCTTGGGCTCAGCGTACGTTGCTAGGGAGTAGCGTCCGAGGGGGTGTTTCTACTTCCCTTCCCTTCCCTTCCCTTCCCTTCCCTTCCCTTCCCTTCCCTTTTCTAGTCTTTTATTTAATTTGACTTTATTTCTTCGTTTGCTGATATCGGGGATCTAGATGCGTTTATCCGCGATGAACTCAGCAAGGGACGATACGACCCCGCCATTAGCAAGGTCTGCTTCGAGATGCTGCTTGAGTTGTTCGGACGAACCTTAAAGCTGGACCTGGGCGAGCATGACGGGAAGGAATTGGAGATCGAGGATGTCTGCTAGATCTACTAGATACATGTTGCCGATCGCCAGGTGGGCACAATCAGGTCGATCCTGCTGCGAAGTGTGAGCACTGACTAGGCAACGAGATAAGGCAATGCCACCTTGCTTTGGGTCGTTGAGGGCGACCACAGTGGCAGTGACCAAGTGCATCTCGGATGTCATCTACTACTATAGTATGGAAATTGAGGGTTGCGTCATAACGCGCAGGCAACAGTGGTTCAAGATCCAGTGTGTCCAGTAGTTTTTCATTCTAGTTGGCACGTACTAGTCTTCGGAGATTGCTATTTCTGGCCAACACCAGGCCACTCTCACGTAAGGTGTTCTTCGCCGACATCGAGAGCATTGCATGGGGAAATAAGATGTCCAGTACGGAGTACATCTCATTACCTTCTACTCCGTAAGAGAGATCGGCCGACGCAAGGACGGAGCGGTAAATTGATTAACGTCGTTACTGGGACCAGCCCCAGTTGCCATGGATATTCAACGGCGATAACTGTAATTGAATCTGAGTCTGTGTGGACTGTGGACCGATCTGAGCGACAGATCCTAGGTAGATATAGATAGGTCGAGGGAAGAGACTTCCACTGGAATGTTGCTCTAATCTATAATTAGGGGGGGGGGGGGGGCGAATGAGGCTTGGAATTGAAGCGAGCCGCGATCCATGGACGACCGACCAGGGCAAAGTCTGGTTCTTCCAGAGCAGAAAGTAGAGGTACCTGAAATTGATGGCTGCACGAATCAAGGGTCTCGGATTCGAGGCCACGAGCCAGGAACCCATCCATGCATCCAGCCTCTCTCTCCATCCCATCAAGGGACGGATCTTGTCCGGTCCATAATTATCAGTCGGATTTCTCGTCGCAACAGCCACTCCGTTAGTGTTTGCTAGTCTTGACCCATTCCACACTAGCCAGTCTGTTAGTCTGGTTAGTCTCTAGTCTGTGTCCGTTTAGTCGCCAACTTGCTCGACGCCCTCATTTCTCATTTCCACCCGAAATCCAATTGTCTCCAGTTTTTCGCCTACTCTGTACTCCCGTCAGAGTAAGACCGGAAGGCTGAAGTCCTCTCGACCTCGCCCATCGCCATCGCGTCGGATCTTCTCCTCACATCCACCATCAATCTTATTCTCCCTCCTGCAGACATCCTGCCCCACGCTCTCGACTTCCTCTTTCGCTTCTTCTTCTTCTGCTGCTGCTTCGGTTCGCTCGACCTTGCAGTTCTTTCGTTCAACTTAATCTAATCCACTTTCGACCCGTCTCGTCACTCCTGCAGGTCTGACGGTCAAACCCAACGTGTCAATCCTCTCTTTCTCCTCTGGCCCCGTCGCTTCGGGCTCATTGCGATAACAGCAAATAAGAATCTACATTAATTTCGCTGGCTCCTCCCCTCGTCTGGCAATCTTGAATCTTCTTTCCACACGATCCTCTCCGGTCACTCCATCCCCCGATCAACCATAGAAAATACGAGAAGTTTAATAATCCCGCCCGAATTTCTTGCACCGGAGATCTGCGCCGGGTAACGTTCATAATCCGGCCCTGAGCGTGGGTCCGAGGAAATCGTCCATTTTAACCACGCCGCCGCGCCTCGCTCGTTCTGCTCCTCGCTCTCCCTGCCAAAATATCCTTCGCATGGTCTATCGTGCCCACCATCGATAACCATGGGATCGACACAGTTTGGCAAATTCCACGTGAGTCGCCGACCTCCCACCAGCTCTCGGTGGTGAAAGGGGCAGAGTCGATGGGATTGAGAAACAAGAGCATTCTACTGACCGTTGATCGTCGGCACGTGTAGGACTTCTGCCGGGATTCGACTCTACCGGTCTGCAATGTACGTGAATGGATTCCAACGTTCCCTCCCCTCCTGATGGATATATGCTTTATGATATATCCAATTGCTTGCCTACGGTCATTATACCATTGGTCCGCCACGTCTCGCTAATCCCCGGTCTTCTTGCGCCTCAGCTTTTTGTCGACAACAATCAGCCCCCTAATAAAGCGTTCGACGGATGTCCACTCCTCGGCATCGGCCTCAGCGGTGATCGAAACCTCAGCAATTTGGGTATGGTATTCCAAGAATTCACGGTACTGCGTGCACCAAGGTGGCAGCGCTGATATTTTCGCAGGCTCGATTTTGCTGGCCTTCATCGCCATCTTGACGTCGCTTTTCCTGCTGTGGCGGTCAGACCGGAAACAAGCGGCCGTTGGGAGAAGGTAGGTCGGAATTAAATGGCGGCGAAATGGATTGGGGTCGCTGACTGACGGTCTGATAGGGAAATACAACTATTCTTGCTGGGTTTTATCGTCATTGAGATTTGCGAAATCTTCAGCGTGGGCGGCTTCCCCCTTGATAGCGCAGTTCGCAAGGTATGAATGATATTGACTGCTCGTGAGTCGATGAAACTCATCCGTCTTCTTTTTTTTTTTTTTTGCTAGGGCTTCTCGGCTGCGCATATCGCCGCAATTACCGCAACATGTTGGATTCTCTTGTTAAACGCTCTGGTGGGATTCCAGTTCCTCGATGACGGCACCCCCGCTTCCCTCGGTCTCTTCGTCGCGTCCGCCATCGTGTTTTTCATCGGTACGGGGTATATCGCCTTGGATACAGGTTTTAACTGGACCGGGGAGTTCGCGCCGAACGAGTCTACCGGCTACCGCAATATCGCGCTCTACGTGCTTTACCAGCTGTTTCCCCTCGTCTGCTTGGTGCTATTCTTTGTGTTGGAGACCGTCCTCGTGATCCGCGTCCTCGGGGAGTTCCGACCAATGTGTAGGTTTCCCTTGGTGTTCCTCCCCCCAGGCAGCTTGACTTGCTGGGTATGGTCTTCGGAAACTGACTGTCGCCCATAGTTTACCTGATCGGTGCCGGTCTCCTATTCGCCATCGGGCAAATTTTCAACTACGTGATCAGCACCCACCTCTGCCAGGCGACCAATGGAAAGATCAACGGCGCTCTGTTCGAGACCCTCTTCACCCTCTTGTCGGTGGTCACGATTTGGGTTTTCTGGAGCAGCATCACGGAGGATGACTGGCCCGTGCCGACGCTCCCCGGCGGAAGCTACAACAACTAATTGACCCGTTGTAACAAATATGCCCGCAGATCATTTGCCATATTCATTTTCGTCACTCTCCTTAGAATCTCGACTCGACATTTGCCGTTGGAGTCGGTGCGCGATCCCGGGGGGTCTTTCCTCCCCGAACACACGCCGACCTACTTGTCTTTTGATCTAATACCCTCCCTTAACCTGCATCTGCGATGTTTTACTGTCTATGATATGTTTTCCACGGAATCTGATGAGTCCGAAATGTTTTGATACCATGTTCTTACCTGTTCTATACCTGATGTTTTCACGATACTTTCTTGATGTGACCTTCGAGGCATGGTTTACGCCTTGATTCTGATCGTTTACCATGCATTTATTTTCTCTGTCTGTTGATCTCTCTGCAAGGCATCGTTATGGTCACTGTTGGCATACTCGTTTACTATATCTTTTTCTTTTTCTCTCCCTCTATCACCCGTGTTAGATACCTATTTGCTTGTAATTAGTGTGTATCTTTTATGTTTAATAATCAATCCCTACCTATCTATCATTTCTGAATGTGAATGCGCATCAAGCAACATAAAATCCGTTAAGTATTTGATTCAAGAAGGGAACCCTTCTCTCGGGGATGAATCCTCCCAGTCATAAACAATTACAGAGCTTAGGCTAAATGTATGTATGTACATGTAGGTATAACGGAGGTCGAACCTCCAACTTTGGAAAAGAAAACAATGACAGAAAGGAAAAGAAAAATATCGCTGCAAGGACAGACAAGCGTATGAATCAAGGTAGAGAAAAGACGCTCGCAGCTGGAACAATAAAGAAAATAGCACACCATGCTCTCTCACACACTCTCTCTTTCTGTGTCTATATTTGTAACTCCTCATTTACGAGGAAACTCGTCAACCAACATAGCTTTGCTTTTTCATCTTCCCGCCGAAGCCTTTCCAGTGTGATGTGTTCAGTTGAAACAGCAGGGATACGACGCTCGTTCTTCTTCGCAAAGAGCCGGAAGTAAGAGTATGCCGGACCTCGGAAGTAGAGGATGCGAGTTGGCGGGAATATGAAAACGTGTCAACGAGCGGCATATAAATACCATCGCAGGAAGAGCGACTGAGTATAATTTCTCCTCCAAGGTTTATGTATCCCCCACCCCCTTTTTTTTTTTTAAGAAGTTGAATACTCCCAACCTCCCCGATCTTTTTCACCATCTATAACCGGATCTTAACATCCACACAGGGAAGGGTCCATTCGCGTCGTCCCAGCAAGCTGCGCAACCACTCCAGTCCGATCCCGGTCCATTCGTCCTGGCGCAGATCCGAGATCCCGGCCGCCGCGTCAACGGAGGTGCCGTTCAGGGCGAGACGGCGCTGGGCCTCGTCGACGACGGCAGCGGCGAGGGCCTTGGTGGTCGTGTTGACGGTCTCCCAGACGTACTCGGCTAGGGTCTCTGAGGGGGCCAGCATCGAGACATTCGCGGGGGAGGAGTAGAAGGCGGAGAAGGATGGATTTAGAGACCCCGCGGCGTCGGGAATGGCAGCGGTGGACGTGGTGAACCGAGGGGAGAACCAGTCACCGCGCAGGTCGAAGAAGCATCGGTCGGACCAGTGACAGGAGGAGATGAAGAGGATCAGGAGCAGGGCGGAGCAGTAGATACACGGTCGATGGAGAACGTAGGTGAGAGTGACGAAGGAGATGATGAAGAGTGGGGAGGCGTTGGTTGGAATGAAGAGGAGAGGTAACCAGCTATTTCAAGAAGAATGGAGGGATTGCGGGATTAGCATTTTGAACGTTGAATTGTTGCAAGTAGATTAGGGTTACATTAGCTGCAAGAAAGAGTTGGACTCACCTCCGTAAACAGAACATTGTGGTGAGTGAATCTTGTTAATAATTTTTTTTCTTTTTTTTGATATGTACTTGTTCTGGGCAAAGTAGTGGCAATAGTACTGCTCCGTACTTGGCTCGAGGAGTCGGTGGAGGTGAATGAAGATAGGCGGTAGAGAACCGGTTAGTGGCAAATGCTAGTGATGCAAATGCTCAGGGTTGTTTCATGCAGATGAGGAGGAGTGAGGAGTGAATGAGAGGTGGCCAGTCAGGCAGGTGTTGGGCCATGAGGTGAGTGAATGATGAATGAGTGAATGCAGTGCCAGCAGTTAACTAAGACTAAGAGGATCATTCCGGGCGCAGTGCTGCCTGAGGGCTCAGGCATATATCTGTGGCGGTGAGCCCGTAACTACAGTGGAAAACGGAAAACACCGCCTGACAGCTCGCACCAGCCACAAAGCCTTCTTTTCTTCCTTTTCTCTCTCACTTCTTCCTCTTCCTCTTCTTTCTTCTTCTCTCACCTACCTCTCTCCCTTCCCCTTTCAATCCCTTGGGTCAACCCCTAAATCCTTTTCCTTGTAATCTAGTCTGTCATTTTGACACCTTCTTTTTATTCACGTTCATTCCTTCGCTTGGTTCGGGCGGCTTCTCTCGTTCGGTCTCTCTCAAGAGAGCTCTCTCAAGAGTCCCCTTCTTGCCCCCAGATTCGGGGCTCTGAATTGGTTCGTTTGGAGGTCGCCTAATTGTCTCGGCGAGTGACAGAAATGTCCACCCCCAATGATCTTCAGGCTCTCCTGGCCAGCATCAGGCCCCGCCCGTCTCCTTCGAACACGCCGGGTCAGGATGCTCCCATGCCTCCCTATCCTCACCAGTACCATCCGGGATACCGCCAGCAGCACCAACAGCCGCCTTATGATGGCCAGAGTTTTCCTCACCCCCATCCGCAGCTACAGCAACATGGCTATCGTCACCCCTCAGTCTCATCGACCATTCACAGCCCGTCGCCTTTGAATACTCCACCTCACCACGGTTCGGATATTCTGAGCCCCAACGTTGCGACGCCTCGTGGTGAGATGTTTCCTCAGCAGCAGCTGCATCAACATCATCACCACTCCCAGCCGCCGTTGCACCAGCATCAACCGTTGCCTCAAAACCCAGACCGGGCGGCCAATTTGTTGAATTTGTTGAAGTTCAACCAATCCGGAGCTGGTCCTGCCGTCGCTGCCCAGCAACAGGTTCCTGTTGCCGGAGTCGACCAGCAGAGACCGTCTCATGCCCACGAGCTCACTCCGGAGGACAAAAACAAGTCCGCTCACGCGAGAAACATCTCTGCCTCGGACTTGGTCGCCTCTCTCTTTAATCGACAGGGCGGTGCGGCTCCCCCCGTGAGACCCGCCGGCTCGCAGTATCATCCCGGATCCGCCGGGGTTGGAGAAGGCTCTTCTGCCGCCCCGACCGCGGAAAACACCCAGGACATGCTTCTGCGCTTGCTGAACCGTCCCAAGCCTGGTTATGACATGCCAGAGGCTCCGGTGAAGTCGATGTCTCACTCGCCGGCTTCGGTTTCCCCCCAGAAATCTCCTTATCCTGAGGTGGAATCCGGTAGCCTTCCGATGCCGTCCGTCCAGGCCGTCGAGGAATCTCTGGCCATGGGTTCCCGCCCGGAGGACGTCGTGGCCGGGAAACCGGACGCGTTTGTTCCTCCTTCCAGGCCCTCCCCGGTGTCCAAGGAGTCTATCTTCACCTATGTCAATCCCTTTGACCAATTGGCCGCCGCGTCTCCCCACAAAGAGACCCCTCCGCAGGCTAATTCCGGGAGCAGTGAGAGCTCGGCCATTGAGGTCACTGAGACTGAAGAAATCAACGTGACCACCGAAGTGGAACCGACTCCCGTGTACTCCAAGGGCAAGCGGGCCAAGTCGCCCCCTCTGGCCGATGACCAAAAGCACGCGGTGAACCAGGTCGTCGACAAGCTGGTGGACCAGCTCTGCCGCGACGTAGGCGAGTCGCCGGTCGAGGAACAGCGGAACCCCGTGGCGTCGGCGGCTCACGACGACGGCGCCCAGGAGGTGCTTTCAACAGTGGCAGAGACTCTGCGTGAGACCGCTGCCGAGGCCAAGGAGATGCTTCAAGACGAGGATTTCCAAGAGGCCGTCAAAGAGACCGCCGCCGCGGCTAAGGAGATTTCCAACCAGAGTAATGGCGAGGCGCTTGCCGACAGCTGGGAAAGCGCGGAAGACAGCGCCGAGAAGGAAGAGCAGCGCGTGGTTGCTGTGCACAACTTTCCCCTGAAGCCATTTATCTCGATTGCCGTGAAGGTCTACCCCGGAAAGCTGTCGGTCCTGCGGGATGACGGCATCATGGACATTGCGCGCCTGAAGAAGGATTTTGACCAGTTAGACCGGTCCCTGACGTCGGCCACTTCGGACTATATTGTCTACGCCCTGGCTAAGAACGGAGGCATCCGCATCATCCGCCAGGATGACGGCAGTGACAAGCAGGTGTTCAGGGCCACTCGCGACCGCGTGTTCAACGTCGCCGTTTGCACTTCCCAGACCACGAGCGGCGTGTCCGAGGAGCAGGCCGTGCTGGGCATAGGTGTCAGCGGCACGGTGTACTGGGCGCTGATCTCCAAGGCCGACAAGGATCTCTTTGAACTGGACGCTCTCGAGAGCGAGAGTCTCATATTCCCTCCTTTCCCGGCCTCGGACGAGAACACCTCCGGCGGCCAGCTGAAAACGCGGGCCAAACGGAGCTCTCGTCACCCTGGTCTGTTTGCCATCGGCCGTGGCAAGAATATTTACGTGATCTCTCCCCAAGCTGCCGCTAATCCGGCTTATGGCGTGTCGGGTAACCAGCGCACTGTCAACACCGAGAAGTTTTTCAAGGAGCGCGCCCTGAAGATTTCCACCGGCAAGGCCGGCAAGGACTTTATGTTCAGCGATGATGACACTGTCATCGCATCCCTCGACAAGACAGGTCGCCTCCGATTCTGGGACATTCGCGAGGTGGCCACCAACTCCACTTTCTTCACGAGCGGACCCAGCCCGACTGAGGTTCGTGTGCCGCTCAACACCTTCGTGACCGGCTCTCCCGCCGAGAAGTCGTGGCCTACGTCGGTCCTCTTCATCGACAAGCTGCGGCCTTACGTGAAATCGATGGCGCTCCGCTACGTTCTGGTCGGATTGAAGCAAAACCACACCTTGCAGCTCTGGGATATTGGGCTAGGCAAGGCTGTGCAGGAGCTCAAATTCCCCCATGAGAACGAGTCGGATGCCATTTGCAGCGTCGCCTATCACCCCGGATCGGGCATCATTGTCGTCGGTCATCCCACGCGCAACTCGATCTACTTCGTGCATCTTTCGGCGCCTCGCTACAACTTGCAACCAATGTCGCAGGCCTCGTACATCAAGCGTTCCGCCGAGAAAGACAGCAGCCTGCCTAAGCCCGAGTCGACGGCCTGTCTGAGTGGTATTCGCGAAATCTCCTTCAATGCTAAGGGCCAGCTTCGGAGCCTAGACCTGTTGCCGATCACCAAGGCGGCGGGCGATGACAGCAGTCTGTTCGAGCTGTACGTGATGCACTCGCGGGGTGTGACGTGCCTGAATATCAAGAAGGAAGATCTGGGCTGGAGCACGGACAACAAGATCATCCGCCAGGTCAACGCCCTGGAGGAGGGGCTGATCGAGATCTCCGAGCTCCAGACCTTCCCCACATACGTGACAGACGAGCCTTCAATCAATGGTGACACCGCGTCCACTCCCTCCAAGACCGGCCCCAAGGAGGTCGCCAAGAAGGTGCCCGAGCCGACGGCCGAATCGGTCAGCGCCGCTTCGGCCTCTGCTCTTCGCACTCAGTCTCCCACCAAGCAGCCCAGGAAGAAGGTCGGTGAGGAGCAGCCGGCCACCGAACCGGCTGTCACGGCGACCGCTTCTGAAAAGCAGGACAAGAAAAAGAACAAGAAGAAGTCCGCTGTCGATGTGCCCGCCGCCAAGGCGCAGGATGCTATCCCCAGTGCGGTCTCCAGCGAAGCACCCGTGCCGGCAGCTCAACCTCCGCTTAGCGCCGAACAGATTAACGGCAGTGACGGCTCCTCTAAGGCCACCGCTCCCGTCCCCGCCGAGACCGCGTCGCTCCCCCCTACTTCTAGTGTCGGAGTCAACGACAATTTGGACCGACACATGGAAGCCCTGCAGAACGGAGTCTCCACCCAGTTCAACAAGAGTCTCGGCCGCGAGATTGAAGGCCTGTACCGCCGGTTGGATGACGAACGGCGCAGCTGGGATGCCGCGTCCGCAGCCAAGCAGGATCAGGTTCTGCGCTTGGTGTCGAGCACCCTGTCTGAGAACGTAGAGAAGAATCTCGCACGCATTGTGTCGGACAGCATCCGTGTGGAGGTGGTTCCCGCTCTGTCCGATTTGACCTCCACTGCCGTTGGCAAGCAGCTGAGCAGCGTCGTTGCCCAGCAGATGGGTGGCGTGGTTCCCCGGGAACTGCGCCAGGCTCTACCTGAATCCGTTAGTCGCGCCGTGCAACAGCCTGAGGTGGTCAAGGTTCTGTCGGAGGCCGTGAGTCAGAAACTCACGCCCTACCTCGACGGCGAGATTTCCAAGACCGTCAACAACGCCGTCACGCCGGCTTTCAAGAATCTGACCGCCAGAGTCACCGAGAAGGTTGGCGCCGATCTGGAGCGTCAAATGCAGACACAGTTCCAGCAGTTTGGGGTCCAGCGCCAGAACGACGCCGCTAAGATTGATCAGCTCACGACCCTGGTTCGTGGCCTGTCCGATACGGTTGCTTCAATGGCCGCGGCACAGACCAACTTCCAGAATGAAATCTTGAAGTTGAACCAGGTTGCGGCTTCTCAGCAGGAAGAGCAGCGACGCGCCTCGCGCCAGTCCCCGGCGGCTGTCTCGTCTGCGGGACCGGCTGGCGCCATGACGGCGGAAGACCTGGAGCTGGCGGAGATCACCCGGTTGATCAGTGAGCGACGATATGAAGAGGGTTCTGTGAAGGTTTGTATCTGTCATTCTCAACCCCAGATCCTTTTTAACTGATTGTGTGCAGTGGCTGCAATCCGATCAACAGGCCGACCTGTTCGACAACCTGTTCATTAACCTGAACCCTTCGTACCTGACCAACCTTTCGCCCATTGTGGCTCTGTCCGTTGGTGTTGCTGTGACATCTTCTCTGCAAACGAACGTGCCCGAGCGTCTCGCTTGGCTGGAAGTGGTCCTGCAAACCGTGAATCCCTTGGTATGTGTTCCCCACATGACCAATTGCCTAGTTGCCCTTACTAATACCGGTTTGTGAACAGGATCGGGACATCCTTGAAGTCGCACCCAGAATCATGTCGGTTCTGCTGCAGCGCCTCGACAGTCTGTATATGTCGATTGCGCAGAACGCACCGCACGATCCCATTCTTCGGAAGATTCCTCCCCTTTCGCGTCGTGCCCGAGCGCTTCAGGGATAGACATTTGGAGTAGTTGACGAGTCTCTTTTTGTGATTCGGTAATGACGACTAGGTAATTTTTGTCTTTTATGTCTCCTCTAATCTCTTGGTCTCATGATCCTTATGCATAATGGAAATAATGGGATAAAATCATAAAAGTTTGAGACGCATGTTTACTATTGGACGTTTTCTTTTGTTTCTCTCTTTCCTTTCAATGTTCATCTTGTACCTTTGAGACTCTGCTGCGACGGAACCAGGAAGCAAATGAAAGCGATGCATGTCCTCATCAACCATTGTACATCACATAAAAGGGTCACTTACTGCAGCCCATGACCTAATTTGATTTGCATCTTTCATCGTTCTTGATCTTCCTTTCATTCTCCATCCATCTGTAGGTATCATCTACAATTCCTTCGCAAAATATGTTCCAAGAAACAAGCCTCTGTCATCTCGACTTCATTACGTTAGCCACTCCTCGACCTGGTTCTTATCATCGAAATGGAACGAATGGTGGCCGGGGTGCATTCAGACGGCGCGCAGTCCTTGAACGATGCTGTTGGCATTGGTTGGCTTGACAGGACAACATCCCATAACCGCGGGCTTTGGGTGCCTTTTGTCTTCCAGCAGTATCCCTCTCTCTCTCCTCATGCGTGGGTGGTATGTGGGTGACTGGCTACTATACAATGATGGACGTGAATGGAAAGAAAACAAAAGAATTATGGACCAGTAGTTCTATGGAATTTGAAATCTTATAGGGACATATATGTGTATGAAGGGGTATAAGGTCCAGGGATATGTAAATTAACTTTTCTTCTGCTTATGCATGAAAATCAACCTTCTCGGTTCGTTGCTCTGACTCTGCGGCCCCGTCTTCAAGGAACTCGAATCCTAATGCCCGCCAATTCAGCTCCTTGCGCCAATGCAGGCCGTAGTATTCTCGGGGAGGTTGTGACACTGCAGCATTATCGGATGTTTCAGTAGGCACGTCGTCCGTTGAAGAAGGCTGGTCCGTCTCGACCGGGTCCCCCGTTGGGGCAATAACAGGTTCTGAGGCCAGTCCTCCTGTCATCATGCGCCCGGGGCGAGGGTACGTCACGGATCGGAAACGCGAGAGAAGCAGGCCCATGGAGCAGCAGAGGCATGGCTCGTGGGTCAGATACACATCCAGGTCCGTACAGAGGTAGCCGCCGTGTTCGCGCGTGCGGATGCGGGGAGCAGGCTTGCTGTGGCTCGATGACGAGGGTTTGGGGACCGCGTCCGTCTCGGTCTTCTGGTACTTCTCTGCGACGGGGGAATGTTCGCGCGAGTCATCCGAGACATCTTCGGCGAAGCCCTCCGACAGGGATAGGAAATAGGCCTCCAGCGGGTTTAGATGCGGTTTCTTCTCTTCCGGGTCAGCCCGGCGGCGCACGCTGGCAATGAAATCGACCGCGCGCATCAGCGCGTGCAGTTCCGGCCCGCCCTCCAGGTCCGCGTCGTATGTCTGCCCTGCCGGATTGGGTCCGCCTCCTGGATGTAGTTCCGACTGCGACATCGCGCCGGCTTCTCGGCGAGAATACCGTGCGTCGCCGGCGACCGCTACAACCGCATCGGCCCATCTGGTCGTCTCCGCATTATCGCCGGTCGTCTCATTTTGAGATTCCAGCTCCGAATCCACGACTACGGCCCCGACGCGGCGCCCGCGCCCCGACTGCTCTGCCTCGTCCGCGACGCGGTACGCCAGGGCCAGGTAGTGTCCGGCTTTGGGCTGGATCGATTCGCGAGTGCGAGTTAGGATCTGCGGCGGAGGGGCAATGCTGGCCTTGGGAGCGGCGGGATTGAAGACGACCGGCCAGTAGGTGGCCGACCAGTTATCAGCCTGCGGGACGTTCAGAGGCGGCAGCAGCGGGACTTGGATCGTGTGAAGGGTGATGTCTTCGGGTGCGACGGACGGCGCGGAGGACGGCGGGTTCTCGGCGTCTGGCGTAGGAGGGACGGGAACGAACGGCACAAGGACTTTCCGAAGCTCGTCGACGTCGGGCAAAGGGGGCATTATCAAGGTGAAGATCGTCTGCGGGGAGGGCTCGCCTTTGATGAGCTGGGACCGCAGCGTCTCCGGCAATTGGCTGTGTTTGGCGAATCGTCGGAGGTGGTTCGTTGATTGCGATGCATCGCGGGGGAATTTGGAGTCTAGGGCTCTGAGATAGATATGTTGGCATGGGTCGATATATCGAGAAATGAACGAGAAGTAGATAACTCACTTGATTACTTTGGAAGCTACCTTCACATTGACTTCTACTACATAGGCATCGCCTGTTGTGGTATCAGCAATTTCTTCCTCTCTCTAATTCCCCTGTCGTGGGTCCATCCATCTTTTCCTCTCTTTATGGACGCACCGAATTCTATACGCGGTCGTGCCTCCTGCACAGTTCTGATAGGAATGACTTGGCCCGCGAGCGGCCGCACGCCCTGGAGGATCTGCTGGACGTCCATTGACCTGTATGATTTTGCGAAGGCGGGGGCGGGGGCGGGGTATGTAGGGGTAAACAATTCTAGTGGTTCGAATATAATTGTTTTTCGAAAGGAGCGAGGTATTCCTGCAAGACAGAGGATTGAAATTCCGGGAGAAAGTGAAGGCAAGAAAGGTTGGCGGTCTCGACGGGCCCCGCAAAAAACCCTAGGCGCGGTACCCTATGACCTAAGCCCTACTCTCGCGCCCATTCGGGGTTCTACAGCGATGAGGCATGAGCTGGAAATTGAATTGAAATATTATGTACAGACTCGGCGAGAGCCGGTCATATGTGGATGCGCCAACCGTTGGGAGTCATTTGAAAGAATAAAGCAATGGAGATGAGAGTCAACAGACGAAATGAAAGGTCTATAATAAACCCAAGCAAGAGCATCGAGCAGCATCTCTCGTGTTGTATGTATACACAGCATCAACTCCGTGTCCTGTCTTATGCATGATATGTACTGTGACAAAGGGGGAGCGTTATTCGAAATAATTTTTTTTTTCGGGGTAAGCAAGCGTTTTGTTTCCTCGTCCAGAAGCACCAACTCATAGATTGAGGGGTTGAAAAGAAATGGGCCCCTTCGTAAGAAAACAAAAAGGTAAAGGAAAGAAAACAATGATGATTCACCTTTTCAACCGTCGCGCTGAATTTCATATCCATCGCATCTCTCCACCAAGCTCTGGTAATAGTCCACCAGCACTTCGGGTTGCGGAACAATGCGCCACTCTACGCGGAACAGGAACTCCAATTCAAGGAGTGCCAGTTCCGTCATACTGATTCCCCCAACCCGAGAATACGTTTTGTTCGTCCAGAAGCTGTCGCTGAGCCCTTTGCTGGCGACGGTGGCGCTGGCGATGAGGAATCGATGGATGGTTAAGCTGGAGACGGTAAAAGAAGGGTAAAGTGCGCAGAGTCGGTCGATATAATATACCATGCTTAGTAGAATGGGCGGCGAAAGCGTGGCATGGGTGGTCAGACGCTGCAAATAATCCTGCACGGTAATCCGCGGGGGCGACCGGGAATGAAACCGGGTCAGACGACCCTGATGCAGAGGGATCTTGTCGTTGAACCGAATCAGCTCCATCAGCATGCTGGAGATCAAGACCACGATATCCCGCGGATCCGCCTGCTCGTAGTGGGTGGGGAGCACCTTCACCGAAGGCTTGCTCGGTCGCAAGCGTTTGGACTGCGAGCCTTCCAGGTCGGAGCTAGCCAGGCCAACCTCGTGCGCGCCATTGGCAACGGGGTCGTAGGGGCTGTTACGCTTATTGGACCCTGCGCCATTCCCTGCGCTGCTGCGAACGGGCGCGGTCATTGGGGGATGAGAAGAAGCAGATGGATGAGGGGCGTAGACAGGGGCGGAGGGATGGGCAGCGGCGCCGTTATTGGCCGGACGGTCGGACGAACCGAGAGGTCGAGAAGGGGGAACGACGGTGTCACCCGCAGCGTTCGACGAGGCGCTACTTCCGCCCCCAAGGGTGGTCAACCCAGCGGATTGGCCGGCCGGGAGGTCCCCTGAGGGCCCGGAGGATGAGGCAGAGGAGGAAGAAGAAGCAACGGAGTGGCGGGTTAAAGCCGATCGAAGCTCTTCGATGGCGACGCGAGATGAGCGCCGAGAAAGAGGAGGACCAGACGCAGACGAGACAGCAGCGGGGTGGGTGGCAGGCTCATAGTGGTGATGCCGATGCTGGTGATGGTGATTGTATGCCGGCGTGGCAGTCGTCGGAACGGCGGCGGCGGCGGACGAGGCAGAAGCGACCGGGAGACGGGGAAGGGAGGGAGAGGAGAGAGAAGAAGAACGAGGGGGGCGCGAGGAAGGAGAGGAGGAAGGGCGAAGGGCGGAGGGCGAGGGCGAGGAAACTAGCATCTCCGCCCAACGAGACCACCACGTGGGCGCACGACTGAACGACGTGCAACGGAGCTGGCAGACGCTGCGAAACCTTGTGCTGCTGCTGCTAAGGGATATGGCGTGCCCAGGCGCATCATGATCTGCGCGTTTCAGCTCTTTCAGGAAAAAAAGAAGCCGAAAAGCGGAGAACGCGGAGGTGGGAAGGCTTCCACGAGAGAAAGAGAGGGAGATAAGAGATGAAGGGGAAGATAGAGGAAAAGGAGAGAGAGAGCGAGAGCGAGAGAACAAGAAAGTAAAGAAGAGGGGAAAACTGGAGATTTTGCCTCGTAATTAAAATTCAAAAACTCGGGTTTGCCAAGCCCCGCCACGGCAGGGCGTATTGAGTAAGGCTGAGACTTATAAAAAACAGGGAATTTCGTCGGATCTCGCTTCCCCTGCCATTGCCCAATCAGGATTTGCAAATACCGCGATCCTTTGAAACCCGCCCGAGCCCTATTATCGATGCGTTACCATAGTTACCATACGCCACCTTTTCGGCACGCGGAACCCGGCCTTTTCCAGATTCTGGAGTATCTCAAGGTACTAGTTAAGTACTAGGTAGCCTCTAGTTAATACTAGTAAGGATTCATATTTTAGTGGGATCATTACGTAGTCGGTGTTTAAGTGATTGAATAGTCAGA